TAAAAATATACATCTGTTAGGGTCAGTTCAGCTTGTAGTTTATTTATTATTATTTATTATTATATATTATTTTTTTTATTATTTTATTTTATTTATTATTTAATTATATATATATATTATATATATATATTATCCTAACAGATGTATATAGATATATATATCTATATACATATATATGTTTATAGATATACATACATCAGCTCCGACGGTTGTTTGTACTTTCGGTAATGTGCGATTTCGGATCTAGCCGCTCCAGTTGGAGAATGGCCACACTACTCCGATTAAAAGTAATTTGACAAATCTGAAATCTCCTCTATATAATAATGTTTGAACTCATCCTACAGTAGAAACCACCTCTTGCAATAATGTGATTTCTTGACCCTATCACTGAAAGTCGGACCAAAGGCCGCTTGTTTTAAAACTTAATAAAAAAGTAAAAACAGAGCTGTTGCCATTTCCTGGAATAACTTTGCTGGATGGATGTATCGTGTTGCAAAGACAAACCATTTGTTTTTGCCTTTATATTTACTTGAAAGAATGTAATCAAATTGTAGGAAAGTCGATGTTTTGAAACCGGGGTACTCGTGAATGTTTTCGCGTTTATCATAACTGATTTTATAGGTTAGTCATATTCACAATGTGAATCCAATGGATCGTCCACTTACTGGGTGGTATCTACAGTTACATACTTCCTTTATTGAAGATAAACATAGCGAACCAGTTGTGGCCGCGACGTTTGAAACTATGTATCTTTTGACGAGACTAGTAGGACGAAGTAAAATTTAGCGGAACCAACATATCCTAATGCTGAAACTAAATATAAGCACTTACATGTGTTGAATGTCAACTTGTCGTTTCATAAATCTTTACCTTCTGTAATATATACGGTAGAAGAATTATGGTGGGCATGATAAAGGCTTAAATATTTGAGTGTGGAAAAAGAAATATTATGTATATATAATAGAAATTTTTAAATCGTATCACTTCTGGCTGCCACACCATCCCTGTTGAGTTTAATAACTGCACTGACAGCTTTTTTGCCTATTCTGATTAATTTTTGATGTAGTGGGCCGTTTGTGTGCTTGGCTATACAATAGTACTGAACCTCGTCAAACGGACAGTTTCCCGACGTTCCCTAAATTTCGCGCTCAACTCAAACTAGATTGCGACGATCGCGCTACCGCCACCCTTCAGTGGACTCCCAACGCATCAACACCCGATATGGTGTACTATCAGGTACCTAATAAGCCAATGGACACTAGTAACCATAGTACTCCTACCAAACCGACCACTGAAGATTTCAAGTACGAGTTTGCTTCTCGAGCATTACGGTCAGAAACATGCACTTGATCTTACTCGGCAAATTGAATTCTAGGAATTCAGCTTGAAAGTTTGTATGCGCGCCTGATATAAACAAATTTAGTTGCCCAGCTTCCATTGCAATTCTAACAATTTCGGTGGCGGCTGTGCAAGTAAACTTAATATTACTCTTGTTGTTGTTGTTGCGGTCATTGTTATTTTTGCGTCTTTCAGAGCTATAGCACTGGCAATATGGGCTGGAAAATCTTTCTTCTTGATGAATTTTCGGCAGGTTCCTAGTGAAGTAGGCGGATGTTAAAGCGAAGTGTGTCGAAGATGTTTGTGGCCATCGCTTCTGCGTCTATTTGGCACTTCTCCAATGTTGCTAGATGCTGTCAACAATGCGTGCCCTACACAAACTGTTCAAACTGCCATTGTATATAGCGAAAAGAAATAAATTATGTTCGTTAAAGGAATGGCTCCTGTTTTGGGTAGATATCCGCGAGAGTGATGATAATGAACATAAGTAAGGTAACATTCGACGTTGTATAACCTGTAACCTACAACAACAAAGAAACAAAAACAACAAAAGTTTCTTTATTGAGGACTATGAAATAGATGGGGAGTCCAGTATATAACAGATGCGATATATGCGGTAGAACACATGCAAAGTAGATAAGTTTAGTGCTTAGGTAAAAGCGAGATCCACTTTTCCGAAAATTTGACAACAGTTTTATGTAGCACAGGGGATTGCAATGGGTTTTAAATATTTCCTTTTTACTTACTCGAACAAAAATACTGCGCACTAACGAAACAACGTGTTGCCGCACATACTGATCATTTATTAAACTTGGCGTTCAGGCACAGAAGTCTCACGTAATTGCGTTGCAGGAGAGCCCGCTAAATCTAACAGTTCGTCTTGGCAGAATATTCTTTTCTGGATATGATATCTCCAATAATACAAAACCCGGCGGGACTAATGGTGTTACTGTGTAACTGTAAAGATATAAATTTATTTAACTATGATCAAGAATTTAGGAATTTTTAATGATTTCGATTTAAATGACGAACTATGAAGGAATTATTAGGGAAATCAACATAAAATATTAAGTAAATGTTAATTATTTTTATCGTTATATTATAAGTTCAAAAAAATTAAAACAAGAAAAATAAAAAATAAGAAAATAAAAAGAAAAAAGTTAAATTTAATTAGCAAGTAAAGTGGTTTTATATAACTGTTTTAAGCGCTGTATTTTTTTAGAGCCCACTAAAAACAAAATTCACAAGAAGAGGTTTCTCTCTTCAAATTGAAAAAAAAATTGTCTTTGAGCTAAAAACATTTCTGAGCTTCGATGCGACCAGAAAAATGTTCAGTATACTATTTTCTAGGTCTCTATTAGTACCCAAAACAATTTAGCATTGGTTATTGTGAAAAAATGCCTATTTGATTAATTATTTATTTGTTTTTATTATTTTCTATTTATCCATTTCAAACCGTGTAATTGTTGAATGATTGAAAGTATTGAATTAAGTGGAATCAAATGCCTTTACGTTCTTTTGGTTACAAAATGTTTAGTCTTGTTCCTTCTGGGAGGCGGACTTTTTGAAAACATTTTCGTTGTTTCATATCAGGTATATTAAATACTACAGCTAAAACAACCACTGCTGTGTTCTTTAATGAACATTTTTAAGGAGCCAGGTCAAATGAGCATCAGTTCATGTTTTCGTCCGCGACCGGACGGTCTATATGCTTTTTCTTACACCCATGCTTACGAATGTTTAAAACTGACATTTTGATCAATGAATGAATACGTTTGGAAAGATTTAAAAGCGGTATCGTTATTAGTTTTGTCGTCAATCTTAAATAAATGCTGTTTTCGATTCAGTTTGTGTACAGAATTGTAGTGTATACTTATATGTATACATACATACATATACGAACTGTTGCGCGTTTAACAAAACCCTGCTCTAGATTGACAGCATATATAGGCTTAGTGAAAATCCTACAGCATTGTTACAATAACTTGTTTATTTCGAAGTTCGGACCTTACATTTATTCATATAGGATATATAATTAGTTTTGGTTAACGTCACTGTCGGTACTCATAGCCAAGCCTTTTCTTGCAATCTTGCCATTACCTTGCAACCTATGCTTTTTCGTATTAACAAGCATATATGTTAGAAACGGGGTACTGGCAAAAGTTGAGACTCTGGAAACAACGCTTTTTTGTGGATAATAATAATATCTGCAACGCGACTCTGTTTAACCTTAAACAACTTCATAATCTCTATAAAGTTGTCATCGCTGTAGGATCCGCTCAAAGCCAAGAGCTATGTCTTAACGCACAGAAATGATTATCCCGTAGATTCGAATAAAATACGGCATAAACATCGCATTAAACGAAGAAACTGCTGAGATGAAATCTTCTATTGCCACGTCATTTTTTCCAGTGGCATGCCAACATATCAGAGAATGATTGACATTTATGTTGTAATTTAAATGCTCGAGTTCGACGTCGGCTGTTTTTTTAAACGCCTGGCGCCTTTTATCGATTAATAAACCGTGCTTCACGCCCGGTTTCCTACGTAGGTCATTCAACCGAATGTCCTTAATTTTACTAGGCCAACCCGTTACCACTATCACATCAATGAAATATAAAATTTATGCGACTGGCTATGATTTGAATCTTAGAAAATCAAAATCATACGCCCAAGTTGATAATTACTAGACGGGAACAGATCTAACCGAGGAACAGTGACGCTGGGAAGAATACTCATATGCCATGCTGTTATGCTTAAACGTCCTAAGAATGCTGCTATCAAAAGAGCATGTGAAGATCAAAGTACCGTAGGAACTGTTCTAAAAATAGACATGCTCAAATACATGGGTAGACCAATACGAAATAATGATAAGGAATTGTAATTTTTATTGTTCGCACAGAGCCAGCCAGAGGCAAATACGGTGGTATAGAGCGTCTGACGCTATATTGCTGCTTTCCGGCAAGTATAAAAGCGAAGTTGACGACTTGGAGGAATTTGAGCTATGACAAACGAAAAACTCAATTGTATCTTTTTGAACCTCAACACAGAGCACAGGTATATATAAAAACGTCAGGCCCCCATATAATAAAAGTTCCAAGCATTTACTTCACTTATATTTTAGATTCGAGCACGCGACTAACTGGCTAATCATTTCAACGTGTCTCTTTTTTTTTGAGAAGGCACTAACAAAGATTTCTTTATTGCGAAGAAAAGGCTTCTTTTTTGCCAAAAGTTGGAATTAGCATAAAGAAATGTCCTATAGTGTGGCTCATAGAAAAGCAATAGTTTTCGAAAATATACATTTACACGCAAGTTTACCATAAATAAATTACATTTATTTAATCGAACTTTATAAACGAATTTCTTTTCTCTTTTTTTTTTATAGAGCATGCTGAGGAGTTTGTCCGAGCGTAGTGATATTAAACAAAAATGCAGATGCCTGCATAATCATACTCTAGGCAATATAGAACTGATCTAATAATATTTTATTATTTACACGTTTATTATATGGAGACCATCCCGATGTTAGCTCTAACCATTTTTGCCTTGTGATTATAAATGACATGCTTGGACATGTATATATATTTTAGGAGACTTTTCCTGTACTTTACCACTGCTAAATGCCATTAGTTACTCGATCCCAACAGTAGTACATTGCGATATTCAAATTTTATATAGCTGAAGGGTACATATAATATCTATAGGCTAGTGCACGTCAATGCACTAGCCTATAGATGCCTAGTCCATTTAATGAATTAAAATTACATCGTAGATTCTAACTTTATAATGAAACAGGGCGCATTCTTGGGAGACGTGTTGATAAAGGAAGCTAACCATGTTACATAATCTTTTAGTTTGTTGTTAATAAGAACGTGCTCTTTCATACCAGATTATTATTAAATTAACATGGTATTACACAGACGGAGACGCTGCACATTTGAAATAGGTTAGCCATAGACTCTTCAGTACTTGTTTAGAGGTTATTCCTTCATAAGGGCCATTTCATCTGACGTGAATTTATGAGCAGTGCTTAGCGCATTCGTGCTATGAAGGACATTTAGAAATGGCTACATATCTACGTAATTTTTATGGGTAAATGTATCTTCTTTTATATGTGTTTTGAGCTAAAATACTATTTGTATAGCTCTCTTAACATTATTTTCGTACAAATCTGAACTAGACCGAGATTTCAACTGAATCCGATATCTTTTTTCTTTGCAGCAATTTATCTTTTATTTTTAATTTAATTCATTTAGTCAGGCGGATCCACACTTTGTTAGAAGTGTACCCATGCACAGTGCGTGCACTGGTTTATCCGTAGGCCACTCCTTAAATTCATTTTCTCGTTGAGTTGTCTTAAGGCCATTTTGTTGTTCACTGCTCAAAAAACGTTCTTGGCTTCTTTTTTTAATACAGCGCACTTTAGCACCTGGTAATTAACGTCTATCTTGTCCTGAATGGTACACTTCGATTTTGCCACTGCCACTGATAGTGAGCTGCCGGCATTAGGCACCTCTACAAAGTAAATTTAGACCACAGGGTTAAAATAAACACAATGAAACTTTGGATGATCTGCCAAAGCTAAAAATCTGAGAGATGCACCTCACCAAAAGGTCACAATTCGGGGTTAGGGGAGCAACGAAGATACATAGTCGTGGACCGAAGGTCTTCACTGAAATGTTCCTCCTAACCGGCATTTTTCCCTGCTCCGGACACCAAGTCCTTGGTAGCTGTACGTATTTCTTTTTTATGAGGCGAGTAGTTTAAGGCAACATTAAGGACTACTTTCTCGTTAAGCTTGGTTGATAGTATCTGTTCATCGCGCGTGTGCTGAAAGGACCTCGACAGGTGTGCTGTGTTACCAAGTATACGAACACAAATTCTTTCTTCATTTAACTTATTGAGGTTGTCAAACATTTCGCGGAGTCGTCTTTCTGCCAGTATCATCAGTGTGTGGATTTCTTTCCGGCTCTTTCTGAAGTTCTTTATCGAAAATGCGTACGTTGTCACTCCAAAGATGTTGAACTCGTGATAAGAAAACAAAACTCGTGATGGCTTAGTTAGGTTTTTGAAATCCATGCGAGTGTCCTTCAGATGTCTTTTTTATGTTGTCTTGCGAAGTTTCGATTTCCATCCATAACTAGAGCTAGGTAATGGCCCAAACGACCCTGTTAAATCACGTATAGTGCAATCTTTTCAGACCAGGATAATTTAAATTTATGTAACAATTGAGTTACTTCGTCACGCTTCGTTGTGTTATCCTTTGCGTTCCATTCGTAGATAGCTGACTTTGTCCAGCGAGAATGACGATAACTAGCAAAGTCTCGAAAAGATGATCTGGCAAGCTCAGTGGAATTAGCTAGCTCTATTAGCAAATAATTGTGTCAACACAGATAAAAGATTAGTAGCTTTTTAAGTTTGACTAAAAGCACAAATTAAACATTGCCAAGGTCTTTCCTAAAGAACATAGCTGCAGCATCTGTTTTCGATTATTTTTTTAAACGCCTGTTTCGTTGCGACATGATGTAAACTTCTCAATCGAATTTGTATCGAAACACAGGCCATCATTGGTAGTCACCTACTATTGAAGTAGCGCTTTTCTGCTAGGAATGGAGTTCCGCTTAACGCCCTGATTTTATAAAACAATTATGATTGTAACTTACTTGGGTCGTTCGGAGGCTATGTATTTTTGCGTATGTACGTGCACTTCAAGATTGTTTAATTTAAATAAGTGATACTCTATACTAATGACAATAGCAATGATAATGCTAACATAGGAAAAATGTCAACGTAGAAAAAGGGTGATGCAATTTTGCTTGATTTGGGTAACGTTTGCAGGATACTGTTTTAACTGTAATTTTTTGCAAAAATGCTTTTCTATACGTTCGTACATAATGTAGTGCAAACGTGGAGATATGTCTAGGCAGTTTCTGGACTTATGGCGGTGAAACAACAACCGCTACACAATTATGGGTTGTTTATAACCCACTGTCGGTCCCCGCTTACGAATATTGCCTATTCCCAACGACTCCCGTCAGTTTCATCGAAGAGGCCGCGCGCGGTTATGGATGTATTACACCTTTTCTTCGTCCACGGAAATTTCGGAAATTGTTTCATTTTTGTACCACTCTATGTTTCAATAAGATTGGTTGCTTCAAGTTTTAGACGCCTTATGATTGAGACGGTTGAAATGCTTAGCATAACTATACACGAAGTCAGTGGCAGTGTTATAAAGTTAAGTATATCTAATTAAGTTCGGCCAATTTTAAAGAATGTTAATAAAATGCAGTGCAATTACAAAGCAAACTCGCGTTTTAAGTACATACAAAATAACGCTCTAAAAAGTGTTCCTACCATGATTAGACAAGATCCATTTCAGAAGGATCTAAAATGTACAGTCCTGTTTTATCATAAGATGGAGATCTCTAATGTCCGCATTTTTTTTGAGACAGATAGCCCAATGTATTGACCTTCTTTACCATGCTATTTAACGTGTAAAATTTAAACCCGTATGCACGGAAGTCCTTTACATGTACAGGGTAACATGTCTAAATGGAGAATTTTTCTGATGTTTTATTTCCAAGACTGTTTACGAACAAAACAGACGTTTCAACGAAATGTTTTTATGTGTTAGAAAAGTTATCCTTAACGGTCATCCTTAATCAGTATCGTCACCATCTACCGCGCATACAGCTTCGCCAGGACTGAAATAGCTAGATGTTTACAAAATACTCTTCCTTTAATCCGCAAATAATTTTTTAATTTCAAACGTGCGTTAAGTGATATTAGTAGAAGTAAGCTCGTTAAAGTACTTATATACAAAAAATGTTGGCTAATAATGAAGTTCCAAAAACGTATAGGTTTAAAATGACCAAAGTATTTTGAAGATCCAAAAAGATGTAAAACCCTTACTTACTTAAATGTCCTGGTTGACAATTTCTGGTGACAAGTCCTGGTGACAAGGCAGCTGTTATATATATATATATATATATATATAGATGTTAATCAATTTCGATAAAATTCTTAAGTCCTTTAAATATAAGCTTTTTTGAAAATCCGTCTCGGAATCTTCAGAAGCCGCAGAGAAACTGATAGTAACGTAAAATATCATATTATTTGACACAACCTTTGTTAACTAATCCAAGTTAAATTAATAAGCACACAAAAGCTTTTCAGTATGGGCAGTAATTAAAGCGCTTGTTGGTCACTTTCTATAAAAAGGCATATCCTTGATAGCGCGATTAACGTGTTTATCTGTGAAGCTTCAGGCCATATGGTAGTCAAGGTTAGAAGGCGAGCGTAGATATATTGCGTTCTGTGTTGGAACCCAGGCGTCTTACGTAACGCCGAACGACTTGAATAAAACACCAAGAAACGTTTTCTGGCCTTAGAAGGTGCAGTAATTTAAACTCCTAATTTCATTTAATTATAAGGTCCTTGATAATGTCATTGCCAGATGAAGTTGCGTACTATGATTCTGTAACCAAGCGCTTCTTTACAACGATCTCTAATTAATTTTACTTTTTTGTTTTGGATAGTTTAAGATTTACCTGCTATTTGATTTTTGCTTGTCTAAGAAACAATAATAATAATGGTTGAAATAAAATTCTATCATGTAATTGCTGCTTCTGGTGCGCTGTTATAAATACTCCTGTTTCACTAGGATAAAGAACACACCATTTTAAACGTTAGCCGACTATCTAACAGTATCTAGCGCGTGAACCACTAGGAAGAGCACTAACTCAGGTCTAGAAGGCGTTAGATGATTATAACGAATGGAGGTTGTCAATCTAATTCAACGCCATCAGTCCAGCCGCGGCATTAGTAGCTATATAGGAGGTCTGCCTAAAGTTTATGTTCCTGTAAAACGCTTAAAAAGCCAATGCATTATATAACTTATTGGCATTAAATAGGCTTAGCTTTCGGATACACCTTTTCCATGAGAATTAGCTTAGTTCGATACATGTGTAGCGGCTCGACCTCGAAAGTATATGCGCCTTTGAAACAACCTCCATCGCTTAATGAGCTAGCGTAGTAAACAAGTGGAACCTGCAATAAATATACAATTTCAGGTAAAAAGCAAAACATATCGATACATGTTGTCGTACTCCTCATTAGCGATATCAGTGCTGGATCCCGCAATGAATTGTTCTGGTGGCGCTGCTTCGATGCCTCGGCTTAGAATAACTCGTCAATTTATCTCGTATTGGTCTACACCTTTTAGCTCAGCTGCCATCGAATACACATAATATTGGTTAAACCCTGTCTTAGATGTGTGACTAGATAGACTCTAAAGATACCCTACTTATTAATTAGCCTTGTCCCCTTCAGTGACACAGAATGTATACGAAATATGTTTAATTTAATAATAAACACGCGTAGATAGTATATCCCTGGCAGTCACACATTTGAAAGCATCTTTGCTTTACACTGGCATTATATTTTAGGCGGAGTATTGATGCTAAATAATTTCAAGCCTCTGCAAAAAACAAATGGAATCGATTATTGGCTTAGTCGTTCGCGCTGCAAATAACCGCTACTTTTTTATTTAATGCAAACTGCGAAAAGTTGTTTGTGAAATTCAGTATAGAAACTAGAGTATTACATTCAAGCGTTTTTTCATGTTATACATATGTGATTTAGTGCATATATTTTCGACGCGTCACACATGTTATTGTTTTTTTACAAGTCTCACCACTTCGAATATTAAGTCCAGTACTGCTGTTAAGTATTCCTTCAAATGGTTGAGCCCTTCTAGCACGAAACGAAGTGCGACTGCGTCCGGGTTCTAACCTAGATTACCACGTTTTCCTGGAACTAGTAGGCAAACACTCTATCACTATACCATCACAAAGACAACCGAGTACTCTAATGATGCCTCTGGTGTACGTGTTTGAATATATACATAATTGTCTGAATTTAGAACTCAGTCTTCGAGTCCAACACCGTAGAATTTTATTTAGTAAAAAAAAAATTTTTGCGCTTAAATATTGACATATCTAATGAAAACGTTTAAATGATAAAAGTATCGCCAGTGTATATTGTCTTAGCTAAGTACAGTAATATTTGTAAAATATTTTTTCTCAATTTTTGCTTGAGTACTGCGATCTTAATTTTGTTATAATAGTCAGACGTCGTCATCTTCAAATGTACAATAAATAACAATAATTATTATTTTTACTAGCAATTGTTTACTCTCATCAAGAAGTAAAGCCCTGAATACGATACAATCGATTTGTATATTTTAATTATGTTTAATCCTTTATCTAAAGTAGAAGAAGAGCTGTGATCTAACCTACATCTAGGTAGCCGTCCTCAGAATATTATTTGCTGTACGAGTAAGAAACATTGGTTAACAATTTACAAAATATTTATTTACACAAAATCCCTGATTAGTATGAGCGACTTTTAGTAACCCTGATTTTCTATAATATATCAGTCGTAAATTATTCAGCTACTTATATTTAAGACTTAATAAGTACCTCACAGCTATTAAGTCTTAAGGGTCTCTAGCTGTGCACATGCTTCAGCTTGGTTAGTTTTATTATTGTTATTACGATTAATGTTGAAACGAATCGATCTGTATACCAACGAAACTTATGATAAGTTTCTGACATCGGATAGGGTGACCGGCGAGGTATAAAATGATACTATTCCCGATGAAGTTCGGTAGTTTGCTTTTTTTGTTATTTTAATCACATAGACATGTGTTACATGATGTGACGCTATCCACGGAATTCTGCAAATTTTTGCGGACGGCACATAAGCGATTTACGTTCACACACTGTGACTCCGCTATCCATTTATCTATACGTATTAACTTTTCCAACATTCGAACGCAAATTGCAAAACAAATTATTGCTTGTAAATTTTGCATCGTTTCATGCCTTTTGATTTGTTATTATATATGCCATTGTTCCATCTACTAGCAAAGCAGAATAGAAAACATATAGGTACACACATTTAGAATTACGACTCCCAACTAATTTGTGTGACGCAATGGTATAATTAGATGAACAGCAGAACTTTTTTATGGTGCCAATGTAAGTTGAAGTCGCCACTATTTTAGGTACTGCTAAAAAGCAAATTAAAACACAATCAGATATAGTATATGTATATATATTTATATTTATTTTATACACAATACAATAACATTGATTTTATTATTACTTCATTGCATCTTGGTGTGGCACACGTAGAGTGAACGAACCGGTCTAAAAAATAATTTGTTAATATTTGACACTACAGTATACCTCTCGCACACGGTTCACATAAAATTAAAATATTTTCTCGGCTCGATAATCTCCTTGAGAAGTTCATCGTTTGCGCACTTTCCTTAACTGTACATTCACTAAGAAATCAATATAGTTAAACGACATTGTCGCCAGTCCATACTTGTTGGATGGTGTTACCTAAGGAAGCGTCTTTTAGTCGTTGTACTCTGCGCTGTTCAATAAACTCGTCAAACTCCGATACTCCGGATGTTTTCGCTGCACAGGTACCGAAGTCCTCCGCTTCGATTAGCGACGTCGATTTTTTCCCGCCCATTTCACTATATCCTGTACAGCCGATAATTCTTCGAGCTTGCCATTGATAGTGCAGTATCGCAGCTAGAAATTGCCAAAAAGTAAGTTCTGGCCATAATGACGGAATGAACTCGACCACAGTAAAACCCGTCTGCCACAATAGAAAATCCGATAGTCGAACTTCACCGGAGGTCCGCACCAAAAGGTCTGGGTCAGGCGAGTCACGTGAATACATTGCTGACGATAAGAGCGCTTCACTGAAATGTCGTACTTTAACAATGCCTTTGTTCGCGCCTGCAACCAGATTTTCAATTGCAGTACACATCTCCTCCCGAGACGTATAACTCAGTCCAATATTAAGAAAGTATTTCGTGTTATGCTGGGTTACTAGTGTGAGTTCCGCGCACACCTGCTGAAGTGACACGGGCAGATAGGTAGTGTTGCCAAGCACTCGGATTCGGACGCCTTCGTCTTCTAACTGTTTTCGATCTTCAAGAATTTCACGGAACTTGTTTTCTGCTAGATTCATTAACGCATCCACTTCTTTTTGATTTCGTTTGAAATTTTCTATAGAGAATGCGTATACCGTCACCTCAGTGATGCCAAGCTGACGACACCAAAACAACACTTCCGACAACTTATTAAAGCCTTCATTGTGACCTTCAATTGCTGTTTTTTTATGCAGTTTGGCATATCTACGATTGCCGTCCATAATGACCGCTAAGTGCTTAGGTATACGGCCCTGCCGCAGAACGCGGGCCGTAATCGATTCTAACCACGACAATTCGTACTGACGCAACAGCCCATCCTTTGAAGTTTTTTTCTTCTCCATAGTCGACACTTCCAACATCTGTGATCCAACGCCGCCTCCAGAGTCCGGCATCAAGCTCAGCGCGCCTTACTTGGCACTGTGTTGACTAGCTAACAAACTGATAACCGCTCCGGTTAGCTGTCGTGTCACCTGCACATAGCATCTGCAATAATCGGCGATTCCTAGAAAACACTCCACAGCATCGCATGCCACAATGGAACGTCTGCAGCCGAATCATATACTCATACTAGTTTAATCAGAGGCTGCGGGTAATCGGCGGGTCCACATGACGTGTATCACCCTCGCAGCCCCGGAACAGCGCGACTCGCCGGCACTTCCGTTAATTAGAAAGAAGCGCACGGAAGCAAGTGACTTTGCCCAGGTTCACTTCTTTGGGACAACCTATTTTCGCTCAAATTTTGCAGAAATCTACCGAGACACTGCCTATAATCCGCACTCATTTCTTTATCAAGGTCAAGGTTCTAGCAGTAGAAAATCGTCGCTAATTATTTTTGTTGGCAGAAGTCGAAATCGGCCATCTTTAACAGTTTGTGAAGTCGTACTGTGTCGTGCACTTTGGCCGGTCACTTGCTTGTGAAATCAACTTAGCTGTGACGTCTCTTGTTAATTTTCTGCATTTCAAGTATTTTCCCACATCGAACGGGTGCGTCGAATCGTAAGTTCGACTAGGGGCTACATTTTAATCAGTTTACGGCGCAAAGTTATCTTAATCCAATGTCGTTGTTGTTAGTTTACGCAAGTCGCGCACCCACGTGCGATCAGCATTTTTTGTTCCTTTATTAAAATTGAGTTCAATTGCTTCTTGTTAAGAATCGGTTGTCTTGAACGAGTTGAGAGAATAGGTTGTTACAAAACAATTTCAAATAAGTTTTGTGATGTTGATGATTAAACAATGCACACTGATTTCGACGGGACGCGGTCAGCGCCTTTGTACGCGCGGGTGGTGCCGGCTTTTCAATTGTTCGACCGCTAAGCTATAGAGCCATTACTTAAGCCAGATACAGATAACACTAGAAAAATAACACTATTTTTCTAATAAGACACTCACTCATGCTCTACGGTTGTTTCGTTTTTCCTAAATTTTAATAGTATTAACTCAACATGGCGGCCGCGCAGATTTTTAACACTTTGGGTAAACTCGGTATCGGTCTTACTGTCGCTGGAGGAATTGTAAACAGTGCCCTCTACAATGGTAAGTTTAGAACTTACACCATTGACACCGTTGTTTCATGACAACAAGTATGGTTTAGGCAAAAATGTCTGCTTCTATTCAGTAATAGATGTCAGAGCAACGATAAGTTTCGTATTGCTGATCGACCTATTATTTGGACACGATTCTATAGTAAACAATACAATGAGTCATTGCTTGAGCAGTGTCACTGCAGGATCGTTGTTCCAGTGATACGCTCAAATCGTGAAATAAATTTGATCAACACTAATGTGCAAAATGCATCTTTGAAGAATAACTGTTCATCGTATCGATCGTCGTCGGCGCATAAGGGTGGTTTATTACGCGGATTTTCACGAGACTAATGCTATCTCTGACTTGATGTGGCCTCACTCCATACATCAGCTTTGTGTCTGTGAAACACACTGGACTTATTAACTAATGGTTCAATATACATTTGGGAAAGTTCAGCTAATCATTTTCTGTATGTGCAATGGCTTGTATGTTTCATACGACCATTTGTGAGAGTGACTGGTTACTATGCTTCACTATACGAAGACATGCTTCCTCAACATTTTTCGACGTTATATTTTGCTGTTTATGATGCTGGCATTTAATCTAATGAGATCTAAGCAATCGTCGGTTTCTCTGTAAACTATATTCCTGCTTCCTGCAACAAAGATAGAAAAAAAGCTCAAAATCGGGATCCTACGTCTACTGCCAGTCCTCGCGATATGTGTACCTTGAATTATCTTTCGTTTTATCCGTTTATCTTCCGAAAACTGATGAGCACCACACACAGTCTTGTTATAAACCTGACGGGAAAAGATGTTTTTTAAGTAAGAAGAAATGCTAACAATACCAAGTTTACATGTATTGAAAATGCATAGCTATAAAATAGCGTTCGGGTGCGCGCACCCGTAGCTTCTCTAGAAGTTTGTTGTAAGTCTTAAAATTCGAAGATCGTAAGGCGCACTTGGTCAACAGTCGGCCAGGGCAAAAACATTAGTTGGATTTTATGCGACTTATCGTATCTATCGCAAAAACCAGCGAACACAAGTCACAAAGACGTCAATGTGCCTGCTAATACCTGTAAATCAAATCAGATCGCAATACCGTGATTTCAGTGATTCTAGCGCGTTACACCAGAACTAGTTCGCCAGTCAGCAGTTATCGTTCAATTCGTGTTTTCAGTCGACGGGGGGCACCGAGCCGTTATCTTCGATCGCTTCACAGGCGTGAAAAACTTTGTCGTTGGCGAAGGCACTCATTTTCTCATCCCGTGGGTGCAGAGGCCAATTATCTACGATGTGCGTTCACAGCCGCGAAACGTGCCCGTTCTTACCGGATCGAAAGATTTGCAGACTGTAAGCATTACATTGCGTATTCTCTATAGGCCAGCTGCTGAGTCTTTGCCAAAGATTTATACTACTCTCGGCGTTGACTACGATGAGAGGGTTTTACCGTCGATTACTACCGAAGTTCTAAAGGCTGTAGTGGCACAATTCGACGCTTCGGAAATGATCACCCAACGAGAGATGGTCAGCCAACGCGTCTCCGAGGATTTGGTCGAGCGAGCCGCACAATTCGGTCTTATCCTCGATGACATCTCAATCGTATGTTTCTAAGTGCATCACCATGTTAAATAGTGGTTTTATTGTTTGATGAGTGTTAGGCAAACAAAGGCAACCGTTTGAACCAAGTAAAATTCAACCTTGCTTTTGAACACGACTGTTCAGTACAGAGCTGATATTAGAAAATGACCACCTTTTGAGGGTCAAAACTTAGTTAAAACGTTGTCACTTAGGAAAAAACTATTTAGGGGTTGGATGCTATTTATCTTCGTATTTATATAAACTGCCGTTATCTCGCACTTTATGTTAAAGAACACCTATGTGAAGCAAAACGCTAGGGCATGTTTATTTTAACATTATTTTGTATCGACCCAACAGTAACAGATTATTACATAGCAACTTTATGTATGTTTCCATAAAAAGGTGTTCATGTATGACGCACACTTAAAGTAAAAGTATTAATCAGGGCAATCAAAACGCCATTTGAGCGGCATAATTAATTTTTCCCGAGCTTTCCTGCTTTTTCATAGGCGCGATTAACAGCAATTGTTGGTCTTTCTGTGCATGTATGATGAGTTATTTAGCTTTTTCATATTAGGCAATTCATAACGTACGAGAGACAATAAGCAATACAACTTGGTTAGGTTAGGCCGAGCAAGCCATGTCAAGATAAATTGTTCACTTTCTGTGTAGGAAATGGACTAGAACTGCTTGTTTTCATATACTCAACGATCTAAACGTATATTTCATAACTATGCTAAGATGAGCTTTATTTATTGCTACTGTCGGCTGAGTAGACACATTTGACATTTGGACGGGAGTTTACCGCCGCCGTCGAATTAAAACAGGTCGCCCAGCAGGAAGCCGAGAGGGCTCGTTTTCTCGTCGAAAAGGCCGAGCAGCAGAAGAAAGCCGCTGTCATCTCGGCCGAAGGTGAATCTCAGGCCGCTTCTCTGCTCGCTAAGGTAAATCGTTCTACACACGTATTTTTTACAGTTACGAATAAACAGGTAATCGAATGGGACCGGATAAGTAGCCTGGTTGTGGAATTACGGCATCGTCAAAAGTTGTCAGTATTTCAAACCTCGGTTGGATAGTTCATTTGAACATGCTGGGCATGCTAGGTTTGTACAACGAGAAAAAGAGGAGGCAAAAATCCGTAAAAAGAGATTTTCAGTGGAACTATAACTGTGGTTTGAGTTCATTCCTCTATCTTAATAATAATGCTATACTACAATTATCTCATATGATGCATTTAGAAGTTTATTATTTTATTACTTTAGTAATAATACTATAGTTTGTTTGGTTACTTTGAAAAATTACAAAGTGTATATACGATATCTATTCTGATAGGTTTTTCGTGTTTTCTCCTTGTTTTCCGTCACAGGCCTTTGGTGATGCCGGTGACGCCCTCGTTGAAATTCGTCGTCTAGAGGCCGCCGAAGATATTGCTATGCAGCTAAGTCGGTCACGCAACGTTGCTTATTTACCACATGGGCAAAATATATTGTTGAGTCTTCCAACGGGCAATTAGATTAAGCAAACCGATAAAACAAGATATCGAAACGTAACATGCGTTTAATAGAGGCCGGCCCGTTGCAAGCCGCAGTTCTATTTTGTGGCATACGACGGCGCTGCCGTTAGCTATTACTATTCTTATTAATGCCGCTAATATTATTGAATTGCTTATATTTCTATTGTTTTATTAGTAATACACAATCACTATAGTATTATCGCTGCGTGCAGCATCGCATGTCAAAAGTTTCGGTAAATTAATTTCATTGGTGTCATGCTTTCTAATGCGGTGCACATGTCTCATTTCACAGAACTTACGCGTGTTCTTTCCCTTTTGGTATATAGAAAAAAATCTAGTTGGCAAATCTAGCCACAGTAATTGTTGTATATGAGAAAGGAACTTGCTCGGGCACGCCCGGAGTGAATGGTGATTTTGACGAGGTGTGCTAAAAGTATAGAAAATTAACATTACGGAAATGTGAGGACACGTCTAAAAAAATGAGCTGAAGAAGTTATACATAGCTGCACAAGCACGCAATTTGTTCATGGAGCAAAGGGATGCAAAATACCAGACGAAAAGCAGAGGAAAAATACCATGTGTTTTTACGAGAATAAATGGGATTTTATTTTACAAGCAGTTGCATGATCATTTAACAAATACATAGCTATAGCATGGCTCGTCATTATTGTCGTCGTTTAGACTTAGTTTACAGGTGGTAGATGGTGGCTCGAAATAGCTCAGTTCCTGGTTTTAGAAATTTATAAAAACATATCCTGATATCATATATCAACGAAACCCGGCGGAAAATATGGGCAATCTGGAGTTCTCCTGGTAATCTACAAAAAAGAAAAACCAGCAGAGAAGTATATAATTCGCTGACGAGCTATTTGTCGGTTGAACATTTGTTTATAAATTGTATCCCGCAATTATTATCGTCGTTCCATTAAAAACAATGTTTGGTACTGTGCCTAAAAAACCTAACAAAGTGTAACAGTTCTATCGCTGCTTGCCTGGTTTTAATACGTGAAAACTGATAACCTAGCTTCGGATGCTGAAAATTAGTTGGTTGGAATGTTTGATTTGTCAAATATATATATATATATATATATATATATATATATATATATGTTTTGATTCCAAATTGTGTAAAGGACTTCCAATTCTTTTCGGCGAACATGCATTTGATAACGTCATGTGAGGAAAACATGTTCACATTTATCAGACGAGCGTAATAAAATACATGTGGATAAACATGCTGTGAATTTTCGGTAAAGTATCCACACCGCAAAAAGGTAAAAATAACCTTAGGCAGTGCTGAGAATAATGTTTGACAATAATATAAAAAATATCCTATATCTCCTACCACAGACTGGTAGTGGAACTATTGGGTAGCATTGGAGGTGCCGTCGTGGCGCAACCGTTTTCGTCTGAGTGATCCGGGCAGTCCACTGTGCCATCGCAAATTTTCTCGCCTTCGCTGAGGACCAACAACTCCGCAGAGCATGCTGCAACGATAAGATTCGACAGTGAAATGATGATATATTTCTGAATAGCTACAAACGGTTTTTGGAAATTAACCAAAAAAAGTAGCGTCAGATATTAGTCAGAGAAATCGATCCTTATTACTTCGATAAGTATTTATTTGATTACGAGGGCCATCATAAGATCCGCCATAAAAGGTATCGTACCAAGAACCGATCTTTCAGATAAGATTTACGCTGCTCAGATTTATGAATCCGACCCTAAAGAAATCACGAATGACCCATGCGTGCGTTAAACAAAACCGTTCATTTGTTGTCCTTGAATAGGTGTTATTATTCACACCAAGATAACTACTAAAAACATAGAAACTTGGCTTTATTGGAAAGGGCCAACATATTCGTTCAATTTGAGCAGTACAATGGAATATATTATCAAATATAGTCGGTAAGGTACGTGGTACATATTACTGCTCCACTAAACAAAATACATCCAATTAGCCTAGTATTTTGACTGCACGGACCATGTGTTACTACTAAAAGGATGAAACGGCAGCAAATATAAGCTACGTTACAAAAATGTTTTAGACTGCTGGTAGACAGAAGCCTCTTCTCATCAAACCAATAAAGATGTTGGTTGCATTCGTTTCCAACATTTATTAACAATGAATTTGGCAGCTGTGACGCTTGCTCGGCTTCGCAAGCAGGTTGTCACTTACGACTTTGTTACGAACTTGTTGTTACTTGCACGTTATTTCATCATGAACATACACACAACGCTTTTAGATGGAATTATTTCGCGGTCATAATGTATTATATTTCAGATAATAAAAGTCAGCTCCGACACCTTCCTGTAGTTGGGCTACAAACACCAATAAACGTTTCTGCTGTGTGCACAAATAAATGCAGTGGGTTACTATTCATAGAGATGCGTGTATTAGCATCCACTCAATATGTAACTCATTTAATTAATTGATCTAACATGTGCCATAGTCAAAATGAATCAACTATTGTTGCATCAACTCAGGCTATTCTTTCGCGCCATTACGATTTCAAAATATTGAAGCGCGGAGGCGTTTCGCTCTCTTGCGTCAACTCTCGGTCTTCGGAGCCATTCTCTGGCTAGAGTCTGCATTCAGCCCTCTGAGTTTACTTCAGGGTTGACTCCTTCTGGGCCCTTCCTCTCGTAAAATCAATACAGCTGATGATGCAGACGACAGGCATGAGTTATCTAGCCATCCGGCTGCTGGCAACTGCCAACGGTAGATCTTCGTAGTTGACCACAGGGCACGTAGGGCAGTCCAACGTGTGGGCACATTGCGCAGTACAGTGTGGTGGAATCGAATTTTCTGCGGATAATTTTACCTAGAATCGTGTTGAGTACTGTCTAGACACGCAGTGGTGTCTTGCCAACGCTAATTTCCAGTGTGCGTAGCCGAATCTATTTCGGCAAGTGATCATTCCAATGGGCGCCTCTAGCGGTACTATATTCCTGTTTACGCTGCTATGGGTGGCAGTCGGTGCGGGTATTCCGTGGTTTGTGCCGAACAAGAGCTGGCGTCCATTGGCACAAATGGCGATTGTGATGTCGTCTATCTGCTATTACGTCTTCTGGCTGTGTACGTACATGGCACAGATGAACCCGCTCATAGGGCCGATACTCGAAAAGAACACGCTAGTTGCGGCGCGAGCAGCCTGGATAGGTTAAACCGGTGGGATCAATCACCGTCAGTCTAAAACAGATATTCGGCCATCAGATATATTGAAATCGAACAGCGGAGCAAAGTCAGCCAAAGGAGGGTGTTTTCTTAAATAGCATAATTTGTATTTCTTGGTAGTGTTTCGGACGACCTCCGAATGGCCTACATTTAGTTTGTCCATTCTATTTTCTGGACATTACTCGATCGATCGAGCACTGAATGGAGAGGAGATCCGATCGGTTAGTGAAATAAAGTCATGCGCTGTTCTTTGCCTTTAGTTTCACAGAAGAAATAGATACAAACTGAAACAATGGCATACACGTAGTCTAATGTCAAATGAAGCAAACAAGCACATGAAATCAGATCACATAAAAGACTGATTTTTAAGCTTCGATTTATTTCGTTAGACATGTAACGAACGTAAAATGAACCATAAAAAAATTGATAACCAAATAAAACGTTGAAATAGATATAGTGTATAAAAGAAAGCATAGTACGACAAGATGGAAAGCCTCCCACCGCTCCCGTCATCCATTTTAGTGCGATTGGCTATCGTATTGAGATGTCGATATGGTTACTACTTTTGAACAACGCCCGAGGATCCGCGCGTATCATCATGGCGGTAGCAGTGGGTGGACCAGTGCAATGGGCGGTTGCAGTCTATAGGAAGGCTTTGCCGCAATGAAAAAACCGTCAGCGGAAACGCGCTGTGCGAAAATCAGAAGTAGAACAAATTATGGCCAAATTTGATCGAGATCGAAGTTGGAATTTTGATTTAAAATCTTTTACCCGATGCCTGTGAGACGAAGGCGTTTAATATGCAAGAGATAAGGGGATGTTGAACCCAACTGTGTGACTACTGAAGATTACAAAAAAAGAAAAAGGACTATATAAAAATAAAATATGGATAAAGTAATTGATAAAGAGATTCATCGGCCGATTATGTAAATGCTAAAATTAAAAGAGGAAACAATATCTACAGGTGGAACGTTACATGCAGAGCAGCCGCTGTTAGTACGTACAGGAGAATTTACTACTATTACTACTGATATAATTGCATAATTTTGCATAGAGTTAGATAGGCGTTGCAGGATAATAACAATATCACTGATATGGCTTCTTTGCCCCATACATGCAGTGGGCTACTCATACGACATTCGTGGCATCCGATAATCCCCAAAAGATACAGTAACCATTTAGATAGGCAAACACACGTGATCTCACAAAGTGAACAGTAAAATAATAATATTAATATAAAATATTAATGACTATACATAATACGACGATTAGCTAACAGTAAAAAAATGTTATTATTTAGGATATAGATTGTCCTTTGTCATGAAAGATGGAAAGGAATGTACTAACTTTTATCGTCATTAGTATATTATTATGAAATAAATTTTCCAAAATAAATTCTAGATAAATACACTTAATTACTTTTACTGTTCGGCTAATTGTGATTTATTAATTTTTACGATTATCCCTTATGCTTCCAGTTCTTCATAGACTTTCGATTTATATGGAGACGACAATTATGCCACTTAATTTCCAAAATCAAGATAGCTTCATTTGATTTAAAATCAATACACTATATTCGAAAGATATTATAGACTTACAATACTAAGTTAACTTTAAATCTTAAAACGGAAATTACTGAGGACGTGTTGCGAAAGGATGCTTACGTGGCCTTAGGGTGCAGTTGTGGTTGGACAGAGAGTGGCAATTGATTTGCGAGCGAATTCGGTCAGGAACGAAGGCATTACAACGGTAGAGGAAATACTCGCAGAATTCACGGCACGGCGGATTCACCTAAAATAGTATATATATACATTACTATTTAATCTTATCTGATAGCACTAAATCTTTAGTTTTTTTAAGTGGTGAATTTTTATACGTGAATGGTTCAATTAGGATAGAAACCTGGGGAAACGAGGGTGGAACATGAAGCAACCGAGGAAGGCTTTTCGTAACGAGAGACACTAGTCTCCCGCTAGTGCCACCGTCGGAAGTTCGTTTATTGGTCTCAAACCTCGTAAGGGCTGACCTAGTTAAACACATAGATTTGCGGTAAAAAATAAATCCCTATAGTTAAGGCAGTTCTGCAATTTTAAAATCTGCCACCGGATCAGATTAAGTGCGGTTAACAATATTTAATAATTCCTTATCACCTTTTGGCGAGTTTGCGAATCACATTGTGGTTGTAGAAGATGGCAGAGAAACAAGCCTGCTAAAGGATAACATTCACCGTCCATCACTTCTCGAAACATTCTCAAATCCCAATTAAGTTCTTTCGACGAGTTGTGCCCGACGAGGTTCGGATAACCTAATTTTTAATAACGCTTATTCTTAGTCATTCGTTTCAGTCTGCCGTAAACTGTCTAAAAAAATATTAAAATTCTCGTACTTTGTTTAATATCATGCAAAGTTCAATATTCGTATGTATGATTAATGTGCGTGGACCGAGACAATCTATTCGGTTGTGTGATGAACACCAGCGTCGTTAGTTAGTATCTAAATATTTATCCGTCTCAGCATTTCAAGCCAAAGTCATTGATTCTGAACACACTATATAGAGGCAAAAGTCTATGTAAAGTTTAGGATAGATTTAAATTCGACGACTCGATTTTAGGCAGGTAACAACATTCGGCTTCGTCAGCTGGTATTAAGACATCAGTACCACTAATTAATATAAAAGCTTGATACAGATTGCTATTCAAAAGGGATTATAAAGCTAACACTTACCGGTGAAATTGTACGGAAGATGCGGTATACAGGGTTCAACAACAAAAGACTCGCAAGAGTGCGTCATTGCTGTTTTGTTGGCCGATGAACTTGCACGTTTATCCGTTCTCCGATCAGCAAGCGTGTAAAAAAACGTGTCTGGATCAAGCGTAGCCATTTTTCGCCTATACACTTCCGCTGGAACGGAACAGGCAATCACGGTCATGCATCGAGTACTCGCAGTTAACCTCAGTCATTTTCGTATCGTGGTACCGGCCACGTCTCTTCATTGTATAGTACAAGCAAATTTAGATATATAAGAAAAATGATTCTGTACTGTAATTGATTTATTCTCTATACATTGCATGTGTGCATTATGTGTATTAATAATGTTTGAAGTTTCACGTCCAGTACTGCCGTTAGGACATTTTGGGTCCTGCATGAGAGGCATTTACACTTGTTTTGCAAATCTTAATTATCTTACATACCCCCAAATTTTATGGACAGAAGAGTTACTACTGCACCACCACTGGGACCAGTGTGTTATTTTTTTTTACCTCCATGTATAATAGCGAGGACAGCCGATGCTGTTAATAAGATGATTGACATCACTAGACAGAACGTGGTAAAACAGCAACAGAAACAGTTGGCTTCGATTGCGGTCGGATCGTTTTGGCTTCCAAAATCGTGGGCCCAAACAGAATTTCTACTGCCAACTCGCGCTGTGTCTGTGAGTTCCGCCGTTCGGTTTGTCTCGTCCATGGGTCGAAGTTCGTCGTTTCTCCCGCCACAAAATGCTGACGAATCTTTCGAGAACGAAGCTGGCTCATAGATAGATGATTCACGAAGAAGTGTGAAATCGTGGCGTTCAATGGGAAACTATTTCGTGGAATAAATGCACACCCAGTAAACACCATAACAGGTAAGGCAAAACATTTCCTTGGGTTAAACCACAAAACTTCATAAGATATATTTGTTTATTAATTCAATGAAACGTCTTGTTCGAGACCGCAGTTTATTGGATATCATATTAATGAGTAAAACGATGAAATATGATGAGAAGCTAACCTTTCTATCTATCTCTGTTAAATCTTACTGGAACTTGTGCTTGTCTATTTGTAAAATTACTAATAATAATATAATATAATTAATAATAATATAATGAAAATTAATATTTTTTCAAAAGAGCCTCTCGCATGGATGATTTTATGAAGTTTGGCCATATTTTTTAGCGATTTCTTCAGCTATTTCTAAGGACCTCATAAAGCTTTATATTGAAAACTTGTTTATTTTCACAAGATTCACGAAATGGGCATACAATTAGGGTTAAAAAAAATTTTAAACGGCATTGGATCTTTTAAATTAGCACATACGTACATGACATGTATATCATATGTTAGTCACATGTATATCTGGAAAGAAAAAATTTACAACATTTTGTAATTTACATAAAATGAATGTGCGGTCTTCTACACTAAACAGGAAACTTCTGGTTTACACGTACACTTTGTGCGGTCTCCACATGTCCACTGACGTGGTCTTTATCGAATCCGGCTATCAGACTGACGAGCTTGCGATGGCTCTGCGTATAATTATGATTATGTGGAAGCATTCCAGGGCAGGAGCTTGCCTGGGACGAAAATGGGGCATGAAACAGCTGCGGAAGGCCCGTTGTCCCAACGAGGGGCGCTGGCCTTGACGCCCGAAGTGTCACCGTTGGGGTTCCGTTTGCCGGTTTTAAACCTCTTGGAGGCAGAGACGGCGGAACGGCTAACTCTGTGTAAAAAAAAAATCTTTATAGCTGAGACGATTTACTCACTGGACCACTCAGTCCTAGCAATTCACAGTTTTTACATTTGCGATCGGATCAGATTATATATATATATATATATCAAAAAAGTATTGACCGCTTTGCTAGCTAGACGAGTTCAGTATCGTATATTTCAAATAATGTAGGTAGGCCCTGGTCGGCGTTACTGTCATTTGGCAGTAGTAGATATATTGAAGTTGTTAAAATGTTTATACTCAAACCGAAGATGAGAGAAATTTCTGTAAAAGAAATCCCTTTATTTTGCAATTTTATTACAATAAGAATACACAAATGCTACCCAGGTCCACAAAAAAGACTGTGCTTTTTATAATAAGGCGTGTAACGGGAAAAATGGCCTAACAATGATTCTGCCGTTTTCATTGTGGAGATTTTGAACTGAGGGATACTCCCCCATCGACCAACTGTGAAAAAAGCTGATAAAATTATTGCGAAGTAGAGTAACACTGGTACGAGGGTACCCAGAACACCGCCAACAAACTAATTACGAAACAGTTTTAAACAATTGGGAGGAACTTGGTGTTGGAGTGCAGGGAATCGCATCTTAATCTGCGATATTTTACAAGCGACGAAGTCAAGCCATTTTCAAAGTAACTGATTACACGTAACGGAAAGTGGATCACATATGAAAACAACGTACAATTAAATAAATATGTATGTCGTAGTGTCTGTGGCAAAGCCCAAGCTGACCTCAAAAAAGGTAATTCTATGCATTTGGTGGGACTGCAAAGAAATCGTGCACTATGAATTACTGCCGCCCAGCAAAACAGACCTCTACTGTTAGCAGCTAATAAGATTACATCAAGCCATTGAAAAAATAAGTTGGAGCTAGCGAACAGAGAAGATGTCGTTTTCCACCATGACGATGCTGGAATACATATATTTTTAGCTATTTGGCAACAATTGAAAGAATTCGAATGGATAATTTCAATGTATCTGTTGCCCGAATGTTGCACCATCAGACTATCATGTACATCAATTCTTGCAAAACTTTTTTTTTTTCATTATTCAATTTAATTTCAACAGAGGGATGCAAAAGTCACTGATTACATTTATTCGCTCAGAGACTTTAGAAGTTCTGCAGTGGTGGGATTGTACTGTTACCAGAAAAACAGTAAAAAAGTCACCGGTAAAAATGGTGCATTTTTAGTTTAGACATATTATCTCAAAATACAAGGTTTGCCTCAATGTTGGCCTAAAATGGCCAATAATTTTTCGAAGACGACTCAATTTTGCCGACCCCCGACAATCGTCTTCTTAATGGTATGCTTAAAGAAGAGCACATCTGGTAACATTTATTACAAATAACTATAATTTTAAAAAGTGACAGAAAATACCCGGCAGCTTAAATGCATTAATTCGTACGCTTTACACATATAAGCATAAGCATTTGGGTATTTAAGTATATTTGATTTTGCAGGCAAAACGCTTTTATTTGGGCTGAAATTTCTTTTTTTGTGTGAACTGGTCCTTCTACACCAGTCCTCATCTTTCTTCGCAGTCAGCCTCCACCCATGCTATTATAAGCACTATGGGCACCAACTTCCATTTACTGTCGTTACGAGCACTATATCCCTTTATTTTGTAGCGTATCAGACATCTTTCGCCACCTGTTTGGCCCAGAAGATGAAAGGAAACGCATTGTCGTAGCACATTAGCTTTCCCCTTCACTTAATAATACCCCACTTACTGCTCCACGGAGCCAAGCAGTAGGTCGTCTCCGCGTCTGGTAGCTGGTTGTCCATCAAGACCACGCCGTCATTATCAACGTATGTAGTTTCGTTATTAGAATCGGGAAGGCAACGAAAAGACCGACCAAGTCAGTGAGTCTCAGTGGCGACGGCGAGACCTACGACGTGTCACACCCCCATTCGTAATTCACTACCACTGTGCCCACGCTGGCGGCAACGGCCTTTGGTGAAAGACACCAATGGCGCTGGTGTCCCACTCTCGAGTCACCGCGGTACAACTATTATCTCCCCGTTGAGAATGAATAGGGAGTAGAGAGCTATTGTTCTGAGGAGCGACCCGTCGTCCAAAACATATCATCTTAACGGTAACAACTGTGCTAGCCTTTGCCGTGATGGTAACTGTGTAATCATCATCGTAATAAGAAAAAGAATAGCCAGCATCTAAGCAAAATAACTTGCTGAATAGAAGGGGAATAGGGCTGAACTTTTAACGGTTTTAGCAGAAGAGGGCTGTAGATGATGCAGAAAAAATATATTGCTCAGCCTTGATAGAGAACATAGATAGAAGATAATCAGATAGAAGATGGCGGCCGTCGGTGAAGCCGCAGGTCCAATAGTATTCTTGATGGCACGATCTATGTATCCATTGTTTGTTCACAAACCACAGGTTAGCCTGCTGTATTTCTATCCATGATAGCGCAGTGGATAACGTGTTTGTTTGCTAAATTTCGGTCCTGCCTCGAATCCGCACGTAAACAAATTGCGCTTCCTGCTAAGAACGACCTGTCCGAAATAATGCCTAACCACTGGAGTACCAAACGTAAAACACGAAAAGTAACTTCGTATGTGTAGTTATCTGCTTTATATAGAGGCATCGTTCGTTGCAAAAATAACGATCTATTGCGTTAACTAATCTATATGGGATACTAGACCGTGCCCGTATTAGCTATTCACACCAACATGGAGGCTTGGTGCTAAGCTTGAAAAAATTAAAATTAGGTCAACCTATTGATTAAAATTTCCTATCATTCGGGTTACTTTCATTATTCGCAAAAATTGTGTACTTTTGTCTACAATATAATGGTGGTTGATTCTCTTTGGACTAAAAATCTTTAAAATGGATCTAATAAATACTAGGCAATGTTTGCCTTTTGCTTCTTAATAAAAGTATTTTTTATGTATGTTCGAAAAGAGAATTTGTTAACACCGCCTAGTTTTACAATCTATTTTCTTTAATCTTTGAATCTATTTTTTATAGCAGTAGCCAACTCGCTCTAAATATATATATCATGCAATATGTTCCTAAAAAATCTTGCTCGTGAATCACAGCTATAAATGGTAAATCGTGCCATCACCCCTTGTCATACGTCAAGATGTCTATAGCGGCGTCCCATAGCTGTGAGAAGAATTGAACTTCAATATTCGACTTGTTACAGCTAGTGAGTTCATCCCAGTGCTGCTCTTTTGATATCATCTTAACAGACTTATTGCTAAAACGAAGAGTAGATACATGCGAGACCGGACCTTTGCTTGGTCGAACGTAAAGTTACACGACTCAAATGTAACTTGAACGAAAGCTTGCTGATAACACTAACAGGATCTTCGCAACAATTGACGAACGTCATGGATCAATTCTATTTTTGCCAGCTTTCCGGCAGTGCTACTGTTGTTGGAAGATTACCGCTACGACAGCCCTTTTGCTATTCAAATTGCGTGTTCTCCTATATTCTAAAAAGAAAAATCTTGTAAAGGCGAAAAACTAGTTGAAACGCTGCTTTGCTTGAATATATACAACTATGCTGAAAAAACCGGTTTAAAAAGCGGATGCTACTTAATTGTTACTAAGGTATTTTATCCTCAGAAATAAATTAAAGAGGGGCTCAGTTTATAAGAACTAGATATTGAAATTTATTCAGCTTTGGTCTCCAGTTGCTGACTTTGAAAACTGAAAGGCTCCAGGGGACATGCATGGCCTAGATTCTATCCCTTTTAATTTCGGTTATGGGAATTCATTGAAAGGAAAAAAAAACATGAAATGCTTACATAATGCTTTATGCAACATCTGTTACATTTTCGAAATAGTGTTGTCAATATGATAAGTGGGCGTGCTCTTGCAACTTTAAGATAGTTAGAATGACTAGGATGAAAACCAAATTCGAATAGCTTATTCGGAATAACGAAAAGTCTGATATTAACTCCAACCAGTCTTAGCTGCACAATAATAGGGCTTTAACTGCTCAAAGAGTCTGACCACCCGCCAAGCGACTTTAATATATTTGTTGGTTACATGTTGCCGAAGCTGTACAAGTAAACAAAAATTAATAAAGTACTGTCTTATTCAAAACCTTGGAAAAATTATACAGCTAATCTAAACATTTTTTTTAAAACATACTTGCTATTTTCGCAGTTTCAGACAACAAACTGGAAGAAACTAGTGTTAAATTAAACGTTACAAATTGGGCTACAATTTATAACCGCCAAGAGTTTTAGGTGAATAGATATAAGTTTTTCGAGTGCTACACCCAGTATAACCCGCAGCAGTGTATAGCTTCAGATGGGTGGCTGGATAAGCACCTCAAAGCTAACATTGTGCAATGTTGTTCTTACCAGGTATGATATGTAGAGCATCATCCATATGTTCAGGAAATACGTGTCCATTTTGTGGCTTCCAATTCCAGACGACATCCTTAACACCTTGAAAACATCCAACGGAAGGTGCGGTGCTACCTTCAGTTCCTGGGGCTGGATGCGGATAATTCTCGTTAATAGGCCGCATCACTGAGAAGACAGGCCAATAGTTTTGAAGGTGTTGACTTCCGTTATTCGCTTGAGAGACCACCTCGACGCGCGTAGAGCTGCAATCCTTTTCAGGATTGACTCCTACTCGACTGGGTGGAAAAGTCAATTTCAGAGAGCGAGGAGCCTGCTCCTCTATACAATCATCGCGATCCATCAGCGCAATTTTCATGATTTAGTCACTGATTCAAGAAAATAGCACAGCCCACATGTTGTTACGGTTGTTCACTTTCGAGAATAGATTAACCTTTCGAACACTCTTAGAGACTAGCGAAATTTGAAAACTTACTATTGTAATTCTTTTATCGCTCAAAAAATTCCACGTTTCTCCGATTCCACGTGTGAGTGATTCCATGTACATTAACCATCTTGTACTACACTGTACATCCCCTCGATTCATAACAATGCAATCTAACACATGAAGATTTTCACATGAGACGTTAACATAGCATTCACGTATCTTGCCGGTAAATTGTTACTATTGTTAAATCCAATTATTAGAATATCTTGGACCTAGGCTAGTCGATTTCTAGCCTCTTGTTCAAACTCGAAAATCTTGACTTTATCGTTTACCCAAGTCTATTTTCTAAAATCCATTTTCACGGAAAATTACAATAATGCGAAGGTATTCCGCTCGTTTCCTGCGATTCACTGCCCTTTCCATTTCCATTCACTTGCGAACGGGTGGGGCGATGCTCCACGGTGCTGCCCGGTGACGACAGAGCGCAGGCCACAGGTGCGCTATGTGCATTAGTGTGTGCGTGAGAAGGAGCCGTGAGGGGAAACGTGAGAAAGTGGAAAAGATCGGGCTCAAGAGCATTGCAAAATTAGGAACGCCAGTTCCAGTGGTCAGATTTGATTGATGAATTATTTTTTCCTAGGCTTGGCGTATGAACACTTTCAAAAAAAGGCACTTAATCCAACGCATGGAAATGCACTGTTTATACCGAACTAATTGAAAGCTGGCCATTCAGGGATTCACAAGGCACCCTTGCATAACGCAGTTGCTCGAATGACCAACCCTTTAATTAGTTGTTTCACGAACCGCCAGTAACACGTACTACATAACTAGAGTAATTACTACATAAATAGAGAGAGCTGTGTACTCAGCCATTGCACAGTCGTCGCGTACGGACTCATGGCACTACAAGTACTGTTACTGGCATTCTGTAAAAATAATTAACCGCTTTTGAGAAATACATTTAAGCTTTAATTATTATTATTATTATAAAAGAATATTTTAAATGATAAATAATATGCAAAGATTCCAGAGAAAGTACACTAGCAAGGTCAGTGATGATGCTCATCCTGTATTGCAAAAACACTTCGATATGAAATTCAAGAAATGAAAAACGTTGAGCGAAGGCAATCAGATGCATCGAATTACTTCAGTTCCCTTAATGGGCGCCTTTGTTCAGAGTGATTGTCGAACCAACATTAAACAAGCTAATATTCCCAACTACGGCAAGTGTTGTGCTCAAGCTAATACTAATAGTCCAGGTTATCGGCTATAGGCCATAACTGTACAGCCCCCCTTCATTTTAATATGAAACGCTGACGCCAGACAAGCTGGGATATACTACACCGCATAAAAATAAAGCCGAATGGTGAACACCAAATGAGTGGCCTAACTACCCCCCCCCCCCCCTCTCTCTCTCTCTCTTGGTTTAGGTCGGATTTGAAGAGGGCTGCACCACGTTAAACACATCGTCGGGCACGCGCTTGCTTAAGAAGAAAGATACACCCCTGCTTGCGTTTAGCTTACCTGCCTTTATCGGGCTGTGGGCGTTTACTTTCTTGCTAGCGTCACGTCGAATAGCATTGCACCGCGGCTCCATCGAGAAGCTACACGTCCAGCAGCCATCACAACAGACAGGTGACGCGCGACGATTACAAATGTAGCACCAAGTTTCAAAGCTTCTTTATCGTTTTCATGCCTGTTTCGTTTTTGTCGCCTAAATTCTCCATACCTCACAAAACCGACTCTATAATGGACCGAAGAAATAGAAGGAACATTGAGAAAAAATCATTCCGAGGCGGAGCACTGTCTTTTACTGCAGCAATGTTTGTAGCAACGATGATAAGGTGATGCTGGTAAACTGCACCGGCTTCAATGAGGTTGAAACGCCTGTCGCTGTCAGTACCACAATACACTGGCGTGTATTGAAACGTATACCTATAAACATGCAGGCGTTTCTCCCTTGAGTGTTGAGCCCGCAGGCTATTCTGTATTTCGAAGTTCTGTGAAAGTTTAAGGAAGCATTTGAAGTGAAAAAGCAGGAAGAGACAAACCGAATCAAGTTAAAAGATAAAGCAAACGGAAAATTATTTTAAAAACTTAAAAGAAAGAAGAGGAACGAGATTACGGAATAGAGTATTGTAGAAAACCACACGCGAGCCGATTTTAAGACCAGAGATAAAAGATTGCATTTTCTCACTTCTACTACACTTCCCAAAGATTTTTCATTTATGTAGCAACAGCATCAACGGCAGATAATGAGTGCCGTTTTCATGAAAGGCACAACAGCAGTGAACCACTAACTAGTATGCCAGTCACGTGGCGTAATATGCGGGCTGAGAAATCTATATTGCCGTTATCGTCACGCGGTGGTTGCCAGAGCATTTTTATTTAATACGCGTGGCAAATACATACAGGGTAATTCAGTTTGCCAGAAGTATTTAGCTCACATCTTCGTTAATGAGGCATGAAAATATGGTACGGGCTGGATTAATAAAGGAAAGCCAAGTTTTTAATGCTCACCGTTTATATTTACCCATAAAAAGTACGTTAATTTTTCCAAGTGCAAGGATATCTTTTAGTACACACGATAACGAAATACCGTTATTGTATCTTAGTGAATAAGTAAGCATGCTTTATGTTTTGTCAGCTAGAACGTTTGTGCCAAGATATCCTAATAGGTTGCTAATTTTTATATTTTACGAGTTGCTTACTAGTTGAGTCAGTATCCAATCAACCTGTTAGACTTGTTGAACACATATAGGTGAAATTGAACCGTTATCGCGTAATTGCTTTATCTGCTGTATTCTAAACGTATCGTTAACGTATCGCGATAAAGCTAAGAAGTACACACACTATAACCTAGGATCTTATAAAAAGGCCGTCGTTCAATAAAAAGTCCGCACTAACGTGAAATCAAAAATGTGATAACAATAATAATTTATTTACATGTAGGACCACATTAATGTGCATGCATTTAACCAAATCAGGACACTGGGACTTTTAGATTCCACGCCCCAGCGCTATTGCCTATTCCATCCTGCGGGTGGCTAATATTTAGCGACTGATAGTATAATGAGCGACGCCACGCGTTTCCTCGATTGTAGTGGCCATCATGATTGGAGGCACACGAATGTTAAAATGTTTTGCAAGTAATAGTCGAAAGAAACTCATATTTATCGAGGTTGCAAGATCAATCGTATATGAGTAAACAGCTATGATGGTGGAGAGTTCATCTTGGAGATCATCGATATATAAAACACAAGTCTCATAGGTAATAAAGACTCTTTGTTATTATCTATTTCGTTAACACAATGTTTGATTAATACTTGAGATGACGACTTTTTATTATATTATCGTTGTTGTTAAGCGTGGCCGACTTTTTATATGTTTAAGTGTTTTTCTAAATTTGAAATAAACGCTAACAAAGTGGCATCAAACGCTTTTAGTAAAACTCTGCCTTTTAATCAAATGACAATATCGTTCTGTTTTCAAGGTGCAATGGCTCATTTCTACTTTTCTATTTCAACTTCATGAGCATCAAGCCTACAAACTGAATTAAACTAATTATTTAATCGTTTCCTCAATTCAAGGTGTCTATGGCAGGCACAAGCGAACAACCATAACTGACTGTTTCCGCTTCTTCTCTTCTACAACACTACAAAATATACACTACACTGATTTCAGAACATCAAATCGAGTTTTTTAGACGCGCGGGCCATTATTCATTCTTTCAGGATTACGATTAGTATTTTCATTGATACGACTCTGCAAGCCTCACCTATTGCAGTCGGGACTGCTACTGATCTTCCACCCACTATGCAGTCATTACCGAAATGACTAACGTTAGGCTTCCATGGCAACCACATCGGCTGCCTCAACAACAGCCGGCTCCCGGCTGTCGTGAAGCACGGAGCGGAGCGCGCTCGTCGAGAGCTCAACCTGCGCCGCTTTGGCAGTTCGTGCCGTGAGGCTTGCCTAAACTGACGACAAACCTCCGAGAATGGTTGATGTAAGGCAGTTGTCACGGCTATGGTTAATCCTAATCCAGGAGGTGCGCTTGTGTGCATGAACTAGGATACTACGCGTGCAAAACACTTTTACTTATTTATACAGTATCTACTTGTTTACTAATTAGCAAGCCAGCTGAGAAAACTCCTGAATCATAATGAGTGCTAAAACGAAGAAGGAAATCTCCAGCGAGGTGACAAACTTTTTAGATTTAGCACCAAAGGAGCTACAACAACTCAAACAGGAACTCATCCAGTGTCGTGCCGATGTCGTCAAGCTGGTCGATGAGAACAGAAGGTTATTTACTGAGTTGAAACATCAGGTCCGGGTACGGCTCAACATAATGGAGGAGAACCAACACGGTGGGTTGGCCGATACCGTGACACTTCTTCAGGAGGAGCGGGACAACGCTCTAAAGGCCCGGGACAAAGCCTTCAGTCTTTTCCAGAGCACAATCGCCGAAGTGACACGGCTTGACATGGCGTTAAAAAAGAAAGCAGACTACATCTCTCCAGATGATTTCGAGGCAGCCGTACTCAAGCTAAAAGAAGAACATCTGTCGAAAGTCGACTCAATCGAGCGGCAACTGCAGATCACCCAAAATGAACTTCGGAGCGCATCATCTTCCGTGCACCAATTGACATGGAGATTATTGCGCGATGGCAGCACCACTCTGGATGACAGCCAGGTTCGAATCGGCGACGTCCTTCATAGCATGGAAAACCTGCAAAAACAATATAACGATTTGGAGTTCGCTTATCAGAATCTGAGAACAAAAGTTGATCTCAAAGACAAACAGTTGGAAACACATCGATATCGTAGCAAAGACCTCGAAGATCAATGCGAGTATTTAAAGGATCGCTGTCAGCAACTAGAAATGCAAATTTCCCAAGCACTTCAGCATGCCGAAGCTAGTGTCCAGGCAGCGGAACTCGCTGTGGCGGAACGCAACACAATGACAATACACGTTCAAGATCTACAGCGCCTTGTCGAGCAACTAAATAAAAAAATCACTGAGAGCACATTAAACCAGAAGAAGGAGATAGCAACTCAGGTGGAGAAAATCCGTTTGGAGCTGGAGGCAGATAAAGCCGATTTGAGGGCACAGTTAGTTATAGCTCAAGAAAAAGCTAAAACATTTGAGGATGAAGCTGCTCGAGTCACTCAACAACGACACGACCTCAACGAAAAGCTCAATAAATTAATGGAGGGGGAAAAAATCGACAGAGAACAAAGGCTAAAAGATGAAAAGGTCTTTCGCGAAACGACAATTCAGGATGTCGTAGAGAGGAAAAAAGAAGTTCTCGAAGAGCGGCTACGGCGGGAGGTCGCGGAAAAACGTCAGCGAGAGGAAAATGAAGAAAAAAGGCGTCTTCAGAAAAAACTTGTCGATGCTGAAAAAGCGTTTCATGATTTGAAGGCGGAAACTAGACGGATTCAGACGTCGATGGCTGAATTGAAAAAGGAAAGTGACAAGATCGCTGAAGAAAGGCTCAAAGTTGAGCAAGAACTGCGACGAAAACAGGAGGAAGAAAATGAAGATCTTCGCGAAGAAGTGACCAGACTCCTTAATAAGATAGCTTTATTAGAAGATCTCCATAACAAGGCAGAACTGGAATTTCGAAAGCGTATAACTAAAGCACACAAGAAGGCTATCGAGTATAAAAGACTTGTCGAGATTCTAGAAGAGAGAATGCGACGACAAGCTGGTCTGGTTAGTAGCTGAATTCTAGTCCAGTATAGATACAAGGCGCATCTGTTGATAATCTAGAAAAATAGTTTGTTTGTTATATGGAATTCTGGAAAACTGCGATGCGATGTCAGTAGAAATGATACATACATGTATATATATAAGTGTACCGGATATCCATGGAATCCGTGCTGATTTTTTGCTAAGAAGCGCTTATTGAATAACATGTGGCTTTTTATTTTCGCTTATCTTTTAACAAATCGAAGATTGCCTTATTGATATCATCGTCATATTTCATTTTTTGACGGAATACGAGAAACGCAGATCACTAAACGCTGTTCCAAACACCGATAGTTGGACTCATAAGATGCTCAAACTTCGACGGTTTAACGTGGACTTCGGCGTACAGATGGATCCAGATGTTTGGTTACAAATGGATTTGGTCTAATCCATGGAGAATAGTACCAAGCTCCTCGAAAAAAAAGATGTGGGTTTTTGCCTACAAGTTCCGTAATCAATGTTACAGAAATTACAATTCGGCCGAGTTCCGGCTGGCTGTAATATTCAAACTCCAACTTCTAGGACGGATCGAAATACCTCTGTATTGCTTGTTGGACATTCGCTAAGGATTCGTACAAACCGCACATCTTACCTGCAGCCTGTATCACCTCCTTCTTTCGTGAAGACATTTGCCAAAAATTCTATTGCAGCTTTGTTTCTTTTTATGTTCTCTCAAGCAGAACATTCTTTAAGTTACCATCAGAGATTTGCAACGATTTCGCTGACTATCGGAACGTCTAAAGGGTAAAACATTTGCTTACGACCTAGAATCTTCAGGAACTCATATCAAACAGCGAAATCGACACGGATTTACGTGAGGATCTAATATAATTTATCGATACGAAGAGTTCTATGGAAATGTTAGCAGTAAGACGTGAATTTCTTAAAAATCGCTTTTACTGCGTAACTCAAAAATGTAATTAATCAGGAAAATAATTGGATAACTGTTATTTACTTGGCTGAGGTAGTAATCTATGGGTGTTTAGTTTGTGAGCTATAAAATAAGTAGAATTTGGGGTTTGATACTCTTCTAAGGCTTCACAAAATAACAGTTATCAGTTGTCGGGAGATGCTCACCAGCTAGATTAACGTAACTTTGCCTTACTGACAGCGAGAACTTTCCTCGCAACAATTTAGTTTTCTTCCCATATTCGCTTTTAGTTATGGTAACTTAAGAGGCGGGCAGCGTCGAAGCATAGCTATGTTGTAACTTTGCTTGCCGATATCGTACGCCCCCCTGATGCTGGTTCTTAGCCTATTTTCATACAAACTAACCTGATCGAAACATAAGGAGACCTACTCTTTGAGTCACTCGCTACGTAGGGTATTTTTTTTGTCCAGGCTTGTCGTTTGAGTTACTGCTAGGCAACCTATTTCTACTACACGGCATCTCTGCTGAGTAACGTAACGCCCATACTGGTTATAAAATTATGGTTTTGATTCAAATTTATTGTAGCCAATAGAATGCTCGTATAGATCGAGTAGCTAAATAGATGACCTTATAATTGGCCAAAAATTATCTGATTCTAGTGGCGTTAACTGTGTCTGGGAAGCTTGGCAATGAAGGGTTGAATAGATTTTTTTGGTCAAAGTCTGCAGTCGGAGCTTCTCAGACAATTTTAATATATTAACCGAGAATATAGGATTAATCTTGCAAAGCCGTTTTCGGTTTCGTATTTGATAGCTAATACCGATATATGTGTCACGCTTCTTGATACTGAGGAACAATCCGCTAAGCTCTCGAACAACTAGTTGAAGTCTCTTTAGCATGTGTAAAAAAATAGCGGATAGCAACCATAAGCATGCGCTGTCCCTTCGGTGTACAGAAGAATATTTTACCGATACCTACCTGTTTGCTTGAGTCCAACATGCTAAACTGATAAGGAAAGTGTTCATATTTGTATGCCTAATAAGTTTACTAGCTGTGGATGTTCTCATAGAAATACGTGAACGGTGCGACATGGTCAACCCCAGTCCCAGTCGTCTTTTAAGACTGGGTAAACTCGCAGGTTGTTTGAAGAGAATTCATTTTGTTGCATATTTGACAAGAACTATGCGTCAGCTTGGTTCACCATTCGGTTTAACTTTGTTTATTGTGTCAAAGAATAATTTCTAATTAGTACAGGTTAGCCCTGTGTTAGAATCATATTTTTATGCAAAAGGCTTAAAATAATCAATTGCTTTTAAAGCTTGTCTTGTATTATTTCATTAGCTAAAAATGACAATGCATGACACGAAGCAAACCAGGCTGAATTCAACCAACCGACCTATGTCGCGTAGACGATTATACAACACATCAACGAACATTATGCTAAGCATTGGGTAATTGTTTTAGAAAATGCTACGCCTCAGGCATACATAAGGAGTGTTTCTTCGAAGTATTTCGCTTAAATGATGTCTTTCATTATCTTAAGTGTTACTACTTTATTGCATGTTGTCCAAACCGCAGAGTTTGGGAAAAGGTATTTCATGGCCTCTTCAAAATCGGGTTCGTAGTCGCTTCGTAGACGTTAAAGGAAAGGTTGAATAAACCAATGGTAGAAGCTATCTTCAAATCCGTGCTGTTGATCATTTATGCTAAGGAACCTATTAAATTGGAGCTAATGTTGTGAGTGCTTCCTTGAGAATGTTTAAAACATTGCCATAAACAACGCTCACGGCAGAGCTTGACTTTGAATTCGTATCGATTGAAAACGGCTCGAAGAGCGTCGTCCAGAAGTACGATTACTTCTATCCGTAGAGAACTAGATAGTTATATGCGTTAGCACCAACCAGACGTAGAATCTGCCGAAGTCCCGCTCGAACCGTCGAAACGTAATTAGCCCGTAGGCAAATAAACGTTTTATGTCCGGTACTGCTTTAGTTATGTATTGCTTTAAACGTCTGGTTTCCAACGATTGGTTTAATAGGTTATGCCCGTTTAGTTGACTGAGTCACAACTACAGCTGTTAGCCCGAATGCTTTCTCTGTGTTCTATACTATGAATTCAATATCAAACTGAAGCACATCTGAGAAACTGGCGTAAATGCTTCTTAACAAGGCCACGAATTTCTTGTGCCTCTCGACAAAAATTTTGGCGAATATTTGTATAATGCCATACTGAAAACTACAGTCTTTCTTCTTCCCGAGATCTATTTATTTTGGCACAGTCTGAAGCTCAAGGACTGCCCTGATGTCCGAGACGTACGGTGTGTAACCGTAGACCTAAAAAACAAACGCACTTTAATACGATGTCGAATTATTATTTATTCGCATGCGCTGCTCAAAAAACTCGAAATTAGGCCTATATATACATATACAAACTAATGCAAATAATAACATATGAATTTTAACAACTTCTGAGTTTTACGTCCGACGCTGGTGTTTTTAACTACTTATCGAAATAGTCCGTTTCTTTCACGGACATCTCCAAGCAGAGTTTATCTACAAATTCTAGAACGCCGGTTATAGCATCAACGACAAATGAAAAGGAAAATAGCGTTTCAAACACCTTACTTATAAAAAAAGAAAAACAAAAATCGTAGTAATCCATTACAGTAAAATTATATATATGTCATATTAGAGTGGTAGATGGCATATACCTAGAAAATTTCCCTTTAGCCACACAAATGGGATGTACCTTCCGTATATACCTAATATGGATTTCATGAAGCTTCCACATCGGGAAGCAATTTAATATTTTTGATTGTTCAAAGTTAGATTACTAATTAGTTGAAGTTAGACTGACAGACAAGCTGCTCCTACTGTAAGAAACAGACCCCAAGCCTACGGCCACATACACAATGGGTGAAGGCTAGAACTCTTAAATCCTTTTGTATTAAACGAAAGAAACTTTAGCCCAAACCTCAAACCAACTAATAAAATATTATTAAAACCGTTTCAACTTGCTTGATCTTGCTTGACAAGATGCTTGATAGAAAAAAACATTACGAATAACTATAAACGTATAATAAAAACCGACAATAAACCTTAAAGTGACCCTATCCTTATACAAATACACTGATCAGCTTAGCTGAGTTCTATCGGCCCGGGCGAATAGCGTTTGGTAGATAGCCAACGCTACTTTATAGTTCTATCAATACGCACCGCTGTCGTTAGAGGCAGCTGATTCACCAAACACATACGCAAGAGAGAAAGACTAAGGGAGGGGCCTTCACAGGACGAACTTTCTCTGGCCTATCAACCGATTTGCCATCTAAGAGCCTGCTAGACAGAGAGAGTGACAATCAGCATCAGGCTCATCTTATCAGTAAACTTACTCTTGCTAGCTTCTAACCGCTGACTTTCTTAAACTGTGAAGAAAAAAAATAAGCATTCTTGTAAATGGTGTCCATTCCAGACAGGTAAACAAAGTCACGTGACCGGATTGGCTTTCAGCGTATAGGCAGGCAATTGATAGATCAGTAGTGATACACAGTGGATTCAAGAGATGGTACGACAGTAGCCGGGAACAAGATACGTTTTTCGTTGTGGAGCAGCTGACAATTAAACAATCAAACGGCAACCATGTACGACGACTTTGAAACTACTGGCGATGGGCCATTGGAATCTGAGGTTAGACTCGTACTAGAGACGGCGGGTCTGTCTAGAAATCGTATTTTTTTGAATAATCAGAAATGTTTAATTGTCAATAATGTGCTATATGGTATTACAGTAACAATGTTTATACGTATGTGTGTGTTGCCACCAATATTGAGTCGACTGTCGACTGGCTTAAGGTTAATCCTCCTTAAATAGGTGTTTTATCATTTACGGAATGATTGTTCACAAAACAAATTTTTCAGTTTTAGCAAATCGTAGCCTATTTAGTTTAGTCTCTATTCAACATCCAATAAGTGCGACACTACAATGGCTCTTCGTGTTGGTTTTAGGAAATTACAAGGCGATTGTTTTAAACTACATCACAGAACGCTCAAGGTAGTGATACAAGGTAGTGATGATGAGACCAGGAAACAGCTTGTTATTATATAACAATTTTAGTTAGTTGGAAAAACCTATCTAATAGCATATGATATTAGTGTGTATACTGTACAACGTTGTGATAGTGGCGATTGCCACCTTCCTACTAGCCGCCTTATTATAGATACTAATTATACATTAGTACACCGTCCATATGAATGGTAAATGTTTATGACAGATCATACCAATATGAGAAGATTAGACCTGTGTCTGCAAATACCTAATCCAGAAATATCATATATTATTAACCACATGAAACGAAATATTAATCTCATTATTATGCTCTAATGTGCTTATTTAAACACACTGTGAAAATAAAAATAATTCGCCTCAAGTAACAGTGCAGAATTATTTAGAATGGCGTATGCAGAACTTATAATTGACTGTTTGTAAAAAATATTTATCCGTCGGAACGGAGTTTGAAGAACACAACGAGTGCAAAGTAGTGTTGTCTTAATTATTAGCAGGACTACGTGAACGACATTTGCCATGTGTGGCCTGGTGTTGTCACACCTAGGTAAATATAGAGTCGAGCTGTAAATGTCGTGCGCAATTACTTAAAATTTGCGTGTATACCTTACAATGAATTGTTTATGAATAGTGCCCTGTGTCGCAGAAGTCGCTGCTGGATTCACGTAATATAGAGCTGATATCCGGTTGCCGCTCTATCCACGCCCACAAATATACAATCTAACTTGTCAAAACGAAAAGAATCACGCCTGTATCGTACGGACCATTTCTCATAGCGATTTCTGATGACCTTATCGCATATATAACATAGTTGCCGTGTAGGTTTCAGAGATCGATAACTTGCTAAACTTTAAGGCATATATTTGTCATAGAAGAAAAATGTTGTTGCCTTGGACAACTATAAGTAATTGAGGTGGAACAATAGATTTGTTAGAATATATATTTTTGATCGTTTGTTGAATTGTAGCTAGTGTTTGAAATAGAGCCAGCGTATTGTCCAGCTAGACAGGTAGACTTCTTTCTGTCTACATATACTGGTATGTCTATATATGTATAGCGAACATTGATCTATTTTACTGTAAAATTTCGAGGTCGGCCAATTTTACCTATGTCAAGGTGAACGTATTAGTATTGATTTTGGTTCGCATTTCGTATGTTAGGGATGATGGATGTACAAATAACTTGTGCGTTTTCTAAGTGTGCGCTGGGAAAGAAATCAATACATGATTGGACGCTGAGTCTCTTCCACCGTTTGTCGGCCACAATAAGAACTCTCCTGTTTTGACCAAATCAACAATCACCGTCACCTTGTGCAGTATTTTACAATAAGAAGACGTCTGTTTGCTGTCGAAAAAGTTTGAACCAAAGAGCTAAACAGACACTGTACGCGAAAATGGACACATCAAATAGAAAATCAAAAAGATTTTATTTACATATGAAATTTCGTGCCACTACAAAACTGGTAAGGAGCTTACAAAAGCCAGGGAGTCCAGCAGCCGTGTTGAGCTCATTATTCCGTGATGGTGCTACAGGAATTGAGACTTTTGTTAAGTTAGTGTCGTTCCGTCGAAAGTACAACAGCTTCGTATATGTTTTTATGTTAGCAGTTACCTTAACTTTAATTTGCAAAGGAATAAGAGATTACTGTAAATATGAAACTAGTACGTCAATGAAGTTAGTCGACGATGTTGACAGAATATTGCCTTTAGCGATTACGATCTGCAACACCAACGGGTTTAAAAAATCAGTTTTCTGTTCAGCAGAAAATCTTGCAGTGACAAAGACTCTCTGTGAAGTTCGCAAGAAGTCGAAATTTGCAGGGCTAATTATGAATATGAGCTTCAATCCTGACACATATAGAACACTTCGGATGATTACTGATCTGTCCACATTTACTGCGAGAGAACTCATAAAGAGCTGCTACCGCAAGAGAAAACCTTGTCCCCCCGGAACTATTTCGCCGCAAATCGTTTCATATCTACGGTATGGAGTGTGTTATTGTCTCTTCTGCAAGCAAAAGATGCGTGGTTTAGACGCGCAGGTTTTGAAATCACATCTCCATGATGACGGGCTAAGTCTCATTCTCGAAAGCCATAATGAGGAGAAGCTTAAATCGACAAAGACTGCAGGCTTCATCGTTATGCTTCATGACCCTAACTTAGTCCCGGATGTCGTCACAAACGGTTTTTACATTGCTGACGGCCATACGAGTTACGCAGGCATTTCATTTGAAGCGGTCACACGTCTTCCGGAACCGTACACAACGAACTGTCGTAGCGAATGGCCTCCGGGGTTTGATAAACCACCATTTAGTCAATTACCTCTATTGATGCCTTATTCAACATCTCTATGCGTAAGAGTATGCTGGTCACTGTATATCTTGCAACATTGTAAATGCCGGTATAACGAAAGATTGTCACACCGTGATTATCTCGATATCGCGTCGTTGTGCATGGAGAGTAATGAAACTCAAGTCTGTAGTCGTGAAGCGGCGTCTCGCACGATTTCTTGTAACTGTCCGCCAAGATGTAGCGAGAGAATTTACCGTGCGGCTCTCTCAAGTGCAAGCTTCGTGAAATCGAACAGGACCTTATTGGCGAATGATACTCATAAGGAAAGTAGGTCTTACAGTCACTTACTGCTTTATTATAGCAAAAATCAAGCTCCGATATTTATAGAAGTAGAGAAGATTAACCGTGTGCAACTGGTAAATATTCTAGGCGGAAATTTCGGCATGTTCGTTGGAGCATCATTTCTCGTTTTTTACGAGCTTTTTGAGATACACGTTCGTTGGCTCTTAAACCTCGTCAAAGTGAGGTATTTGTTGAAGTAGCAAGTTCATAAAGACTGAAAAGGCGCAAAAGGTTTAAAAAAAACAAAGTTTTATTTTGAGGATGAAATGCTGTTGACCGATTGCGTTTAGTACTGAATTGATATACCACACGAATGGATTGCGTTCATTTTATTTAATAAATCAACATAAATAAGATAAATAAAAATCGAGCCCCGATATTTATAAAAGTAGAGAAGATTAACCGTGTCCAACTAGTGAATTATATATAGTGAAGGGTTTTTTTATTGCATGGCCAGATCAAAGCCCGTTCTGCATGAAACGTCTGAAAATAAATCTGTTAGGGCTCGTGAAACGTATTCTTTACAGATAAACCTCTTAAGGCTAATAAATTACAATATTAGGGATAGCTAAATAGACCGACCCTCGTTACTTCGATGTGCGTTGCTATCCCTCAATATCAAAACGAAGCAACTTAAAATCGTGTACTGTTATTCTAGGAAATGTTTTCGTATCCTTCGAGTTTAACGTGGGTTGGCCGTTTCAACTGTGTCATAAAGTGAACGCATTAAAAAATAGCAATATTCATTGTACTTATATATATATATATATATATACGGCCTGTATACCATGCTGTACGTATATATAAGTGGTTGATAAGCGATTTCGTGGCATTAGTCTCAATATATCAACTTAGTCAGGTTACATTGCGCCCAGAAGTAGTCAATTTTTCGATCTTTTCACTTTTCCTCAACAATTATTGTATTGTTATAGACGTGGGGTGGTGTTGGACTGTGAGTGAATAGTGTGAGTAATCTATTAATTGTGCAGCACTTTAATTGGTGATTCTCTTTGTCTATAAACTTGTTTTTCTCATGTTGACGTCTCCATTATGCTTCTGACATAAAAACGAGTTGTGGGTTTTTTAGTGTGCAAACTCCTTTCAACGAAGACATGCTACATGCAAAAGCCATTATCATAATATTGGTTAGGGAAAGAATTACCGTGATTCATGCTTTTTTTAGTAATTCATTCAAACGCCAAGACCCTTCAGGACCTCATTAAAGATAATTTCAAAAAGATTTCTGATAAAACCACTAAAATCGCATTCAATAGGTTCATGAAGTACTTGTACGACAAACTAAAATCAGTTCACGATAGTCTGTACGCGCACACTGAGATTTTGAAGACTATTACAGACACCCGTAGGAGGTTAGACAAAGCATTAATTTGTGTCATATTAGGAAGCTATTCACCCCGTGAAAGGTAGGCCTTTCTAACAAATCCATACAGTGCAGGAAACAAGCAATAGACACACGAAAAATGTATACTTTAACTAACCCAAGCCTTTACAGAAACAACTATACTAAACCAAACGACAAAATTTCTAACTCATCTCAATATGAACAAGAAATAATGGCTGATGTCCTGCCTTCGCTGGCTTGGTCATCTGATGTATGACTTGCAATCTTAAGTTTCAGTCTAAGTGCCAAAAACTAATGAAGCGCGTAGAGCTAAAAATATACACTGTATTAAGTGCCCGTTCACGTGGTACTAACGACGTGGTATCGTAGTGCATGATCTTTAATCGTACATATTTTGCAATTGTTCCATGGAACCATTTATTTAGTTTGTAGTTATGAGGTTTACATGGTTCATAACTTTTACATACACCTGTATACCGTTTACGCACATTTGACATTTCACATTTAGGTTACTCTGTGCTCGTCTGGAATTATATGAGAAGACTATGTGGGTAAGAGACGGCGAGCGCCAGCCGCGTGGCAATTTTGAGGGACAGGTACCAGGTCCAAAAAGGATGATTCCAATTTTAACTTCTGTTCCAGAGGCAAGCTTTGTGCTAGCATACAACACTAGCTTTACTCCAAACAATTACATTTTGCGCAGAAGAAGCTATCGAAAGTCTTAAAATATCGACTACAATTCGTGATTGCAAGCTATTATTGGTTTTCAGTGCTTGTTGTACTTTAATAGAAGCAATGTTTAAAAAGCAAAAAGGTGTTTACAAACAACAATGATTTTTTCAAGAACTATACTATTGAGACACATGTATACGTATATATGATTTAAAGTTAAACGTAACTACACCTCGATTACACTTACAGTGCAGCAGGCGAGAGGGGATCCGTGATTAGTTATGATGTGGAGGATAGTAGGGAACGCTTTATCGCTAACTGCAAAGCGAAAAACGATAAACGTTTAATAAATTTTACCGCCGTACTCCTTTTTCTTGGCATAAAATTTTTGCTTCGTTATGTATTGCCTACCTACCTGTAGCTGTTGGTACATAAGTAATGGGGGTTTTTCACCAGCAGCATCTATCTGTGCCTGAACTTGATGCTACATTTTTAGTTTATTATGCAAATAAATTAGAAAAGGCTCATGGAAGAGTGAACACACTTTCGAACGGTATATCGAAAAAAACACTAAGAAAGTAAGTAAAAAATATCGGAAAAAACTCAACTCTCCTTCTGGAACGACAGAGTAATAAGTTAATATTAAGTTGTCCATCTCCCACACACACATAAATTCAACGAATTGCCTGATGAGAGTGCCAGAAATGCAATGTTGAAAATTTTTTCATGCGCAATTTTTAAAATAAGTTTGAATTTGTGAGTTTTATTAGGGATGTGATTAGATTACATGGCATATATTTGTTTATATTTCATTCTTTTATTTAATATATATTTAGTTATATATAATCACATGTATATATCACAGCTTAACTGACCAATGATTAGCCTAAACCTCATGCATTACTAGTATATCACTGTCCTTTGTTTATCACTGTCCTTTGTTTATGTAGCCGTATGACATCCAATAAAAGTTTCGTCGTCTATCTAACGACGATTCAATGAACATAAGAGTTAATAAAAATTTAATTAGCATATATTTTATAAACTTTAGATGTATTTTTCAGTAGTTAAACAAGGGTCTTTGCTAAATGCTTTAAAAGTTTTAATAACTTAAAACTAACTCAATGTATTTTTACTAAGTATTTTCCAAACTCAAATAATCATTATTGTTACGTAACATTAGTGATACACGGTACTTATAATCAATACTCATAGTTTCATTTGAATCTGTTGTCATCTCATTTATTTTCCTTGACAAGAATTTCTTAGTTTACGATCACTTCTCTTGTATTAATTATGATAATTAACACTTAGTGCCATGGTTGTTCACAGTTCGATGTTATTTATAGAAATAGTCTTAATAGCCATATTTATAATTAATTGCATTATACCTCAGCAAAATAACTACTCCCTATTATTCTGAATCCTGCACATATCCGCGCGGTCACTGAAGTTACTGCCGTTCCGCCACCAGCTGCCAGGTTCGAAATTCTGCCGAGCACGCCTTCTCGCTGTATCCTGTCGTCGTCGCAGTCGATAGAAAGCTGTCTGAATTAAGTGTGTTATAAGGTATCAACAGTCTCTTCACCGGCGGTAATGGACCGCTGATATAAAAGATTGAAGTAGCAACAGGCAGTGCTTTTGCAGTAACAAGTCGTTCGAATAGCGCTCTGGCCCGTTGTAATTACATGGTGTGTAATAGTAAATAGGCCTAGGAAAAGAACACGGATTGTAATATTGTGTGTTCAGATGCAGTGCTAGCGAGTTAACAAAAAATAGAACAATAAACGAAGTGAGAAAAAGTTTATCATGGCACGTATTTTGAAGCCTCTGAAAAGTTTTACTTTGTTGGGAGTCCGATATGCTTCGCAATCGAAAAGGGTCGTGGTCGAGAATCCTATCGTCGAGTTAGACGGTGACGAGATGACTCGAGTTATATGGCAATTCATTAAGGACCGCTTGATCTTTCCATACCTAAAGATTGACTGCAAATACTACGATCTCGGACTGCCGTACAGAGATCAAACGAATGATCAGGTCAGCTGAAAAAAGGTGCTCTACATGTAATAAATAAATATATATATATAGCGACGACACGCAAGTAGGTGGACAGAAATGTTATTTTTACAGACAGCAGCTCGTCCTTATATAGCAATAACGACGCAAATGCTTAAAACTATTGGTACGGGCCGTAGCATTTGGCCGCGGTACCCACGCATGAATACCAACATACGGCCTATAGCCGTTTACGCTTTCAGCTAGCTCTTGTTAACACTCCAGGTACACGGTGATTCCCAATTGACGATCGTCTAGGTTTTGCTGTAAGGAGATGGTGCGATTATTGCCAGCAATCGACGTTGTAACTCTGCGATTCCTACTCAATTTACTTGAACTGAACCTTTTCCTCGGCCGTTGAGCAGAGTTCGCTGATGCACACGTTCACGCACCTCGACGTTTTTTATAATTGTCGAGTTAAGAAGCGGTAGTTTCGCTAACTATTCTTACCACAGGGACCACCAGGACCTTATCTTTGTGGCTCGGTGGATCAACTGTCCGCCCTCAAATTGACGAGCTTCTTGTCTTCGATGAATAGTTTTACTCTTGTTGAAGACTGACCGTTTCGGGTTTTACGTTCAATACCATTCTTTTCTTGCTGTCACCAATCGTAATGCTATTTTGCAAATAATTACAAAAGAATTTATATAAAATGTATAGTTTTTCTGCCTTGCGCAGATGTTCAAAATTATTATCATTCTAGTAAGTAAATTAGTAAGACAATGGTGGGCTATCGACTTACAAACTACAGTAAGTACTTCATTTGATGTTTCCAGCTATTTTTGGTCAAATACAGCTTTTACATTTTTCAGTGTCATTGTTTTTCTGGAGTGACATTATCCTTAAGAAAAATCCATTGGCGCTATGTATAGAGAACTGGCAAAATGTTTTTTGAGACCTCTTCACCTAATCCATATGCCTGGAGGATTTTCGTGAAGATATGCTTTTACGTCATAATGATAATACGCGTGCCTTCCGTTTTGTTGGGAATAAAATTCGTTGTTTCAATAACGTCTTCTCAAAATGCGTGGTGAAAAGATTCTGCATGAATGATTTACATGAAGCACTATATTGTCAAAAAAAAAGCTTAAATCCTTTTGTTTGAGATGCCTTACCACACTGCACTTTATAATATATTTATATGGTAATCCTGCGCAATATTATCCTGCGGACTCCAAATTGCGTAATAGGTGCAATTGTATAAAATCATTGTGACATTAAATTTAACCGTAGCTTCATCGCTCCAAATAACCTTTCCCATCAACTGAAAAGGTAAACTTCTTTTATCCGACTAATTTAATCGCGTAGGTAGATTTGCCTGACATTCTCTGCGTATTCGTATTTTTGTTATTACAATGTAGTGTTACTTCCAAGAGCATTTCGAAGTCAATCCTCTTCATTTAAATGAAAAAATATGAACCGTATTTTGTTATAGTCAAAATTGGAGCAAACATCTTTATATTTTAAACTAGCATTTTTGGACTAAATACGCGTCATTTGGTCGATGACCTTCTGTCATTTTACTGGTGACTCCATAATCTTAACACTATAGAATTTCTGTGGTTTCTGGGCGAACAATTGTGCTAAGTAATATTTACTTTTTGCCATTGAAATTCTACGTATAAACAGACAACGCAAGATTCGGGTTATACGGCATATGCAATAGAACATCCCACAAAGGTTTTCTCAGTTTTTTGCCGGTTAACAAAGGATGTTGTGCTCCGGCACTGTTATGCTAGAAGGCCAGGCCTTTTCTGTTCCTTAGTTCTGGTCCGTTTTTTTCGATGGCGGTCTAGCCGCTGACAGTAGACAGGTCCAAATCAATTATTTAGCATACCGCAGTAATACATACTCGTAGTACATGACTCCTTTCCAATTCCACCAAACATAGCGCCAGTCTAAACTGATTGTGGAGCACATTTTTTTAAAATTTTCATTTAAGTATACATTATTGTTGTATACGATCTATGCTTCATCGCCCGTGATGAATCGTTTAAAAAGGGTTTGATTTCGTTGCGTTCCTGTAGAGTTTTGCAGATAGGAATAGGATTAAATTATTTTGCGTTAATTCGTGTGGCATTCAAACACCGAGTTTCTTTTTATAGCTACTTTTTTTCAAATGTTTTGAAACTGTTTGGTGTTGGATATTTTGTTCCTTTGCGATGTCACCGCTATTCACAAGTCGATCTTGCTTAATTTTGGTAGTAAATTCATCTATTTTTTTTTTGCAATGGGTCGACCATTATAAAAAACATCTTTGATGTCAAAATTTGTAGACCGACAGCGACAGAACAGCTTTTTTAATCGCGGCCTCCGACAACGCATTTCTATCATAAACAGTACATGTTTGGCCAGGCCAGCATTTGTGCCTTGATTGTTAGAAGATTCTAAAACAACAAATCATTGCACACATTTTGAAGGCGCTCTATTTTAAGTCTAAAGACAGGTATTACAACAATTGTAGCGCAACTAATACTGCCGACTCTTAGCTTCAAATGACGGTAACGTCAGGCCCATACAACCCATATCGCCTGAGATATCAGACTAGAAGCCATTTAGCTAGAAAAAAGGTCAATAGTCTATCGCCAACCCAATGTTGGTGTATATTAAACGATTGGTATAGCGTGTCCTCAAATGCAAAATATAAGAACACAGTATACCTTAGAGTGTGAAATACTCATTGGAATTCCCGACAAAGAGTAGGTTGTTCACGGACGTAGTTTTTCCAACAGGATCGCTATTCTTTATCTGCTTGTTAACATAGCATAATAACATAGTTATTCATGTTCGATTACCTACAAGTTCTTATCCGAAAATTGTTATAAGAATGTTCTATGCAAGGTCAAATAAAAGTAGAGTCACAAGGGGGGAAAGAACATGTAAGTCTATAGACGAAAAAAGTCGGCTTCCCATTGATGCTTCAACTGTAAGCTTGTTCTCTTCGCAAACGTAAGGACAATATTTCCCTAACTGTGTATTTCGGTCTCTTCGTATTATAAGCTTTCCTTTGCTTAGTCGCCACGCTCGGCTCTATTTGCCATGATGAATGACCATAGTCAGCGCAGCGACACAACGATTCGTATATTCCAAAAATTTATCAAAACGAATAGCTTACGGAATACTGGGATGTTTTGTTGCACTTAATGTTTTTTGTTGTATATGTTAGTCTTAAAATGCTTGTTCGCTTTTTCTGAATTACTAATGAAAAGGCGCTCAACAAAGTAGCCACATCAGTACAACGGGTCTTGACTGCGTTCTCTGAATTGCAACACACGTTTATCGAGTTTAGGCTGAAAGTTTTTTGAATATCTAACAAGGAAATATAAAACCAAATGCACATATAAACATATTTACAGTTGAGTTATGTACGATATTGGTTTGTAATCTACCCATCTTTTAATCGCTAGGTCCATTTAATCCTTCTGGGTTACTTTCTTTAGTTCGAATGACCTTCAAACAGTATGACCTGGAATGTGGCGGATTCAAAACCTGTAATAGTTTAATCACAAATAGGTAATATTAGTCGGGGTCAAATCACTTCCATTTCCTTTCATAAAATAAGTAAAGGGAAACTAGCCTATTGCTCTAGTTTTTATAGCTTAGAATCTTAACATCTAAACCACAGCGTGAAGCAGTTTATGCGCTGGACTCGTTTGGCTTTCCAATCTACACTACTTACGTTCTCTTACAAACGCCTTTTTCCAGGTCACGATTGACGCTGCTAATGCAATCTTAAAGTACAACGTGGGTATCAAATGTGCAACGATCACGCCTGACGAAGCGCGGGTGAAGGAATTCAATCTCAAACAAATGTGGAGGTCGCCCAATGGCACAATTCGGAACATTCTGGGCGGAACCGTCTTCCGAGAACCGATCCTGTGTTTGAACATCCCTCGTCTGGTGCCTGGTTGGACACAACCTATTATTATAGGTCGACATGCGTTTGGCGATCAGTATCGAGCCACTGACGCGGTGTTCGATAAGCCCGGCAGGCTCGAAATGGTCTATACTCCGGCAGATGGTTCAGCAGAACAGCGATATGTTGTATTCACGTTCAAGGATAAAAAAAACAGCGGAGTTGGCTTGACGATGTATAATACTGATGAATCTATTCAAGACTTTGCACATTCCTGCTTCCAATATTCCCTTATGAAGGGTTGGCCGCTCTACCTCAGCACGAAGAACACTATTCTTAAAAAATATGATGGACGGTTTAAGGACATCTTTCAGGAAACCTATGATTCGAAATATAAGGTTGAATTTGAGAAGCGTAAAATTTGGTATGAGCACCGTCTAATTGACGATCAAGTGGCTCAAATGCTCAAATCATCTGGCGGATTTGTATGGGCTTGCAAGAACTACGACGGCGATGTACAAAGCGATATTGTGGCTCAAGGATTCGGTTCTCTTGGGCTTATGACATCGGTACTCGTCTGTCCCGACGGAAAGACTATCGAGTCGGAGGCAGCCCACGGCACTGTGACCCGTCACTACCGCATGCATCAGAAAGGTCAGCCAACAAGTACCAACCCAATTGCCTCAATTTTCGCGTGGACACGTGGCCTTATGCACCGCGCGAAGTTGGATAACAACGCTGATTTGACGAAGTTTTGCAAGGCCCTAGAGACAGCGTGTGTGGACTGCGTTGAAGCTGGTGAAATGACTAAAGATCTCGCCATTTGTATCCATGGCATGAGTGGAACAAATGAATCTCACTACCTAAACACTATGGACTTCCTTGAGGCTATCGCTTTACGCCTCAAGCGATCATTAAAATAAACGGTTCTAATTAGTTAGTTGCTTGTTACCGAGTTTCATGGTAAACACGTACTGCTCAAATATAGATCTATTTTTCTTCTTGCGAACAGATTTTATGAACCAGCACATTCTTCAAAATAGCAGCGAAATACTACCTGAAATCGAATGAAAGAAATATACAATCATTCTGTTGTACATCTGCATATACCGGCATTTTAGTAACTAATAAATACTGAACCATGTGTTTCTAATGCAGATTTATCTAGCTCGTAAGGTATAAAAAGAATGTTAGCTGATTACGCGCTTTATAATATGTGCAATAGGTCACTATTCCTTAATACATGATAAGATACAGAAGGTAATGACCATATCGCATAAAATTAAGACAAATGAACAGCTGCATGTTTTGTAAACATAGCGTCGTAACTTCCTCCTTTTTTATTTCTGCATACTTCCTTTTGCCTTTCCCACTCGTACAAGTTTTGCGTTCGACCTCGTTCATGATCTCTAGTCATCGTCGTACACAGTATGGTAGCTATACATCACGTTCCTTTTTGCATCATTAATATTAAATAAATATTGTTATCGTTTCGAGTAGTAGAAACTGTATCACAATGCTCAGATATTGGTTGGCCGTATAGAGGTTGGCTTCAGCAGTACTGTTGTGGATGCATAGCTGTCCTTTACATCATCCTATTATTTTCTCGCTAACGACCGGTGCCGGTACCATTCTTTCTATTTCCTAACTAATAACGGTTAGCTGTAAAGCTTCTTGCAGGAACTATTGCTATTGTATTTTTACGAATGTAGCTACTATGAGAAAATACGTGCAGACCTCCGATCCGCCTGGACTGCTCGATTATTTCTCCAGTCATTTAATAACTGTGAAGTATGCATTTAATAAGATTTGTTGGATTTGTTAGAAATTTCGCATTTCTGCGCCCCAGCTAATTATCTAGCTATATGGAGAGGATATGCATGCACACACAGGGCGTTTCAAAAATGTATAAACAGTTTGAATGATTGTAACTTTTATTTACATATGACTAATATTTGAATCATAAAATATTTTCATACAATGTAAATAATTTCTCCTTGTGTACATATACAAAATTACTCTGTACAATAGAGTGCTAATAATCCAGGCCTAACTTCACAAACATCAACTAATTTCCTAATGTCTCGGCACTCTGAACCTTATCTTTAAGGCATCTTGAAAAAATAGTCAAATTAAGTTACCGTATATACTTTTTTTGCAAACGCCCTGTAAATATATTTTTCTTTGTCATTAAAAGATTTTGTTTTGCAGCTTGAGACCTATGCTGGCCTCTTTATGGTCACTTGACAGCGCTTCGAAAAAACACTTTAGTCTTAGAAAAAATATTTGCTACGCTGTTTTCTATGAACCATTTTTCATCAACTCTGCGTCTAGCAAAATTTATTATAAATGGTGATATAATGACGTCAACATCATGTCATGTAAATTTTCTGTTAGCGTTTTGTATTGGCGCCCGATCGTGTACGACTTCTGTATCTAGCACTTCATTATGTGTAGAGATTGCCACGATGCCCAATATTTTATACAAGTATATCATTTGCTCAAATTAACAAGGTGTAAGAGTACTGCAAATTCTCCTTATTAAAGAGAAAACATACGAACTTGTTTTGAACGAAGGCATATCCAAAGCAACAACATTTGCCGAGGGCAATCGTCACACTTCGAACATTCTCTTCTTATCTGCTAGGCTTTGCATTCATTTCTGCACCCACAGTAAGTTTCCTGTTTACCACTAAAGCATTACACTGCACACGACCTATTTATATATAAAACTGTGCACGCCTTTGGTCGTTCATAGAGGAAATCGGTCGAGCATATCTACGTATACGTTCATGTCCTACAAATAAGGTCCCATTAAAGTTCTATGAGTTCCATATATTTTCATGCCATTTGACTAAAAAATAGTGTTCTTTATCGACGTTTTTCCTCGATAATCGATTAAGGAAGTTGTTTGTAAGCGTATGATATATTCTGCGTTTCTTGCTACATCTGGTTATGTAACAAGATTTCCGACTCAATTATAGTTACGTTATGATGGATTATTTTTTTAATATTTTCTCCCTGCAGCATTGCCTGCATAGCTTTAATCTGCTGACACCGTTTTCTTCTGACAGCTGATTGCAAACAAATTTTCTTTATTTTTCTTCGACTTGCACATTCTATTGATACATACCCATAGTACATATGCAATACACGTGATTTGGTTACGCTTTCCTCAACAAACATTGTATTGTTATATTTATTACGGTAATTAGCAATCATTGTAATAGTATATTTCCCCTTTTAACAGGGCAATCGATTCTTGCAGTGAAGCTCAAAGTGCCATGTTTTTACGGATCCCCGATAAACCGGAGAAGCTTCCGTGGGGACTACTGAAAAAAAATTTATTTTTGTGTCCCTATATATGCTAGTAAACCATTTCAGCTGACGGTCACGTCGACCAGTTAACCTTAGCCGCTGTAACAAAATGAGAATTCACTAATTATCGTACGAACAGCGCGACTGCTTCGTTTGTTTTCTGTCATTATAAAGACTGCGGTTCGCTGATTGTTTGAGTTCGCTCATGTAACGAGTAGAAGAACCGTTATCAAAAAAATATATTGAAGATTTTTATATATCTTTCAGCTGTTTTTCATTGTTGTTGTTCGAGTCTTCGTCACCGCTGCCGATGCCAACATGTCGTGTTGTCATGTGTTGAAAGGCTGCTTTTAATGTTACATTCTCGTTTGTTATGTTACTCTTATTATTAACTCCAAGATCCTGTAGTAATGCACCGATCAATATCTAGTCACTCGCGTACTAGTTGTGGCAACACTGTAGGTGGCGAATCCAGTCGGCATTTGGAGGAGCTGTCACAAGCGTTTAAACGTACCAAGGTGAGCTCGGCACGACGGACAATGATGTTCAATATCCTGACATTCCGGTATACAGTATGGAATCAAACAACAGCCCCATACGCAGCCTAAGGCGATAAGTGCTCCGGAAAATAGGTACGTTAGAAGGCCGGGCCGAGCTGATGTCGCTGTAAGCGGAGGTCATCACACATTTGGACGATGGTTTCACGAAAGTTGGATGAATCATAATTAGATTGTATTAAACGAATGAACCGAACGTAGCGATGAATGTTAATTGTTTAAGTACCGGAAATAGAAAAATGTGTATAATCTCGTTAGTTTCACTATGACGCTGTACGATGTAACAAACATATTATTAAATGTGATCAAACGTAAGGGGAGCAAATCATTTGAAAAGATAAAAGGAAATAAATAGGCTTACATGTTTACATTGCTTCATGAATGAATGAAAATTCAAAATTGTGTCTATAGAGAAGATTCAAGAATTCTATAGATCTTTGCCTATAAACTTTGCAGCGTATGTTTACTGTTGTCAGTAGCCGCGGAATAGTATAAAAGCTATACACATTTCTATTATACATGTGGCCTATCTACGCTACAAATTTAATGATCTTTGTACTGAAGACCGTTTTTTTGTCGTTAAAATAAAAAAAAGGTATGTTATGGGTTATAAAAAATAGGGTTGCCCACAAAATGGGCAGCGGTGGCCGATAACGCATAAAATTTTTAAAATCCTCAAAAATAAATCAGAATCGATCATTGGCCTATTGTAGCTTATGTATAATAAATACATTTATTGCACTGGAATCTGAGTTACACTTAACAATATTACAGCGAATGCTGTAGGGGATGTACAGGGAGGGGCAACAATCACTTCACAGTTCGAAATAAATATATATATGCGTTATCGGCCACCGTTGCCCACTTTGTAAAGAGTCGTGCTATATATATATATATATATATATATAAACTTCCTTCAACTACCAAAAGCCTTTTGCTCCACCTTGTGTAGGGATACAGCTCCCTAATTTGACAATAAATCTGACTGTCTTCTTCAACAGCTGCTGGAGGCCATTATAGTCTCATCACGCAGCAACGTGTATCATCTTTCTACTGTTTATTTATGATGACTGTGGCACTTTTTCCGAGATTTTACTTTGCAATAAAAAAAATGTGTGTCTTTTTTTGGTGCAGCCCTAAATTAAGCCACCTTACTTTTTTTTTTTATTTAAAAAGTAGACAAACTATAGAGCGATGTATTTATAACATTAAGATTCTCCTTGAGCAACTTTTATAAAAAGTAACCTTAGCAGGAAGCAAAAAGATGTGTTCAAAATTTAAAAATGTACGTTTTTTTTCTTGTTGAAACAAACCTTTCTAGTTTGCTTTCTTTCTAATACATCAAGCTTTTCAAAAGCCACTGAAACAGTTTCGTACAATTATCAAAATGTGTTCTATTAGTGGCCTTTTCCTGGTCCTGGCATGTATTGTATGCGATTTGTAATTACAGCAATTTTAAAAGTATTGTGTACATTTTATACAGTGTCCCCGTGAAAAAGTTTAGCATACTATTCTGCAACCAAATAGATGTATATTACTTTCTATTTCAGTCATCATACGATTTGTTCGGTAACGTACCTATTTATTGATGCTAGCAACATCATGTGTGTACTCACCTGTCATAACATGAGCGCCACATTTGCCGCAGGTCACCTGTTGTGGTAATGGACCCATTCGCGAGTGAATCACGTGAACTTGGCCAACAATGGCATCGGAATAAAATCATCAGCAGCAGCATCGGTAGTAATCGACGATTAGTAAAGTATATTAGTTTCCTCAGTAAGACGTTGGGTGAGACAGTGATTCGATGAAGGCGAGACATAGGCGACAACGATAATGGAACAGAAAAAAGCAACGCAAAAAGAGAATTGGTTAGTCACATCGCTACTGTAGCACTTGTGATGGGACTACATGGGAAAACTTGTTTAATTAAGCGCCACGATAATAACTTGCGTAGTTTGGTGTTAACGTGAACTAACAGTATGTTTATTAATGTTATATATAACAATAAGCACCTTAATTGAACTCGAGAATAGCTAATGTCTATAGATTTAGCTCCTTGGCAATTTATTAGGAATAAATGGACTTGAAAAAGTAACTTTATTTTCTTTAATTTTAACTACAAAGTTAGCGATCATTCCCTTGTCCAATAAGCATCTGCTTCACTCCAACCTTTGCATAAAATTGATGTTTTAGGCGATTTCTAAAATTACATTTAAAGACAAAGAACTCGAAACACATACTGTAACGTTATTCACATATTATTTACGAGTTCGTTTTTAAAGGAAAATTAACCTTGGCACATTTCTGTACGAAGTTTTATTCGTTTAAATATTAAAACATTTCAAGTAAGTAAATTAAACCCTATTTACGAATACTTTGCTACTTGCAGGTTACTGTGATTTTGCCAGAAAAGGCAGTCTACGCGCCAAGCCTATGTCTAACACACTACTGTTTTTCTAAACCGCATGATAAGCCCGTTAATGTATTCTTACATGGTAATAATTCCGTTTGGTTTCCTGTTACAATGATGAGCCAAGTTATCAGCTATGCACGCACCTTGGAAGCCTAGACTTTTCGCTTTCGAGCCTGACAGAAATCATTTATGACGGACACCTATGCCTTTTAGATATAATCTACCATTTTGGAATATGATACAGGAGATTTTATTGATCTGTTTGATACGCATACGGACGCAATAATTGTTTTATTATATAATAGTAAAGCTGGAGCAGTATGTTCGATTAATTATGTTGCTATTAATATTGTACTACGGACATGCGATTTATATGTTCCATCTTGTTTATTTATACAATGATTTATTAAGCCGATTTTGTAACCTGTAAAGTTTAGGGGACGCACACCTGTGGGTGAAAAACATGACTATTGCACGATTGAAATGATTGAAACTATTTCACGATTGAGACTATATCATTAGCACGGATAGTTGTCTTTTGCTAGAATTCACGTAGTAGTTTCACGTTAAAGACTTTTTTTCGCTAATCTATTTTAAATATTGCAGTTTTAAAGACATTATCAAAAGCATGTAGTTCACGTCTTTTTGTGAGTTAGATTTTTTAGTTCGTATAAACATATATTTTGCAATTATGTTAAACATTTCACCACATCATTTCGTTCGGCCATATGCTCCCATGTCCTATTTGATCGGTTCGGAGTTTCTCAGCGACATATTCGAACGATTCAATATGGCACTTTTGTACAGCGGCAATGCGTTATGATGCGATAGAACTTCCTCTGCGAATTCTCACCAGAAACCAAACCTCGATTAAATAACCCAACTACTAGTGTTCTGATTGCTTCATTCATTGACTTTGTTGTTACGTGTGGCAATGGTGTATTTCACCCCTCTACGGACTGTTACTGCAAGCAAATCCGGCATATTTTGAAATCGACTAAATTATCTTGGGACTCCGGTACCTCCTGGACATTTCTATACCTACCACCGTGAAATGCGGCCCATGAATTTCCAATTGGCCTAGGATCGATTCACGAGGGACCCATCTTTAATTCAGCTTCAGCATTTTCAGTTTTTGGCTTGCAATTCTGTTACATGTAAAAGCCCTTAAACTCGGTACTCTGCTTTCATGAAAATCCTATTAGACAGCGGCAGTACATTTTGTCGGACGCACGGTATGTTTAATTTTAAATATATAAGTCCTCGCATCTAGCTATCACTTTACTGTTCGTTTTTTACAAACATTTACACCAGTCACGTACTATGGTCTCACTCAACACTTCCTTGTCTGATGTCATCAACTTTCGATAAATTTCCGCAATACTAGGGCCTTCGAGAATCAAAAACTTGATCATTGAGCGTTGATTCTCGAAACGGAAGTACGTTTTTCCTCTGGAATTTATTTTTCCTGGACTATTCTAAACTGGTTTTTATTTACAGGTATTTACTAGCCAAATTTGATATGCTAGCGGCGCGTAATTCGAAGGTTATTCAATTTTAAAGTCCGTTGAATTCACCTGTATCAACCCAATATGTTTCGCTCTACGAACATGGTTTTTCCGTCACGTGATGCGGGTGAGTGCGAGGCATTCTGATGCTGTGCACAGACCGAATAAATCATTCTCTCTGTTAATAAGTTTAATACAGTGTTTGCATAATATTCTTGAACGGAGGACAGGAGCTGTCGTTATAATGCAAAGGAAAATATCGAAGTGAATGGTATCAGCGTGTCAACAACTAGCAGTGGAATTACACGATAAAAGGCTTGTTTTTGAATGCGGAAACCGCACGTCTGTTCCACAAACACGTAGAAGATAATTATGTATGCCGAGGAGAATAAGAGTGACCTCGAGGCTGTTCAGCAAAGGGAGTGTTTCCATTAAGAGGAAAGCAAACTCCAATCGCAAGGAAGACCAATAGTATATAAGCTTATCTTAATTACCTAAGTGAACATAGATTATGTGATCACGTTCAAATATCTTTTTTTTTTTCTTAATCTTTTTTGTCTGAATCCGAACTTAATGAGTTCGTATTCGGATAAAAAGCCGAAAATCCCAATGTACAAAAACTACGCTGAACGTTCGATCCAACCAACTTTATAAATTAAAGTCTCATCTCTAATTGCGATCTCTAGCGTATTCAACGAATAGTTGCATACATATATAAACTGTAGGATATATATTTATCCAATCAACTGCTAGCTGATAACAGATATACGGTACATAGAAGTTGGGTTGGAACTAGTGAAAAGTTAGCTTAATGAATCACTGGGTGGACCCCGAAAGCGACGATGGTTTAAAATATACTTATTTTTCGAGTGTCACCTGAGCTTTGAATAGCCGTGTTTACTTTGTAACAAACACGTTGCCTCGGTCTATGACGAACCATCTAAGCGGTGGTTTAACACGTCAACAAAAAATCGCTGCGCACCAAAGCGATAACATGCCGTTCAGACCATAGCAATTACGTGACATACGGCGTTCCATCCGGCTCAATGTGACCCTCTGCCAACATTGCCATAGAACACAAAATATGATTACCGGAGATTTAAAGCTAGATCCTAATTTCATATTCTGTTTGATTTGCTCTATGCCCCTGCTACTCATTGAGATAAACAGTTATCGTTGCACGGTTTGACAGTGGTTAATATGTTCCTAGTTTCTGTTAAACTGCCCTGGGGCAACTGAAATGGAAACTGAGTCATCTGTGGTCGAGTTTAGTACTAGTGTATGGCGTATCTACGAGCGTATATCAAAGATCAATAGAAAATTAACTCGAATTTATTGCATTTTATGCACATGGACAGATTTTATTCAATTAAAAAATAGCTAAATGAAAATAACATTGAAAGCTAGCAGGGAAAGATATTCTGTGACATAAATTATTGCATAGGATAAAAATATATAGTATTGTTATAGCTATAAACACAGAAGTTGCGACGATTTATGTAACAGTGTTATTATATGACGTTGTAAACGTTGAATGCTTGTATATTCTAGAGGCCGAGCATTAATTTAGTGAAGCCAGCCGGTATCTGAATCTTTAAAGAAATGCGGCACTTTTAAGATGTAGATGACGCTAGATTTTTGAGCTTGTTACAGGACTATACATTCGCGAGATGGAGTAGGTTACAGCACCGCCAATTTGAAACCAGAAGGTTTCTGGTTTTCAACTGGTTGGGCACGAGAAAATTACTAACAGTTTTGGGCTTATACATTTGTTAATAAAGCAATTTATACTTAGTAATATTATTGTTATATTTGTAAACGATTGACAGTGGGCGTTTTCAGCACTCTCAGTCAGAGAACTTGGTTGTTGAAATTAAGTCGGCCGATAGTTAATCATCGAGCCTTTTCCGCTGCTGCTTTAATTACCCTAATTACTACCGCTAAAGCCTTAATAGCAACGACCGTCCCAGTTACAGCAAAACCTATCTTTGTCAACAATGGCTGTTATGTATCATAGGTAAGCAGGGAATTGCATCGCCACCCCGTTCCGACAAAAAAGGGTAGAGTATTAGGCCATCGCACAAGGCAGCCAAGATGACGTCACAAACAGGTTGGTATACGTCGGACACAAGCAATGCGGATGGTGTTCGCAACAGCCGAGAGCAAAATCACAGCTAGTTGGAATAGCAAAACACGTATTTGCTGTTTAGCGTAAGATGCGCCACAAGAATGACGCTGCTTTAATATTGCCACTGGTAATGAGTCAGCAGCTCAGTAAATGCTTGAGGAACAATTAAAAGATTGATCAATGTTACATTTAAAGCAGTAAAATAATCGATGGCATAATTTGGCACGGCTTGCACATTTATTTCTATGCGACGACGCAAAAGATAATGTACATAGCACGGTCTTGTATACTAAACTTACCAATGCCGTACTTAACAGGAAATGACGCAAGGATATGATACTATCAAAGAATATGAAACTAAGTCAGGAGACTTAGTTTCATATTCCTTGTTCATATGTAAAATAACTCATACTAATCAACAAAGGCTTATGTACTTGAATCGTTAAATCAAGACTTATTTGTACAGTACGCATAAGCTTAACAAGCTGCCATCTGGGCTTTCGCTTCGACACATAAGGTCTTGCCTCTTATTAGAAAGAGATTAACAAATACGTTGGAGAAACTCCTTAAAAGGGCTATATCGCGGTCCAGCAAAACGGACTATGAGTGCAAAACCTTCACCCACCACAAACCTGTGATGGCTAAGTAGTGTGGGACATTGTAATAATTGAAAAATGTCTGTCCATGAACAAAAACTAATACTAATACTAATATAAAAATACCAATGTCATGCAATTCACATAATGGTCTTCTTAATGCAACCAATGCTTGATTTCGTCTAATAGTACATGTTAGAGCGCTCCTTTATTTAAATGTTTTTATTCAAATGTTTTAAGTAGGCATATATCCAAGTGATTAAATACAAAACTTGTCCCAGCTTTCGACTACTGAAGTCGCAGCAAATACACTTAAATAATAACAACCATAACATACAGCTAATAAAAGACAATAGTCAACGATTAATGTATAGAGTAAACCTAATGACAACGACTACATCTTTTGCAAACAGGACAGTGTACTTACCATTGATCGTCGGCTGTGATGGATGTGCGCCGCCAAATTGCGGAAACTGTGGAGGGGGCTGTTGAGGGTACCCAGGATTGTATATCGGTGTAGCAGATGCATGGGGGGTGTATGGTGGTGGAGGTTCGACCGGCAAGGAAGGATATGCAGGCGGAACTGCATTCGGTGCTGACATGCCCCCATTGGGAGCTGCAGAGGGGCCTGACTTGCTCATTACCGCGCAGAAATTAAGCACGGAATTGTCAGTTAAAGAAACCCACCGACTTTTCTAACTCCGAGAAACGTTCCTGGGATCAATTTGATGTTATATTACCAAAAGGAACTGGCGCATTTAGTCCTCTCGAAATGTTTAAGATCAGCTGATACGTTAACTGGCAGGTTGCTTTGGTTCGATAGTTAAGTTTGATAATATCGACCAAACGTCAACAATGTTACCTTCACAACATGTACAAGGTAAAAAGTTACGTGATCTTTTGGTGCCTACAGAAACTGGATTACCAAACGGGTCTTGCTTCGCGGCTCTTTCGTTAACCCCCCACCTAGACCAGGGCAAACAACCTATGAAACTACAGATCCCTGCGATCGCCACAGTTGGCGCTGCCTCAGAAGAACGCAGTAGTTAAAAGCTACTAGAGCTATGCACAGTAGAACGCCTTGAATCTTTTATATAATCTTGTTAAGAGCACAATAAAATGTTGCACAAAACAAGATAATTCTCGATGTGTACACCAGGCTCTTACAATGGCAAATAACGTTTCTCACTTATGATCGACTTATCTTTGCTGATCGTGGTGCTCCTTATACATTTTTATTTTTTATTAATATGGGGTTTTACTTCCTGCACACATCCTCAATGGATACGGAATTCACGTACCAGCGCACAGTCTTCGATCTCGACAATCAAAGTAAAATAATACCTTAGATGTATCGATTGCTAACGCTCACTGTTCTTACTGTTGGGGCTCACGTTTCTATTATTTGACGAAAGAAACAGGGGTTTTGTTGTGCTTTGTTATTGCCTATGGTGCTGTCGCTTGACATCAAGCTGTCTGATTGTCTCCTGTGGAATTTCGTAGATCGGACTGTTTGCCTATCCGTGTCTGCTTTAGTGAGCGATAGGCGCGGCGTATGGCGGCGAAATTGCCGAGCAGACCCATGAACTGCCGAGGGAAAAGAACCCGTGTTACGGAGAGGGTGCTGTAAATAGCTTCCTGTGGCTTTATGACCAAACAAACTACAGATAATGTCACAAGTTGATGAAACCTCTCTAATACATTAAATTTCTAAATAGTTTACATCCAATTAAACTGCGTTATTTTGCATCGAGAATTCTACTAACTTGATAAACTGAATAGAAACAAATTAACTTAGCGAGAATACAGCATTTCGACAAAATGAAAACCATGCATGCATATCCGCGAGATCATTTGTACATCATTCACCCTTGAGTAAAATCGCCTATATCATTCCAGCTAGAAACAGCCCTGCAATCAACCAATAAAGATATCAAACCATTAATGAATTTTACGATATTAAATCATCCACTCTGATTTGTTTTTGCCCGTTGCGGAAGAATTCTTTGTGCATTTGCAGAAAGCAGCGAAGCAAGTATGGAACTAAACGAACAACGGCGACCCTAGATTAGCGGGTGTCTACCCGCCAAAACAGAACACGGACAGTGCGATTGGAACGCACCGCACAACTAAAGAGGTTAGGAACAAATGCAGTATTGAGCAAGGACCACAAGAAAGTGCTTGAATTATTTTAACCATGGTATAGTCTAGAAAAATACCATTAGAATTGCTTACGAAATAGATGACACGGAAAAGCAGGAACTGTCCTCGCTATGCCACTGACCTTGATAAGTGTCAAGTTTGGTCGTTAATGCGCGGCAGACATAACATCAGGTGATACAACCTGATTAGAACAACTACGTAAAAATTGAGCTGTGACGTACAAGTGAAGATATGGGCAAAGTTGCCTACTGTAATCGAAATGTTTAATAAGTATATGTGTCGATCTGCGTTTCAGCAATGATCCGTGAAGATCTTTATTGGAAAAGTACGAAAAAATATTTTTTTTAAATAGTTATTTACCGGTAGTGTAATTGAACCAATTCATTAGAATGAGAGTCGTTTGTTTTGTTAAGCTTACGTTTTAATTGTTACTGATTAAGAATCTAGCGTGGATTTTATTTATAACAATTTTTAACAAGCGACATGTGTCGTGTTACGGGATTCTTAGGTAACTTATGACGACAAAAAAGTAATTATGGTTTGATTTGTTTCATCACTAGCGTAATGACTGCCGATTTTAACCACGCCGTAGTATATATCTGGCTTTAACCAACGTAGCTTCCTTTGTTTAGAAACATTATTGTTATAATTTGTGGTCGAATGTCTTATCATCTTTGTTCTGAATTTGAAACGTATGCTACTCACTCGGGGCTTACAAAAAAATATCCTTTTGCCGAGGAGTTGAGGATTGAACTGGTTTAGTAAACTAAATCCAAATGAAAAAATATAATAATAATTATTGTTGTTATTATTATTATTATTATTAACTTAACAGGAATGCTTTGCTTCTATCTGGTGAGCTATCAGCAATTTCTGGATCATTATATGTAACTACTATTACAGGGTTATACCGGTCAAAGAAAATTTAGTTCATAATTTTTAGATTATGCTCAGCCTGTTATATACAGCTATAGCCTCAATAATCGATTTAAGTAAATAATGTTCCAGTATAATAATTATATCATCTTGTCGTGTTTTGTAGTTACTGGATTTTAGGCTCGTGTAAGGGCCAACGAATGCCATGAGAATTCGAAAACCCCGCGGACTTTCCTCACCGACAATTTTCCTTGGATGCGCATTAGGCTTTGCTGCTACCTATTATACATGGTATCCACTCATTCAAGCTCAAAACGAACTTTCTCATGAAAAAAAAACTATCGCAGATAAGATAGGAAAGGAGCTACAGGAAAAGAAGACCGTGGCTGCTGCTTCTGCGACGCTTAACGAAAAGTAGTTCTTCCTCAGACGTAGAGATAAGCCGCTTGAGGAATGGTATGAAAGGAGCATTTCCACCAACGATTTTATAGTAACGACAATTCAACCCGAAGCTACAACCAGTTATAATTGCCATAAAAAGTGAAATGTATTTTTGGTTACTATCTGGTTAAATTATCTGGTTGATTTTTGGAAAGCCCTTCTTTTTCTGCACAGGTCACCACTGCATAGTCCGCTAGAGCTTAAACAAAAATATGCTTTTGATCAAGGAAATCTGCATCGATTAGTTGTATTTATACATATAAGATTTTCGATAATGGCGTGCATGCCATACAAAGCAAAGCGAGCTATGACTAGCTAGTGAATTTGTATATAGACATGGTACCGTGAATCATTGAAGATTTAGAAATATTTAATCGGCATCAACCGATTCCGGTAAACGTCACTGGGATATTTTACTGTTTTTGGACTACATCTATTAGAGTAGCAGGAAAGAAGAATACAACAAGGCTTTAAAAAACAATTATGGCCAAAGGACCGAGAACCTCAAATTAGTACTAAAATATCTTCTTTAGAGGAAAATGAGAATATCAACTGAACAGGATAGGATCCCAAGTTTCAAACACAAAGTCTTAAATATATTAATTAATATTTAAGTAATTAATATTTAATTAATAAATTAATTAGATATTAATTAATTCGCCGATGATCATGTTGATTTAACTGTGAGTGATACTGCATCAACGCCACGTAAGCTAGGCCTTTTTTATACAAAAAAAAAATTAGGACTCTAAATTATTCTTTATTTTATTTGTTATCTGTTCAATGATGTAACAGTGTTTCTAGTTTTGAGACTCCATGAAAAATGAAAACACCTATCTGACGTGCATTTCGTACAAACTGTGCGTGTTATTCTGCAGAATAAGCCCAGAGTAAGTTACCATTCACCAAGATCAACTGCGGGTTCTGGAACAGGCATTATAAAGGGCGGATTTTTTATGGTTGTCGCAATCGGTGTAGGTTATGGTGAGTATTCGGTAACCGTAAAATATAGCGCAACGGAAATAATGGCAGGTATCAGTTGTCAATAATTAATACCGTTTATACATTTATAGGCAAACTGCGATAGAAATTGAACAAATGGCAACGATTCTGCGGTTGATGGTTCTAGCCGAACTAATTTTAGTAAAATTAAGTATGACGTACCTGTTTAATCGATAATCATGTATTATACGGTACTCTTTTACGTCTATCTCAAACTGTAGATGACGCTCACTGTTATCCGTATTGAGCCTTCTTTTTGCGTGCGTTATCACCTCAAGTACAAAATTTCAAATTTTACGCCAGCGCGATGTGAGTGCGATTTATACAATATTACAGAAAACCAGCATCTTTGTGTCGACGAGGTGTTTTTGTTTTGTTTAGTCGTAGTAATCTCCAGAGAGAGATATACATCCCTTGAAATTACTGTAAAGTGCGTTTACTCAATTCTGGCTGGAGCCATTAACACTGAGGCGAGCTGTGGGTTTCTAGCATGAGACCTTACTGTCGATCCAGAGACAATTGTTTTCTATTGGACTATAGCACATTATATATATCAAAAAAATTCTATGTATCCCACTATGATTATGATCGTATTTATAATATACACTATTAAATATTCTTTACTGGATATTTTAATTTCAAATATGTATAAACTTATTAAAATACTCGATTTACCGATGCTTCGTATGGTTTTGTTCTGTATAGCTGTATATAAGTATCTTGGCTTTCGAGATTACCTACTTGATCGCAAATCACGTCGCATGGAGGTTACCGTCCAGAAGTATCTTGCCATGCAAGAAAAAAGCGACACGCGATGCAAATGTACTGGTAGCTGGTGTGAATGCGAAAATAAGGCTAGAGCGCGCTTGGTAGAACAATATCGACAACAACAAGAACAAACCCAACCCGCGTCGACCACACCGGCTTTATGAACAGGGATTGTGCTCTTAGTAAGAAGAAGGCTAAAACTTTGCTCAGCAGTTTCGCGTTGCTCTATGTCAATGTGTGACGGGATTTGAAATGAGAGGAAAAACTGCTTGACCTATATTGGATTTTAAAGTGTAATAGATATATCATGGATAATTATTAAGAAAGGCGTGCCTTTATACATTTTTGAAACAGTAAATAAAAGTAGTAGAAAAAGCTCGTAATGGTGAAAAGCAGTGCGTCATTTTGTAAGTTCAGCAAACATAAGCTATTATAGAATATCTTCGCTCTAAGCGAAGCGTCAATAAAAGCTGTAAAGCAGTGTAATAAAAAGCTTTCTTGAAATCGATGGTCTACGTTCCTGCCAGTTTTTTGGCGACTTATCAAAAATCTGAAAAATGTTTACGCGCCAAGCCGAAAGCTTTCAAAGAGAGTTTAGACTTAAAGGCCTCAACAGTCGATCAAAATGGTTCAACAAGCCGTTGTTAATATAGAAAGTGACTGCCATTTTGAAGAGAAGAATACCAATTATCAATCGTGCAGGTAGGGTGCAGTGGTTGCCTTTTTGAGACTTTTGCGCCTTCTTTACTTATAGGTCGTTTTAAGCTCTTGCATTTTCGGCATATTCGGTCTGCGAACTTTTAATTCCGCTGGATTTTTTTACAGGTAGCGTATCTGACCGGTATTTTAGCGAATTTATTCTTACTAATATCGTTTGACACACGGTAATTTTGTGGAGTACAGAAAGAGTATTTTCAAAGTGATTAATGAGTGGTTCGTCTTCAATTTTAGACGCAGTCGCGGTAAGCGTTGGCTATATCAATAGCATCTCTAACACATGCAAGAAAACAATCGTAGAAATACTTTTCTAGATATATTTCTGTTCGGATACACTTTCGAAAGTAAAATCAAAGAAATAACGTCCCAAAAGCGTCATTATATATATATATACCTTATCGAAGCATAATAAGGTCTGTAACCAGTGCTTCTTTAATAAGAGGAGTTATTGTATTATACTTAGAACAGGCTGTAACACCATGTGTGGTGTACTTCTATGATTGGACAAGTGAATCTACTGTTAATGTGCGTGTTTCTCGTATCTCTTGTCTGTTCCCCTCCATTCCATTCGGAATTTAAATATATGGGGAGTTTAGCATTTGATGGGCGCTCGTAATAAATTATCTTATAAGGAATCTTGTAGGAGTTCGAGCACCTTTAGGATATGTGTTTCTGATCTTTTTAAGGATTAATTCATGGTTTTTGTCACTGCTTCATCCCTTGACAGCAAAAGTTCGACTCAAATATAAAGTACTAAGATTTCTTGTCGTACCAGATAAGACCTGCAGAGTGTCCAATAATGATGGGCCAGAAATATGTTCAAAATGTAATGCAAGTCACTTTAAAAGCTATGGCCAGTTTTTGAACTCCAGGACTTTTAACGCGCCAGAACACCTACTGTCGTACCGTGTCATATAGTTGATTTTTCGATTTTACAGGCTTGTTTGCTAAAAACGCCAGATGTATTTCCCCTCTGTCACATCTGCGGCTAGTTGATTTACTCGACTTTCATTTAACTTTCATTATAAACGTAAAAAAGTGCCTAAAACTAGTGAAAAGGGATTCCTGGCATTGAAAGAGTCCAGTGGCATCGAACCTTCTAGGAAAGCCTTGACCTATGGGTATTCAGTACGGTGCACAATCCAGATATTAACTATCATCAATGAATAGAACGTCTCGATTTTGTAAGTACTATGTGAACGCAGTCGGCAGTTAATAACAGCTGTTAACTTGGTGGTTCATCTTATCTTCTTTACGTATAAACCCAACACAGAATGCGCCAAACGCTTTCCCGAGGGATCCATTCCTAAAGTTTGTTAAATAGAAAATTAACTCAATATAATATACATGAAATTTGACTAGTTGCGGACCTTATAGGTCAATTAGCATTAGCACACCGGTTCTGCAGCTCCCGCTCTTAGTTTGTCTTCCCTTATTGTTTTTTTTTGCAAACAAAGTTGAACACCTTTCGGTGTTCCAACTTCTTCTATCTGCAGTCAAATGGTAATATCGCCTTAATCGAGTTAAGCATGTCGTGCTTTAGGTGCAAGTAAGTTACAACCCACAGTCAAGAGCCTCCGTGCAGTGCCTATTATATCCGTGATTGTAAGCTTCTTTAATTATACGCAGTTAACGATGGCTTGGATATCAGTCTCTATATGGCTTCCAAATTATTTGAAAAGACCTACGCACCAATATGAAAGGCTTACTGAAAAGTTGAGGTTGGGTTGATTCGAAAAAATCAACTTGAATTAAAAAATTGAAAACTAAAAAACGACAAAAACACGGAAATGCATTTCTTATAACTACAGCAGGGTAAGGTGCTGGTCGCTAGATAGACGCTATATGAAAAATAAGTAAGTCCGTTCTCTTAAGGATAGCTCAGTTTTTTCAAAAACACGAAGCATACACGGATGTATAATTCTGGGTTTTATAGACCCCGACAAAAGTAAATATTGAAAGGCAAATAGTACGCAATCAATGTTTCAGCAAGACCGCGTATCCCCTCACAGCGTCATTTAATCCAGAACTGGCTTTCTGATCATTCAAGCCTCTTCCTTATCGGTCACTTTTGACCTCCAAAAAGATTAATTCTTAATCCCACCAATTTTTGCGTGTGGCGTTATTGACCGACGTTCTACTAGTACCTACATAATATAAATATGTAGTCATCCACTGCCGCGATGAAAAATTCATAAGTTTATCGGAAGAGAATTTTTGGCAAATGCCTTACACGATTTCGATCAAGAACTATAAGGCGGATGGCAGTTTTTTCCAGTTATATTAAATAAAGTTTACCACAGATGCCTTTGCCAGAGTTTTGAAAGGATACAAAACAATTATTACTTTTTAATGAAATCAATGTTTACAAAATGTGATTGAGCACTTTCAAGCTTATTTGGCGCTCCATATTGTTTTAAAACGTGGTTCCTTTTTGAAAAATGTTTGATGAAAGCCAACTGTTTTTCATGTTTTTTTTTGGCTTCGTGATGATCTTGACGCACTAACTGCACTCGAAATCGAATATAACGGATCACTGCATCGTGGACATTTGCTGCCGGCAGCAAGCATCGTTTAAGTGATCTACATAAAACAAAATGTAGCCTGTATATTATACCTACTGTTATATAATGTGGAAGAATGTGCGATGGTAAGATCTATTGTAACCTGTCATCAAACTACACTGGAATGTCGATATGAGAATGCATCAGGGTCGGAAGCACACTTTGTTATACCCATGATGTCTCTTGCCAGACATCTCCATCTTCTAGGGTAAAATAATCCGTTGGACCCGAAGTGAAAATAAAGTGAATTAACTTTACACCGAAGTGATGCGCGCTAGGATACGGTAAATACGTTTAAGGAGTTGATACTTTAATATTAGCAAATGGGTAAAAAATTGAGTGCTTTTAATTGCCCAGATCTTAACCCAGACGGCCTTGCATACTTTGAAGTTTGGCCTGCAGACACACTGGCACGGCGCCTCCAGGCGGTTAGTTGAATTTTATTGGTGACGAGCATACCTGAAATTGTATACACTGAATTATTTTAAATACAAAGTCAGTCGTATATCAGGTACTATTAACTCCAGGTGATAACCCTATTGCAGTCCATTAGTATATAGTTTATGTATTATGGTACAATAGAGATCATGCACGTGGAATTGAATATATGAATCAAATAGTATAGGTGGGTGGTTGTGAGTATGCACGCAGTCACAATAAAAACTCTGACCTTTGGCGACCAGTATTTCGTGCCCATACGATTTGCCACAGCTCAAATACATGAAGTCGTACGACACTTAATCATATATGACTTACTTGCCGAACTTTTGCAGAAAGCCGTATAGTTTCATCATAGCGTAAGTGGGATTAGGGGCAATCATAAACAAAAGTCGGTAACTAGCCGATGTCATCCAAATTAATTGTTCCAGTGCATTTTACTAAGAACTTTTGAGAAGTTTTTCGGAACCATTGTTAAGGTGTCATAAAAATAAAATCTTTCTTTATCGGTTTGTCGATATTCACGCATTGGTTCGTTTCTGCGGTCTGTGTTTCGCCTCTATGACACGCGCAGCAAAGAGCGTCACGTTGTTGATATAAGGTGATAATCTTAATGAAAAAGCTCCATACCTTACGGCGCAAAGAGGCTGTTTATTCTTTTCCTTTTTTGTTAGTCAAGCTGTTCTACTTCATTACAGGTTTTCTTTAGCAGCGATTGACTACCACTACAATGAAGACAATTCATGTCGTCCACCAGAGGCCAAGCCGCCGTGTTCCGTCTTTGCCATCACAGGGGCATTCATGCGCCCCATCGCAGCCATGCTATCAGGAATTCTGTTGAAATGAGCTTGTTAAAGTCTTTGACGTCGACATCATTTATCGATCGGCTGCTGCGGAAAGAAAATGATAGGATATTTTACAAATCCAATGAAACACCCCATGCAATTCACTGGGTCTGGGAAATGAAGGTGAAACCCAACTGCTACAGGTAACGCAACGATATTTGCATTAACAGAACCGACCTAATGTAGATATTTCGCTCGCTATTTCTATACGTATCTATATTTTGGAACAATCCAGACAATTAGTTTCGAACTAAACGAGGACAGTTGTCGTAGGCGCAGACGGCACTCCAAACGATCGAAGAGGCTACGAATGTCAAGCGCCGGTGCACGGGACCCAGTTGTGGTTTGTAAACAGGTCGAACAGAGCCCGGTGAGTCAGCATCGTGCTCAGCCGGTACGTACCTACTATATGCTAATAATATTTAGCCAATAACATAATCGACAGCATCGACTGTCAAACAGGTCCCGATTGTTCACAGTGATGTCGATGGAGAACCCTTGTTTTTCCCAGAGAACGAAGTACACAGCGGCCATTTCATTAACAGTTTTCTGTAAGTTTTTTGCTTTTCACTATCGCTTACACGCTCGGTAGAACTGCGTTCGATTCCTGGCTAAATAGGATTGACCCATCAGTATTCTTGTGGAGTCCATACCACAAAAATGTCTCGTTAGAGCAGCCGCACTCGTCGTCTGAGACAGTACTCAATTGCGAGGGCACTTTTTGGCCAAAACAATGAATCCAGCGCAGCTACGACCGCAAGTAATGCGCAAAGTTCAACTTCGAACTAATTTATCTGGTGCCAGAATTCGATATTTACACCTATACGGTTTATTATTATCAGTTATTAGTTTCACTAGCAGTGGTGCTGATTTATCAAACGTGTGCTGCAGTGTTCGTCGGGGTTTCGTTTTGCGCAGAATGATGAGTTAATACGATAAAGCTGTTAACGATTGAAGATCATCATTGTGCCATGTCAATAACGCTTTTAGTTGCGTTAAATTGCTCCATAATTTTATTACAAACGAGGAATGTGTATGCCTTAGCTCTGCTGCATTGTAATGAATATTGCATCTTCGGGCTAGGGAATAGTAGTATTTGGTCCCCTGTGGTAGCGACATGCTTTGCCTTCTATAGGTCCAAATGTTCTAAACATAAGCAAGAAGAATCGATGTTTTGGGGTCAGTTCCTTTATTCAATTAGTCAGCACGCGTGGCTAGCCTAACAGTTATTTCACAAGGCACCAGGATTATAAAAATTTAGTTACTTATGTCGGCTCGGAGCAGGTTCCTTTTAGGAGGAGACGTGTTTTTGATCCAGTTCGCCGTCAAGCAAATCGTGTCTTGTATTGTTTTTGTTGGAGTTTTGTGTATGCATTTGTAGTTGAGACAGTCTTGGTCTTGTTAGAAGGCGCCGATCGTGGCGCCATTTTTGCCGAACAAGTAATACCTGAGTCTGCTGTTTTCAGCTAACAGCTGATTTTCCTGATATCTAATGGTGCTGCACCGTGGGCCAGGCTGTCTTTGACCACCAGACGCGTGGGCTAACGGGAGTAACTCACATCCAATCCGTTAAGCCTACTGAATGCCTGAAACCGAAGTGACTATTTTTAGGTTTATGTGCATTAGTGTTGTTTGACAAGGCTGGCTCCTTGCATAACACGAATCTGGACTACTGTCGATCAGTTGAGCAGGCGAGCAACTATCACGGCTACGACATTATAAGGAAAACGCCTGAAGCCTGAGTTTCGGTGTTACGTGTTCCGCATCACAGCACCATGTTATCTAAAGATGTCTAACATTATTAGATTATCTAAAGTTTGCAAAAGTTATCTCGTAACGAATTTATCGTCGGTAATATTGATGTTGTATTATTACATTCATGCATAATATTCGATTATAGGCAACCCGCGTGCTTCCTCTGGTCGAACGCCAGGCGAAGTCGGACGGGATGCGGAGCATGGTCTTTCGCCAGGCAGCCACGCTGCTCAGGCAGCTTCGGATCGACCTAAGCGATCTCAGCGAGATACAACTGCCGCCTCTACAGTACTTTGCCCGGGAGCAGTTACTTCACTCTAGCGAACTTCTCATCAAACGTCTCGTTTTGCGAAATGTCTCCTACTTAAGTTAACCCATTTGAATAGCTAGTAATAATGTTAATCGTTTAAGTGGTTAGAGTAGTTAGGGGATAGGGACGACAAGTGCACATTGAACATTTTCCAGTAATGGTTACTCAACAAGGTTATTTATCCCCCTAATGGCTGTGTACATTCGTATATACGTAGAAACGGTTTGCCAAGAGCTGGTTAAAAACATTACACTTAACGTAGCAATTCCAATGCTCGATGATCGCGTGTGATAATTAATGTAAAAAGTTACCCCTATCCGACATTGAAGTACAATTGTATTCATTTGATATTCATTTCTACATTGTTTCGTCATTGAACCATGCTTATGTGTCAACACAATATAGATATAAATGTTCCTCATTGTTCCACAGACTAACGACAATAGGAGCCATAAGTTAATGGGAGCTTAGTGGATCTTGCCCATTCAGTTTTGTGATTCGAATTAACTATCCCAAACTGGACGATTGTTATTCCAATGATAACTCACAATTACACATTTAGGTCCATATCGATTTGGTCGACTCGGTGACGGAGAACCTCATCACGATGCATCTTCGAATACTTCAATCATGCCCAGCAGTTGGAGCCTGGTTGGCTGGGCAGCTTCACCGATTTGTGACGGCGTTATCCGATGTGGCCGAAATACTTGAGATGAACCGGCCGAATCCGGTTAATTGGCGGGAACTCGCTGATCGTATGGAGGAGGTCGCTAATAAGGTGAGTGGTGAATTCAACGGCTTTACAGAAAAATCAGCAGGCACTTCCTTTTTTTTATCTTGTTTTATAAAAAGCCTTTTCTATAAAAGGCTTTTTATAAAAAAACTTTTATATAAACTAGGTTTTTATAAAAGGAGAGCAGTTTGGTGAGTGCCAGTTACGGATATAACGTATAGATTGTATGAAATCAATACGTTTGAAGTTTAGCCTTGCTAGATCCAAATTGAGCAAATCACGTCACCACCGTAGCGATGTCCAGAATTATTTCCCATCGATGTCGAGTTGGTGTTGGCTACGAGACTTGGCCAAAGAAAATATAATTTTCTTATTATGATTGTTTTTCATTGCGCAGTTCGTCTACAAGTCGTGGGATGTAAAGAGTTTCGTGCCAGCTATGCGGACTCTGCGGGGAGACCAGTTGCTTGGCCAGGGTGGTTTCGGCTGTGCCTACAGAGGGCGCCACATACCAACAAACCTTGAACTTTGTATTAAGGTTGTTCCTCTCCAGCACTTCCAGTTGGCTAGACATGCCTGTTCAGATAAGGTAGGCATGTTCGATGTTTCAACGTAGTATTGCTTAGCTCTGTGTTGCTACTAGGTTTGCCGCTTCAGCGTTCGAGGCAACGATAAGGCAGCGATAATCTCAGTTACGTCCTAGATTGACGTTTTGATCCCCAGACGGAGCGCGCTTTTAAATCAGAAAAAAATTAGGTTGAACTAGGGGTCCACATCGTCAAGGTTCCGAGCTCAATTCTAGTCATTTTGTCTGACCAAGTTCTCAGCAACGACTCATCGCGAGACACTGTAATGTTTCAAGCTATATTAGATATCTCTAGCAAGAACATAGGTTTATTGCGCTACAAGCGACAAGCTTACACATAACAAGGTTAGAGCCAAGAGGCTTCAGAAGTAGAGAACAAATGTTGAAGGACTGTTTCTTCAGGGTAGAGATCTAGCTTAGTCGTGCACCACAAATGTAACCCAAATATTCGAATATAGAGCCATTAACACCTCTCTCTAACAGGTATCTAATCTGTATTTTTGGGGTTGCCAGCTAGTTGCATCAGTCGCTCGCTGCAAATTTGTCGTATCTTATTATGCCGCATTTGAAACCCGGACAGCTCATATAGCCCTTATGGAGTTCGTCAAAGGATCTGACCTGAACAAATTAACAAAGGCGTCCCGAGTATTGGCCGTGGAACAGGTGCGGATGGTCGCTGCCCAGTTATACCTCGGTCTCGAATATCTACACATGCATGGTAATAGTCAAATACAACGTCCGCATCATTAGTGATTACGTCTGTTGCGTTGTTATAATTATTATATTTTCTCTATACCCACATCGATTGTGCAGCAATACTGTGTCATCGGCGGGACTTCTTTTTTTCTTTTTCCCTTTTATTTGAAGGCTTTACCGATCAAGCCACATAGTCCAAGATATTATAATATTTAGTTATTTATTCTGGGCTCTAATCCAGAGGCTATGCTGTACCGCACTTCAAAATTGAATATCCCGGAACTGGGAGTACCTGAAATTCAGCATGTTCAAATCTTTCCTTTTTCAAGAAACGTCCATAAACTTTCTTTCCTTTATCCTTTGCCCTTTGTATCCTTCATATATATTTGTTTCTCCTTCCATTTTAAATTTTAATTTAAAATTAACAATAAATTTTGGGCACCAAATGTTTCGGTTTCGTGTTTGAAATTTTCGCATATTACTCATTTTCCAAGAATTCTGCCATGAAGCTTTCCAAGCTCTATCGATCCTGATTTAAAAAGCAATTTCGACGATTGTCAACGAATTGGTAATAATGATTCCTTTAGTCGTGAAATTTTGTTGGAGAGATGTTCTAGGTATTAGAATTGGCAAAACAAGTACCTCTTGGCCTGTCTTAGTTGCCATTGGGTGGCTGTCAGTATGAAACGCGGTGTCTACACCAGGATTTAAACCTAGACTACCATGTGTTGTAGTTTGTTTTTAGCAGTTAGCCGCACTATCATAGGGGCATTGAAACCGAGATAATATTGGGATACGCAGCGAACCGTTCAAGCGTTGACATACAAGACATATTTGACGTGCGATACGCTAGTACATTGATGTTGAGTTTATGAATCTTTGAAATAAATAAGACACAGAATTGCAATTCTTGTGTATGAGTGAATTCTGCTAGTTCTTTTGTCAAGTAAAATTATCCTTTTTATTTTAAAATGTGACTCAGGGCGACGCCAGAATTCAAATGCACTATGATTGGTATTGCAATGGAACATGCCGCCACTGTTTGTATACCATTAAGGGATTATATGGTGAGGAACATTTATGCGTGTTTCAGATTATTAATAAATTCATTGACGGTACAAGTCATTAGTGACTGCTTTCCAAGCAACCTTTATTGCTACAAGATACTTTTCGGTAACATGCTGGAAAAGATCCATTTATTATCAGGAGGGTTTTATTGCCTAATGCCGGAAGCTCATAATCGAAGGCTTAATAAGATTTTATTGATTTAATTGCCAATTACCACTCCCTATAATACTCCACTCTCTATAATACCACTCTCGAGTAATATTGGGCCTATCGCTGGTGTTCACATATAGAAAATTATCTATTAAGTACCTCTTCGTTTAGTCTTAGCTTCGTCTTTCATTTAAAACTTGCAAGCTTAAGTGATCACCTGGTAAATCGCTCGTTGCAAAAATACTTGGAATTACTGTGATTCGTTGCAGTGCCTCAACGGAGTGGTTCAATATCTCATGTGCCCCTGAGCGCACGATATAGTATAATTTTATTCAAATATAATTATCGCGGCGCCACTGAATGAGCGTAAGCGATTCGACGCACCGCTTTCACTCTTCTATGCGCTTAATCATTGCAGTATTTACAGTTGGCAAGACATAACGGAAACCGTATCCGACAGCGGTTAATTGACGCCAATGCTGGCGTTGCGCTTTCGCTTACTGCTCATCTGTCAGTGGAACATAGTTCTCCTGTTTATCCATTACGTGTGTCTCCGTTATGCGCATTGCGAGACATGGGGGTAGAAAGGCGGAGTGGCCGTATTGGTTCACACTCAGCGATAGGCAATTGTCCTGGTAGTGTTCAGGTTGATCGATATAGCAGTCTGTATGAAGATAACTTGGTTCTTCGGTTTACATATTAACAGGAACGAGTGAAGATCTGTTCTTGGAAGTCGTAAGTTTCGTGCCGCCGTGCGGTCAATAAGCAATCTTCTATTATTTAGCTATCGATCAATAGATACCGATAAGCCAAGCAGTGAAGTTCTTTGTATCACTATTCACTTCCTTTGGCCTCCCTCATTACTCCAGTAGCGGTAGCTCGGCGGTATTCGGTCAGAATATTGTCGGGGTACCTTCGAGGTCGTATCGTACAGACTGGTCATAAGGTTTAGTCGCGAGCACACGTTCAATCAACTGCGAGGCTATTTTGTTCTTTTTTCCGTTCGGTCTCATGCAAGAAAACGCAGTTCGCGCCCAGGAAACGGTTTTGACGAAAAAATTTTAGCTAATGAAATCTAACTTACCAGTGCCACTGCCATGCAATGTTCAGCGCCATCATCAGCATCTACATCACCACCAGCAGCAGCATCACCATTGTGATTTGCTCTAGCGACATGGGTGGCTGACGCGTCGCTACATCGTTCTGGCAGAAATTTACTTTCGATTTTACTGAATTATACGATAAAACAATGTTAATTGTTTTATCGTATCATTAGCGTGTCTTCCTCAGTCTGTTTTCCTTTCAGCCTATGACATATGGAAATGTGTTACGACGGCTACCGTTGCCGTGCTTAGTCTGGCTAGATTGCGTCTCGGCACCGGTACACGGTCTTTTTCCTGTTACCTTCTCCCGCTAGATCTGATGAATGGCGATCAGTTCTACCCTGGTTGTCAGTGCAGTGCCGATGAGATCTTTCTTTATTTTTGCTCTATATACTGTTATTACAATTTCATTTGTCTACACCCTTGGCGAAGTGGAGGTAGGGGAAAATGGCAGACCTACAGTATCACGCTGCATTATTCCTACGGCGCTTTTTCTGAGGACAGCTTGCAGCGCATTCTGTTGCTTTCAGTGATATTGCGGTTACAGTGACGTTGGTCGCCGTACTGACTGGTTGGCTGACCATTTTACGGAGTCTGCTGCCGGAGACGAACACAGCAGCGCTTCATTTAAACCAGCCGCATCGCAGTGCGTCATCGTAGCCGCGTTGACACAGTGCGGAAATTCACTCTTTTTGTTGTAAAAGATACCGAGGGAAGAAAAGCTGGAGACATGGATCTATAAGAGCGATTAGCGATCGATTATGCTGGATAAGCAAAATCAGATTTGTGTGACCATGATTATATGGGATAATTATTCTGACTGCTCTTGACTCAGCTATGTTTTGCATAGTTATAGTTATCGAATGTGTTATTATATCACACGAATGTAATTAAAAGAACGCGGACCCACAGGAAACGTGATCTGATTTTAACTGTGTAACACATTGTGTCATACATCGATTGTGCGTTACTAATGTAAACTAAATGTTTGTTTACATTGTGTGTTAATCATTATTATATATAGTTATAGTATTAATTAAAAATAGGCTCACAAAGTTCATTACTGATTTGATGTTTGGCCAACAACATAAAATAGCATTTGATCTATAGCGATCTCCCGTAAAAAATATCTATCTAAAACGTATCTATGTAAACGTATAACATACACGAGTGGTGAAAATTTTTTATCATCCGTAACGCGAACGCCATGTTTATTTCAGGATTTGTTCACAGGGACGTTAAGTCTGCCAATGTACTCGTCACCATGAAAGGCTTGGTGAAATTGATAGATTTTGACACGTCAAAGGTTATTATTTTCGGATTATGGATAGGCATGTAACACTTTTCTGATCTAGTCAATATTTTTAACAGTCGGAATGAGAAAGCAGAACCGTTTCTAGGGCAGTCCTTGTAGTTAGTACAGTGATAAAGTTAACTCCTTAAGGGTACATGATGTGGTCTGTGTTTAAGATCGGGCGGCAACCTGCGCAGAAACCAAAACGTCTGAAATAATGCTTAGCGCCAGACCGCTCGGAAAGATTTTAGTAGCTGTGACGAACGCTAATAATAGTAATAACGCAGAGGCTTTATCGTCTGTAGGTATGCTTATCGCATTACGTACGGGATCGAGCTCTTGAATGTTTCTTCGCTCGTACAGCGAGGGAGTTCCGAGATCGCGAGAAGGCTGGTACGCTAGCATATAGAGCTCCGGAGGCAATTCAGAAACAAGGGTATGGCCGAGCACTGGACTGGTGGGCGCTCGGTTAGTTGAATGTTGCTTATTTTTTTTGTGCCATTTCCTGTCTCGGCCTGGGTAGTCGTGCACATCGGTCGTGATTGTCGAGTCTTTCATATGATAAAATTCATGATAACATTATTGATATACGTGAACCTTTCGCCCACTCCTCAGAAAACCCAAATTTTCAGCAATTACGGTTCAATAATGCCTCAAACACCCTCTGAGAACTTTTAGAGGACGAACATTAATTTTGTCATACGGAAAAATAACGGTCACTGCGTTTCTGTCGAATCCCATCAAGGATGCGTTGTGTTCAAGATCACAACGGGCAGACTTCCATTTCACGGCGACGACGCTGAACTAAAGCGGCGCATTTGTGAAACTGACCCCGAATGGAGTAGCCAGCGATGTTCCGATGTGGACTCAACGTGTCAGGAGTTCATCAACGCGCTGATGATCAAGGATCCAACGAAGAGGCTTGGCAGTAGCTGTTACAGCGAGATCAGACAACACGCCTTTTTTGCTGGTTGTGTGTTTGTCTGATTGATCTGTATTTTATCTAAGACAATTGGATCACTGCTATCGAATAGTTTGAATAACTCTCTTCTCCTTATTCCAGGACACTTGTCTATCGATATTACTTTGTAGATGCTAGAGCAGGCATTCATTTCACTCAATTCCTCATTGGACCCAGTCGACGCCTTAGCTGCAAATACTTTTCTAAGACGCAAATAATAAGCAATGAGAAATAAGCCTACTCGAAATACATGTAACTGCGTTACAGGACTTGATTTTGACAGTTTGTCGAAAGCTGACAAATATGAAACACTGTGCGAGATGCCAAAGGAGATCATTCAAATTCACAATATGTCTCCACTCGAAGCTAAGCAAAAACAGCCGAACCAACAGAAGAAGTTCGTGGTCACTCTTGGTGAGCAAATCTGCATTCGATATGTTTTGACTACGTTACGTTGTTCCACATCGATGTACTGCGAAAGCAAGTTGATTAGTCGACACAATTTTTGTCTCGTTTTCTATGTGAATTTGATTGAAATCAGCACAGTGTGAGGACGTCTTGAAGCCGCATCGTCCATTGATGACATACGTATCGAGGGGCTTTGCGCGGGCAATCGCGAGATATTCAACAGGGCTCCCAGATCCACCGTCAGCGGAGCCCACACCTGAGTACACACTTTTGAGGTTCAATGAAAAGGAGCACTTCGACCAGGTTACGGACAAAAGCGAATACGTGAGCCGGTCCGAACTTCGAGGTCAAGGGCCCAAAGACGATAGTACAGAACAAACAGTGGACACGATAACCGACACAATCGACCCGTCACCAAACTCCAGGGAATAGTTTTCTCATTCTCGATCATCTATTCATTTTCTGTCAGTAGTCGCAAAACGAAGAAGAGTATAAACAATATTCAGAATCTAATAAGTTCTCTAAAGTATAATTTGTAGCTCGAACGCTATAGAACTTTGTGAAACGGCTTGTCCTGAATTGTTAGTTCTGTCAACGTTCTCGGGTCGGTCAGCCGCTCGGAATCGCAAGAATTGTCCTTAAAATCAACGTACTTTAATGCCAGTGGAAATTTAGTTTAAATTCAACCGGTGCAACGTGAAGCACCAACAAACGAGTGCCCTGTGGAAAATTCCGCCATATTTTTTAATATCCAATAGAATAATTAAAATAATTGTGAGAAGTATGTCTTATTATTTCGTCTCGCTTACAGGAAGCCCACGCAGCCACCGAATGTCTCTGAATTGTCCCGACTATCCTCAAAGAAATACTCTAAGTGAGTAAGTTGGTGAGCGTATTTACAATAGACTAATAGTCTTCATAGTGATCTCAGAGATGGTGCCCATGCTAGGCACTTGTCTGATGAGAATGTGTTCATTAATAATGAAGAACGCACATATCCGCTAAAGGAAAGAATCGTCTTGCTAGGAAATGCGTTTTTACCTGTTTCCGTTTCACTGCAGGCAGGTTAGAGATTAGTATTGGTCCCTCTAACCTGAGTACAGTGCAACGGCTGATTTACCCGCTTTCCAACATCTCCTTGAGTAACTAGCTGACCATTAAAGGACTGTTCTAAATCAGTGCTTAAAATGATACTGCATATAGAAGAACACTGTTCACGGCTCATTTGGATGCTCTTTCTTACTTTGGGCTTCTGTGCTTTTGCTTGGCCTTAAATGCTTGATTCGAGTAAGATTTATGCTGTAATAGCGTCGAGCCATACAAATATCCTCATAGCCTTCTTTATGACCAGGTAAGGTAATCCAATGAGCAGTCAACAAGCTCGTTCTTAGTTAATCACCATGGAAAGCATAAAAAAAATACACCATCAAGGAACGAATGTTGAAGGACCATCCTGACAATAGTTTACCGTGACCTCACTGAAGAATCTATGGCAGCTTCGTGAAATTCCTTTAGAAATAAGTATTTCTAACGTTCTTGCATTTGATTACTGTAATGTTGGGCGGCCTGGGCTTCCTAGAAGCTGCGCCCAATAACGGACGGGGCTGTTCTCAATGTCTGCTGTTATTCATTTAGTCTCCTGAGACAGCGCAGACGAAAAATGGTTATGGACCGTTATGAGCATCTTGAACTGAACTGGAGGACCGAGTTGATTTCTGCAATGGTGTCGATTTTGACACGGCTGGACGGCATCAAAGAGGTGACTGTACACACCCTAGCTTCAACTGAGATTTCCCTTCATCATAATGTTCACCACTGTGACGGTGTACGAGACGCTGCTTGAACCGGGAAATAATTTTCGTGATCGGGCTCAGTTATTTCATTATTCTACGTGTTGCTAATAACTCTATTAGTTGTAATCCGAACAGTGCGCTCGCGTTTCAAGTCTCTTTTTCTGGTTAGACTCAGCTGAATAAATGAGGAAGATTTAAAACGTTCGCCATTAGTCGGTCAGAATCGAGCGGACTACTGACTAAGTATAAAGCAACACGATTCTAGATTTGTGAATTTGTAAATACATGGCGACGAGTATTTCATGACAGAGGCGGTGCCTAAACTGCGAACAGATACGTGAAGTTCGGAAAGAAGTCGACGGTGCTATCGACTTTTCGCGGCATGACCGCATGAAGTTTGAGGAACGTAGGACGAATGTATGGGTGACAGAGCTTCAGTAGGCAGCTCAGGACTTTCAAGCGGAAGCAACCTCTCCTTGGTGAAAGCATTGAAAAAAGATTGAAGAAATATGGATGGTGCTTGCCACTGAAATCGTTATTTCTGTCCTCATTATTGTCAACCATCATATCTGTATAGAGAAAAGTAATATAGATCATCTAGTTAATGTTGATTGTAGGAGCTTGTTTTCAGTGACGCATAAATAAACTGTTTATTCGCAGAGAGTGAACATTATCTGAGATAAATCCTTGCAAGATCATATATAGACAGCTCATTCATAAATGTTTCTAATTTTTTGGAAATTCACGGTTTTAAACTCTTCTTCTACCAGAGTGGTTGACGATCAAGTTAGCGTTGTGTATTTTCTGAAAATATCGGAAGTCTTAGGTCCAAACATTCAATTACGCTCTCTCGAAAATCTATCCGTAATATTAATTCCGTCGGTTAACCAATCCGATGGACACAACGAAAACAGTAGTCTGAGAGGGCAGAATGAAAAAACTTAAGTAGACGCAATTGTCTAAGACAATACTACAGTACTATGTTTTTATGTGCTACACTCATATTAGATAAATTCAGTTCTTCAGATGCCGTAAGTTCAGGTATCATGCACCAGTCTGCTTTTCTAATCATAAGCCTTAACTACATAGTTCTACGATTGTTCGACACGCAGCTAGAGGAGGATTAAACTGTCGAATATCTCTATACACCGTCAAATCTATAGATGGAGGTCAGACAGATAGTTTGGTTCCTATTTCGATTTTACAACAAGCTTAACAATCAGTCAAGAACGACCATTGTATCAAATCAAATTCGAAACCATAAATTCGTCCCCGTGGTAGCTTACTGGGTAACGTGCTAATCTTAAAAACATGTTGTGATCTAGGTTCAAGCCAGGGCTTAGACACCACACGTGTCTTAAGCTGCTGTGCTAAGCTTCGTGCTGGGAGCTAGCCGTCTGATGGAATGCCTAACGCGGTATCGGACGTAAAACTAGAAACACAGCCTCATTAAGGAAATAGCATTATAGCTTCCGCTTGTTTGATGAGGACGCTAATTTAATTACATATTTACTACGTGCTACGGTCCACACGGAGAGCTCGGTTATTCCAAATGAAACATCGGTATAATACGCTTCGCAGAAAAATGTCCTACTATGGACCTAAAAACTTGCAGCAAGAGCTTCATCCGTATCAAAATTTGTGGCTGTCTTCCTTGCCTGACAATCGATTCCGCTAAATTCGAACTAAACTGTTCTTAAAGGCAAAAAACGACAGCTCAAATAATTGCCCGTTGTGCCATTACCCCATCACGCGACTCTTATCATATTGTGGGTGCGTTGCAAATACCCAGGTGGGTGTTCATGGCAAGACTAGTATGGCGTCGATGATGTGGGCTTCGCGGAGCCGATATCTGTGGAATCTGTTGTCGCCTAACGATCTGTGTGTATTCGTTGCATAAGAAGTACTATCTTCTGATCTATATCATACGGCATTATTCCGGTTACCATTTGGTAATCGTGAGCTGCTTGAGATACGAACCTTGTCCGTGCCTAACAGTACTAACTGGCCACTTACGATATGTGGGGCGTGAAAAACGTGGGGCGCACATTTTCGTTTATCCTACGAACCGTGTCGCGGTAGAGCAACCTCCCCTGAACCTCTAGTCTCATTACTGGCTAAATTCTGAATAATCAATTACAGACTTCACAATTTTCTCCATAATGATCGTGCATCGCATTATAGCACTCTTGTATCTCTACGTTCTATCTGTGTAGTAAGCAATTTTTCATTGCTGATTACAGGAGTGATCTCAAATACACTAGACAATATAAGCCATCCCTTGAAATACTGGAATTAACCATGCCGCGCAGTGGTGTATGTCCTCAGAAGTTTGGCTTTTCGTACCGACTCCTATCGGGTGTTGACGGGAGCGTCGGCTTCGTTTACCGAGTTAAGCCCGATTCTGTAGCTTCGCGCGCCGGCCTCTTCTACGGGGACATGATAGCAAAGGTTAACGATCGAATGGTAGGCACGTAAGATCGATTCTCTATTCGTAAATAACTCTGAAAAGCGAATGAAAACCTAAAGCGAAAATTTCCGCGCCGACTACATTCATGTTATCGATATGTCAGCGTATATTTTGGGCTAATTACGATGATTATTTCTTTGGGTTTTATTATATATTTGGGTTAACTGCACTCTTCGCCAGTCCCTCGGTTCTAGAATTTACTTAGACGAAAACAACCCGACAGCAATGTGCAGGACTCGGTTGTTTCCTGAAGGGTGATGGCCATCACCGGTTCACTAGTATGCTTTTAGGACTGAACGATCAGCGACCTCTAGATTTCTTTTGTACGTCTGTCGCATACACGCTATTACAGTAGAGACAAGGTAAGTGCAGTCCGGTCAATTTCTGTGCGCTAAACACTTGCAAAGACCCGTCTGTGCCCTATGAATGTTGTACGAAAGAAAGCTTTAATGATTAAAGAAGGTTAAGAGTGCAAATTCGTTATGGATTCGAAGACAAAATTTAGAATTAACTATTGAATATAGGGACCATGGTATTGCTGAACGTGATAGATAGTTTTGTTTACCTGTCTCCGAATGGACTACCGCAGGAAGTTCGAAACTAGACCAAGTCACTTGATTCCGAAACGCAATTAGCAACAATACATCAGCTCAGTTTCTCAGACCGGTTGACTGATCCACATAGTTTTAACTTACTTGTCATTTGTGAAAATCAGCCGCAGTGTAATAGAAGCAAATGGGTTCATTTCTCATTCTGGGCAGCGCCCATCTGGTAGTTTACTTTTAACAAACCAACCCCCAGGAAAAACCAATAACCGATTTCGGTGCGAATAGCCTTCTAACTGGGCGTACTAGATTCATACAGAGTAGATGCGCATATACCCACACGTGTATGCATGTGTGTGCAAGCGATAGTTAGGTAGCAGCCTTGGGTTGTTTGCCTGGTTGATAATTTCGTATGTGTACGTGACTCGACCTGCCTGGTGCGGCCAAATAATCATACCCAACAAAGAACGCCTAAAACTATCACACAGTCTAAACTGTTCATCTCAAAACCTATGCATATGGAATAAGAGTCTACTCTGTCTAAAAGACATACATACCAATGCTTAGCCCGCTGTTTATCATTTGGCTTGGTTTTTGGCTAGAGGGGGAGTCATAAATCGTCAAACGCTAGATACCCACGAGATATGAAAGAATTTGCGAAATAAAGCGCTTTTTTTGTCGTAGACGCGATCAGCAGCGGCGATTATTACTGATGGTCGTAAATATAAAAGGGACATGGTCATTGATAGTAGCTGATAAACGCAATTGCGTCAATATCTTGTTCGTTTTCGTTCCTTTGGTCTTCGTTGTTGCTGAGCTATTTAGCTGGCTGAGCCCAGACAGATACTGCCTATTTTCTAAACATTACCCCTAAAGGCCATCCCTAGCACCGACGACTGGAAATACGGGACTCGATGCCATGAAATACAACGCAGCATCGCAAGTCTGTATGCACGAAGCTTATGATCGTAATAAATATGAAGGTATAAACGTTATAGACGAAAAAAGGCATGACACGACGTGATCGTGATGGCCATGATAATCATATAGTAATTCTGTCACTCGGCCAATTATATTCATAGTATTTTATGGTATAGGAAATGATTGAGGGTCGACAGAGTTTTAATTTGAATTAGAAGAGACGATATGGCGGGTAAAAAACACGGCAAAGCTGGCGCTGATAAGTAGTCAATAAATAAATACGCCTCGCAAATGATTTTGACGATAATCCCATATGAAAGATGAAACGAACCTATATCTGTTTGGTGGGCCAATGTATCAATTACAAGCAATTTGACAAGGTTAAGAAGCTAAATATTCAAAAATATAGAAAGTATGATTTATCAGTTGACTTTTATTATGAATAGATTCAGTTCTTGTCATCGAAGCCCGTACGCGTATTTCTTGCACCGATCTTCTAGGCCACGAAACCCGTCATGAAAAATGACCAGTTAATTGTTAAAGAAAATTTAAATGTTCATACGGTCAAGGATCAGCTGAATACAACTGTGCCAATTTATTTCAGGTAGTTCCTAAGGACAACCCAAGGATTCGTGAAATTATCCATTCTTCTTCCTACGTTTCACTGGCTGTCTACGCCCATAATCCTTTCCGGCTGGCCCAGCTTCACAGAGATGTATGCTTTCTTCACACTTAGCTTAACTTCACACTTAACTTCCTTAGCTAAATGATTTGTAGTCGTGTAGAACGTGATTTGTAGTCATTACTAATGTGACGCATGTGAATCAATGACTGACTCTATATCCGGAGAAAAGTCGATGCGTCTTTAAGGTCGACAATTAATACCAACTGTTTTTCGGTGCTTTGTTTCTTGCCCGCAATATTGCTCGAAATTGGAAGCCCTATAAAGGAGATCCCAGTTTTTTCAAGATTGTAAATTTATGACTATGGTATATTTGATTTTATACTTCAACTTGCCAGAGCGTTCCTAGCAATAGAGTAGAGTAAGAAGTTTCTTTTTCGGATTAATAGGAAACTTGTAGAAACAAGTGCTTGATTAATGAAACGCTGCAACCAGCAATGGAAAAGGTACATGAGCGTGGAAGAGCATGGGTATACTGCTATTTTTTTGTAGGATATGAAAGCGTGAAGGGCATGTATAGCCCTAACATCCCTATGATAAACAGTCGGCAAGTTATCTATCGGCTTATTTTAGTGAGGAGCTAGTACAATGCTACTGGTCCCTAGTTAATACCTACTATCATATGCTGTTCAATTGCGAGCGTTTAAGCTGTTGGCTCGGAATTGTGTCACTGAATAATACCGAAAAGTATGTTGAATATTCTATCCGTGATAGAAGAGCACCAAACTGAATCGACTACTGTGGTTGTCGTAATCTCGAATCCCATTGGATCATGCTTTTTATTATAAATCACGAGGTCATAGGTTTTACTTTTGGATATCTTGTCTAGCTTCAAAAGTGAATTTAAGAATGACTACAGTGAATTTAGGATTTCCTTAAGAAATGGGTTAATATTCGGAACATCCATCCCCGTCGATTAAGCTATAATAGGTCAAATGAGATTTTTGTTTTCAAAGGCCAACGGTAATCAGATGCTCCGTTGCCAGAGGCCAAATACCGGGAAAAAGAAGCCAGTATAACCCATCTCTCTTGGTTACGCTCCTCGATAGAATTACAACTTATCCATGTGATATTTTCGTGCAGGTTATTGTTATTATCGTCAATAGATCATAACTTACCCGGTGCTTATTTGCAACATTTAGATATTTTTTGGTAATAACGGATATTCACCTGCTCTATAAATGAATGAAAACATGTCAAATGCGTGCGTTCAATGCTAATAAAACAGCTCAATAGGGAGTTTTTGCAAAGGAATCACATGGTAGAAATGCATGATTTTTGAGCATATTATTAGGAAATGTCGAACGCTATTTTTAGCTGTCTGTTGGTGCTAATTAGTTATATACCTCTTTGGAGGTAGTTCGTTAACAACCTACAATTGCTTATTTCGACGAATTTCCACAAATTCGTCCATTAAATGTATGGACTAGAGACGTTAAGTAAGGGCGTCTGGCCAGTTTCCAGTTTTTTCAACCAAACCCCAAGTAAAATGTGGGGTACCTGTCTTCCACTGCGAACTGTGATCTAACAACGATAACCTTCGGATGTCTAGATGATGCAATATTCTTACCGTGTTGATAGAATTATTGGTGTGTGTATGCTAGCAATTTTGTACCGCCAGAAGGTACTTTATTAGCATATCCATTGATCGTATGTGTCTTACTTTTATGTTTGTTATATGTGTTTATGAACGTGCCCTCGTTACCAACAACACTGTGTTATAAGGCTGAAGCCTGTCTCTTCATTAAGGGAGTTCGCAGCGCGCTACAAATCACCTTTACAAATCATATAATAAACTCTACGTCCGATGGAAGCACCTGGTTTGAAAGAGGGCAAAATGTTCAGTATATGCGAATTACGTATTAAATTTAGTATTGATTAAATTAACATTCATGGTTTTAGTCATATCGTCGGTCTGATCCACTCAGCTAGTGAAAGAAATAGAAAAAAAAAGTCGTATTTTGATACTGTAGTCTATACTAATCTATAGCAAATAGTAAGTTTTTTTGCTTTCGATGCAAGTGGTCCCCCATCCTTCATGTCGTACAACGGGTGGATATTTCTACCTTCATTAACATCCTTCTGAGACAGGCTGCGTCGTGATTAATGATCTCGCAGAATGTGCGGTCATGTCGAAATCGAAATAAAAATGTAGTAGTGATATATTACTTTTACTATAGAATATAGTTTCGCACAGCAACGTGTCTCGCAGCGACTTTGTTGTTATAATAACGATTGTTTTTTTCCGTCGCTTATACATATAATCAGTATAAAGATACGGATGACTGCTTTCGCAGAGCTCCCTAAATAAGCACCTAAACTACTGTGACTGTGTATGATTCAAGTACAAAATGTACATTTAGGCCAAACTTTCCCAAACTTCGCTCGTTGGATTAATAGAGGCCACAACTTTTTACAGGCGCTTTTTTGCCTTTTATAGCTATTATATAGCTTATGTCGCCATGCGAATAAACCTATGTTGAGCTGATTTCTCTGCGCTGATAATCCAATAGAGTAGTGATAATCACTTATTAGAATCATATTGGTAGAACTAATAGACCTAAACAGATACGATAGTAATTGCAATGGCTACCAATATAATCATTGTTTTATAGTGAATGCCAAGATCGCACAGGAGCACCATTTTTAACCCGGGGCCGCGACGTGGCTTCCAATGTATCTGTTTTATGCTGATAATCGCGCTCGGTATACCAAACACATCTGAATAAATCTATTCCATGATAAGATTTCTAACAGTAAATTCTGCATTGTTTATGAAGTTCAAAACATATAAAAAATATATATATAATTTTTTGCCAATTTGTATCTCTGTACGTGTGTGTTGTGTTGGTAAATACTCATTCTAATTTACTTCTATATATATATTTATACTATTGCTAGTAAGTCAATACTTTCTATCATGAATTCGCAATATCGCGGCATTAGATAGATCATGTAATGTAATGAAAAAATGACGACATCCCTGACGAATCATCAAACGGATCATGTTGAAAGTAAATGTATCACAGTACCTATTGTCGTCTGTCCGTATTGATCCGTATCGCGCAATATAGTTCTGTATGGCGCTCGTATTGCTCATCTCGCTCTGAGGTGCGGCCGATTTACAAATTTAAGCTGCTTGTCAAATAGTGCCAATGACGATGTTCTCGATGTTTTCAGCATCAAACTGCTTGATTTGCAACGGAGCCAATACACAATTCTTTGTATACGATCAAAAAACAACTTAGCATGAGAAATTGGGTATCGATGCAGTTCAGTAATTGCTAACTGTGGGGTCGACATCGACCCCACATGGGAGAAGACGCGGAAGTATGTCCGATTCGGGGCCCCTAATGTACTGATTCTATAAGATATAGTACCCGTAAAGGCTGTTAGGGAGTCGATAACTATAATAGATAATCGATGGCTTACAACTTGCTCGCCTAACGTATGGTTACAAAGCGACGAGTCTCATCGCAGCCATGTGCATAGCGTCTTCTGTAAATACGGTGAATCATTGATGGTAAAAAGGATCGTATCTTTTGTATAATTGTGAATTTGAATATGATAAATTGTTCAGGCGTTATAAATTCCATTACGTTGGTGCTTCTCAGTTTCAAAATTGTGGCCATCCGAGACTCGATTAGTTTTTAAAATGAACTTGGAAGTTTCTTCTTTTTGGGATTAGCGGTATTTACGTATAGTATTTGGGCGCATGTCACACTTCCCTGCAGCCTGAAGTAGTCTACAGACGAATCCATAACCTGTACCTCACATTAGAATACTGATAATATTATGCATAATAATGAACATGCAGAATAACGGTGTCTCACTGTTGCTAATATGGAGGCCGTTTTCTGTTTGCTTCTCGGCTCATCCATGTACGTATAAACGTCAGAAGCGTATTTCATATAGTTCGCAGGGCTGCATATATGTAGAGATAAGCAGACTTAAATACCATAACGATGTCCAGCAAAACTGTTCATTCAGACTATGCCCCATCGGACGGACTGGTCTGAAAGGCTTCCAAATTTTGCGCGACATGGATACACTTGTTCCAGCATAAAGTTAGCAGTAACGGTAAAAAGGCATTGTATGATCGCTATATTGGAAGAGTGGTCTGTGACCATACGTTTTCATTAATGGTCGCAGGTGATCATAGACAAATGAGCATTTTATTACACGGATATGAAGCTCCGTTCCAGCATATCCTATAAAACTATCTACTAGTAGACATCCAAATTTTCACTTAGTACTAATTACCAACCTTTAAGCAGAGTTTCATTTACTAATTACCAACCTATAAGTAGCGTTTCATTTACTAATTACCAACCTATAAGTAGCGTTTCATTTACTAATTACCAACCTAAAAGTAGCGTTTCATTTACTAATTACCAACCTAAAGTAGCGTTTCATTTACTAATTACCAACCTATAAGTAGCGTTTCATTTACTAATTACCAACCTAAAGTAGCGTTTCATTTACTAATTACCAACCTATAAGTAGCGTTTCATTTATAACGGGAGTAAATACAGCGCTTATATTGTAAACATCATATTTCGTTGCATTTGATCAATAATAAGGGAAGGAAAAGTGGGACACCATATTTCATAATAATCATTTGAAGCGTTCAAACCTCAAAATAGTAATATTTGTATAGAATTACTACCCGAGTATTTTCCGTTTATATTAGACATCAGTTTGTTATGATAACGACTAAAATAGAGCGTTGTTTCAACAATTAATTTTAAAGATGAAACAATAAGCAAACCTGAGGCAATAGGTTCACAACACTATGTACATGCAGAATATTATATAAGGCCAGTAGTGTGGCGAGCAGGAACGATATAGCCTAAATACGGCACCTATATATTCATGACTTGCACGTCAAAGAATGTCGTCCCTTATTTCAATGCTCGAAGCAGATACTTAAAAACAGGACGTTCTTGTTATCCTATAAGTGATTATATACGATAATATGCATATAAACGGATCTCATATCACATTATTTGTCTCTATTATAGATCGCCCACGTTCTTAAGATGGATAGAAACGACGCGAAAGATTTACGCCTCATGTGTTTTAGGGACAAGTGTCGTTTAAGAGCGGGCTTCTCCCTAAAAACCTTTATCAGTGCTGCCGATGGCGGAACATACTCGGCACACATATTTCACCGGTCAGTACTTTTCATCTTATTGTGATCATAGCAATTTTGTAATGAAGTGATCATTTGAGTTCGTAGACTGCTGTACACCTCGTATAAGACTGCATAGATTCCTATAACGCTGTCAATTTTTGATTAGGCCATGACCAATGTGTGCTGGCCACACAGAGGTAAGGGCGAGCATTCAGTTGTCTAATCAGGACTGGAAAAATTCGGGTATAAATCGGCTCACAAGCATGAATAATAATACGCATTTCCTAAAATGAAGATCCATTTGTAATGAGCATACAAGTAGTCAGATGCATGGACACGGTCTCGACGCACTAAGCGAAATATGTGCCAAAACCAACCCAGCTAATATGACATAGAAACAAATATGAGATTAATCTCGGAATACGTCTTCTAAATTTCAGGATCCTGAAATTTGTCTCTTGACTATATCTACGATACTATAAAGAAAAGCCCAGAAAAAAAGCCCAGAAAAAAGATCAGGAATGACAAACTCTCCTAACTTCAGCTCTGAACTAATGATTAGTTAATCGTCCCATACCTTATTTTTTTTTTTCACTAGGAATATTAGAATGTCAGGTCTATTCATGATAAATCTACTTGTATTATAAATGGCGTCAACATTTGCCGCGTTTAAAACCGATGGCCGCTCTAGACTTGACAAATCCTGCAGGGTGGCAAAGCGAACAGCCGCTCACCTTCAAGAATGCCTTAACACAAAGTTTCACTTGATACAAAGTCTAAAATGAGTGACTTCATGATGAAACCAGTTTTTTTTGGCAAGCGCTCTTGCACTGGCGTTATGGTGGCATCTGCATAACGATTTCATAATGATCCCTGTCTATTTGTCCTATATTATTCCTACATTTATGTTAATCGTTTATTGCTTGTTTCTAACGGTTGTAACACCGTTTCGACGGTTATTGAATTTGGCCTTCTCATGTTATCGACGATTAACGGAATTGTTCTAATTACTAACAATGCTTATTGTTGCTCTAAATGGACGGGCCAAAAAAGTGCCTAAGGTCTTATTTCCTGCCTATAATTTGTTGAGCGAACCTTTGCCATTAGTGGTAATGGATGATCATTGTGAGAGGCGCCAAATCCGATATATAATCAGTTCTAGTTTACTATCAGCACCAACTGACGGATCACGACAAGGAAAATTTGTCTCGGCAGAATGCAGATTTCAGTTGGAAAAGTATATGAGAAATATACATATATCTCTGCTGGATGCTGACAACAACGCATATCAAGGCACTATGTAAACAAACACGGGATCCTTCGTCCCTTTCTGTTAGTCGCAAGTTTGTACCTACATATATACAGCATGTCCATAGGTTGAATGATTTTACCGAAGCGCGCCGGAAGAATCCAGTGAAACCGAGAAGAATTGCTTTGCTTTTTAGGGTTACAGAGATTACACGGCCTATCTAACGCTTAACCAAAAACTAACACATCCTGCTTCGGTGACCACTATTGCAGCACCTGATCGTGATCGCTATTACAAAAGAATCTTCTGTGGCAGTTTCCTGCTCTGCTTTCATAATCATCTTAAACGCAATGGTAGATATGTTTCAACTAGCTGGTATAGACAACTTCACGACTTTCTAGTCCAATTGCGACGAGATCCCCACAAATAAGATTTTCCCAACCGTTTCTCCCCCCTACCACACCCCTATATTTCAAAACAATACGTAATCCACATTGACAGCAAAATAACCACACTAAAATGTACTGCATTGGCTTATCGACTGCGTCTAATAAAAGACGAAATATTTTTTTCCCTCGATTTTAAAAAATACGACTGGAATAAAACATAACTAATAAGAATATCAATCACTGCTACTATGGGAAATAATGATTTGAAATCAATCAGCCTAACAGACTTATGGATAGCTAACAACCAAATACCTTCACAACATCCAGTAACATTATGTATTGCTTATAATTTTTACCGACTTGCGATAAAATAGATGTCACCTTTAAACTTCGAGATGTTACTACGGAGCGTGTAAACACTGTGTGAGCAACGCCCCGGTCGTACAAAAGAAATGGATACCGTGGATTCTTTTCCAATAGCGAAGTTCTGAATATAATAGCTAGATGCAAATGGCTAGAACGAGTAGTAAAAACTATGCAACCGGAACTATTTAGCAAACTGTAATAGCCAATTGCTATATAGGCAACGCATGTCACCAAAGATTTCATACATCTGTATCTGTTGGCCTGTGGTTGTGATTCCTGGAGATGAGGCGAGATAGGCCTCGACTATGAAATCCGGGAATAGTTTCTGTAGCGGAAATCAGTAGACATTCTTCTGAGTGGCGTATCACCAGATTTAAGCAAACCGACCAAGGACTGAGCGATCATCAAGCAACTTGAGCTCCTACGTTATGTGCCGCTTTCTTCATGCTGTCTGTCCAGTCACCCTATCTGTCGCTTCGCCATGATTTTAAGGCTGTTGAATTAAACTGGAAAAACTAATTTTGAAAACCTGAACTACGACGGATGCGAAGAGTTTTACGTTGTCTTCTGCGATCCCCCAGGCCAAACAGGCCTGCTTGCTTACAATTCAATCTACAACTTGAAGTTAATAGCCACTAGTCGTTGTTGGAAGCGAATTTTTCCGCGATTCAGTATTTCTTTCGGCGTCAAACCATGTACCTTTGCTTACCATTACTAATACTCATCAATATAAGACGAGAAGAAGCTGTATGAAACAATCAGTTTCATTTGTTTGTTTGTCTTCCCATTTGCATGCCTTACTGACAGCCAAGCATACTTAACGTGTTTCATGGTTGTTTTTCTTGTGAAAGCTAAAGATACAATACGTTGTTTCTGCTTCATCAAACCTGCTCATTCGCTTCGTTTCTGTATAAAATATTTTTGTAAAAAACGTAGTAAGCGCCAATGTGACTTTCAAACTCTATGTAATATCTATTTAATAATGAAGTGTAATTTTGCTATCGTGGCGGAACTGGCAACAAGGATCGTTCTATCCTTGACAGGATGTCATTGTGACAGTTGAATCCTCGAAAGAAGTTTTTCTATGGGTAACGCACGTACATATAACTAAATGCACACAGGTGAACAAAACAATGTTCGAAAAGAAGTCTTGCCATCCTGTATTGTAAGACTGAAACCTCTTGTCGAGAGCGTGACATTTCCAGCGGCGACTTTCTTACCAATAGTACCCATCTATGTCATATTGTATTCAATGTACGCTGATTAATACGAATGCTCTCTTTTTCAGTATCTATGAGCGGGTCCAGTTACTCTCAAGTCCATTGCCAGTAGTCAGCCGCTTTTGTGCTCAACGCCTTTCGGATAGTTTAACAGGTTAACAACAACAGCAGTAATAGAAGCAGCGTCTGTCGTCGGTACTGATTAGAAAGAATCCGAGCCGCTATCCCTAGTATCGATAAAAATGACACTTGCTAGTCTTGAGGTCACGTATCTGAAGAGTTGTTAAACGATAGAAGAACTTTTATATGTAGACGGTTGTCGAAAAAGTTCGAAAACAAGTGACACTCAGCCGACGTCGTTAACCACACTGCATTTTCGGTGTAAAGCTGCTGCTGCTGCTGCCACCACCGTAGCAGTAGCTTCAGTTCCAAATCGTATTCGTTCATTTTTTTGTTTCCATGAACACAAGAGCGCGCGAAATTGAAAATCCCTTCAATCAGATATTCAGGCCAGGGACCCAAACTGAGTTTATTTGATTGTTCTACCGTTGCTATCTGCATCAAATCCATATAAAAGCAAAAAAATATTAAGTGTCACGCACTGCAGTTCCGTAATGTGGTGACTATTTCCATCCTGTGCAGGCTTTCCTGTCACAGTAACAACTTACCGCAAGGTGGCGCTTTTTTGAGTTCAACGGAGGGCTTCTTTTTTTTTTTTTTTTTTTTTCGGGGGTTGAGGGCAAATGCATTATGCAGACCGGGCATAGGCATGACAAATCTACTCCTATAACGGAGGGCTGGCTGTCTGTGGCCGACCGAGGCCTGTTTTTCGTTCCCACACCTAGAGTCTTAACTGACTGAATCATAATGTTTAAATCAGCATTTGTTGCATTTGCGTTTATCTTCGGAATTATCGGGATCCGATTGATCTGTAGAATTTGTTTTCCTTTCCTTACATACATTTGTCGCCGACTTCGCTAAAATGACGACATGACCTTTCTTTAATCACACAGTTTTCTATCACAAGTTCTATCAATACGGAAACGGTCAAATCGGTAATCGATTATGCTGTAAGCTACGTTTGTACTTACAAATGGGATATAATAGTGTTATGTAATATTTCTGCACTCCTATGACTGTGTGAATAGAGTTATGACAGAGAGTATTAAGAAGATCAGTACAAATTTTGGAGGCTATTTAGCTTGTTCATGTTTATACAAATGCTTATAAATGTAAAGAAGTTTAGTAGAAGTTCTACACAGACACTACAGGAAACAGTAGTAATAATAATAAAATGACGCGACGAATGGAGGTAACAAATCGCGGTTGGGGCGAAGCGCTGCTATCGAACTGAACCAACCATTTACGAGAACGGATTAGTGTAAACGATACGTTTGTTTTTAGCGCTTTTGTAACGCAACATTATTACGATTACTGCAATGTGTGTTCCGAGCGGAAAACATCAGCTACGGCTACAGTGTGAGAAACATTGTAATCGTAGTACGCCTAGGGTTTCGCTAAAACGAACAAATGTCTCAATATATATATAGCTTCAGCACGGGTAGCGTAACGATACGTATTGTACTTTTGAGGGGTACAGTTCAAATCGACATTTGTACGGAATTAACAGGCAATATTTCCTTACCATGATCCTATATACTTATTTCCTTAAGTTTCCTGCAATAATTTTACATAATGACATATGAATTGTTTTCCTAAATCATTACATCGGCGGCTTTCAGCGTTCATCCTAAACTTATGAAGGGCGAGATGGATAATCGGCTCTATGCAGGTGACCTTCTCCTATGCGTCAACGGGATACCGACCACAGGAATGAAATCACAAAAAGAGGTCGGTAATTTTTCTTTGTCTTAGATTGCTTAAGTTGATCGTCTGTGACGGAATGTTGTCAGTGTAAAGAAAGTAATCTGTCATCTTGTCATTCTAATGGCTGTATCCAACGATGCGATATTTAAATATATATATTTATAATTAATTATAAGATAATTAATCAATTGATTTGTTTGTGGTTTGTGATGGATTTCTTAGGCTGTCGAAGAACGACACCTTTGTGCACCATTGTCGATGTAAATAAGTAAATGGGCGCGGACGACAAACGCCAGTACCATAATAATAATTAGTAGTAGAATTAATATTTTTTTATTAAGATTACTTAGAATAGAAAACACAATCTTAGTAATCGGAGATAGCTTCGCAAGCGATAGGGAACCATTTGTTGTGCTGTAGTATTAAGTTAATTTTAGTAAATCATTACTAAAATCACACTAAATTTTAGTAATAATTAGAACTTATTAACGATTGAATGGCTGAGTGCAGCTTGAACTGAATGTTCTTATTAACTTCATACATACTCAAGAATACACATACATATTCAAGGTTATCGAATTCGGCAATGTGCAATACAAGACGTGGGCATCTTTGCCCGACACACGGCAATAGACACATACTTGGCTACATTCCGTGGGCAACAACAAACACGATACACAAAGCTATCAAAACTTCATTGACTGCTCGCCGTGTCGATTTTATGGTCAGACATCGGATCTCCTGCTAGTACTGCCCTTCATACCATATAACGTTATGTTGTATCAGAATGGTCCGAAGGCATTTCCCACAGTCGGTCCATACTACTTATGCCCCCATCTTTGCTTGTCCATTTGAACGTCTGCTAATGTCCCGAGCTTTACACTTCCTGCCAATTGAACGCCGAACAACACGCAAAAACCTGCTAACGACACTTATGGTTGCATTGTTATACCTGGTTGTTGATATCGTCCTGTGTATATATATATATATATATATATATATATATATGCAGAATTTTGTAAGAAAAGCGTCAGCAACTGGCGTAACCGAGAGGGAGCTCTATTAACTGTGTATTATTTGGCGTCTCTGTCGCCCGTGGGATGATTGTCCCTGACAGATTATTTCCTGAAGTTATGAGCGATGATTGTCAGCAATGACGTACGATTCTGATAGACAAATATGCGCTTATATCACATGAATTCAATTTTAATTCGTTCAAGCTGCAACACTATGGCTCTGTTTCAGTCAAGGCGTAGTTACAGTAGCATAAGTTGTTAGATCAGGCCTATATATATATCAGGCTATTCAGCAGGCTGTGGGATACTGGACGTTTGAGTAAGTTTTATGCTATAAACTACAGGCGAACGAGCCGTTCGCGACCGCCAGTTGATGTTTCAGACAGTAAACGTAGTTGCGTAGGCTGACTCTTGGACGCTGCGCGATGCTCGCTGCTGACGATGATGGCGTTGAAAACGATAAGCGTTAGGTTGATGCCTCTGATTCTTAGAGTCAGAGACATTAAATTAACGTTTATCACTTTTGTTGTCTGATGTTGCGCTCCCTGTCGATTCCCTGTCGATGATATTCGGTTCGACGGAGGCTATACAGCACGTTACGAGCTATATTAGGTGTGCTATAACATTCTGAGATATTAAGGCAAGCGGGTCAAACGGAGTACCGATTGAATCTAAATATGTAGTAGGAACTGCTGGAATTAGCGCGAAGCGAAAACAATCATGACGTACAATGTACCACATTTGAGTACTTGACTTTTCTACATTTTTGCCCCCGCGTCAAAAGACAAGCATCCGTATTGTTTGTTCACGTGGTTAAAGCGAGCCTCAAAATAGATGATGCGTAGGTGGCACTATAGGGCAAAGATTTATCATCTACCGTCGATCACAATTTCCTTTGCTTCGAGTCTGTATCGAATCAGTTTGCCCTAAGATACACTCGAACTACACTGCACAGTATGAAAATAGAGGATAGATAGAAAATTACTTGGTCAGCTGAATGTGCGAAACAGTTTTTGGGTATCTAATAGATCAGATATATTTAATTACATCTCACATATTATTGTTTTCCGATAATTAAATTTCACTTCGGTTCTTCTGAAGGCAGACTGACTGCGCATCGTAGTCCCAACTTACGTTGACATGTAATAATTGCTTCGTGTTCACAGGTTGCGGACATCGTGAAGCTTCATCGAAGGAGAGAGTTAATTTTAAGCATTTTGCCCTGCTCACCTCTCCGAGTGCCTAATTGAGGTTTCAGATCAACTTCAAATTCTACAGGAAGTGATTAGCCGTTTCATTCTACCGTTTCAGTCTACGATGAAGTGAAGCCAACTACCATGTGTGCGTGCGTGAGGCTGCTAAGTATTCTACGACTGCCATATACTAATTTCGAAGTAAATGTATTGAAATGGAAGCAAATGTGAATAAATCACGTCGGACGTGCTTCTCGTATTGATTTTTTTTAACGTGATTGTAGTAATAATGCAAAGGCTGCAACATGTAGACGGTTGTCACGAGCGGAACTTTGGAGAATGGAAATTTTTATTCAAACGTCTGTTATGACATTGTGTTTGTGCTTCTTTGATTTCGAATACAGCTTAGAACGGCTTCACGTCAACAACAACGTGGATACTACGCGGAGAAGAGCGCCTTGATAACGAACTAAAAATTTTAGGCTGTAAAATGTTCGTTGTATGTATACCTGACTATGGTGACAACCAGCTATGACTAAATATATAACGCTTTACATAAACGACATAAAAATATGTGCTTTAATTTCTAAGCACGTAATATTCTTAGGTTTCACGTAGTATTCTTAGGCTTAGACATGTGAGTGTGATCCTAAACCAAAATGAACAGCGTGTGCTTATGGGCAGCGAATGCGTGATAAGTATTTAAAGCCCCTTTCTTCATTTACACAAATTGTATAGTTGCGCCGTTAGCCGGACTCGAGACAGGGACCCTTGATGCTCTTTTTTAACGACAGCAACGGCCACCGATCCAGCCAACCCCTACAGCTCTTGTAACATGCCAATTAACAAGCATCTGTATTTCTGCTTAACTCAATCTGATTAAGTCTGTCTAGTGCCCGTCTGAACATTGAAAAATCAAATCACGCAATGTATAATATTTATCTTCCTCTACCAGCTCGATCCTGCATAATCAGTGGCTCCAATTGGTAACAGTTAGCTGAGTAAACAAGAAGACATTCGTTAGCGAAGCTGAAAACAACTTGAATAGAAGCCAGTCGACGGTGCGTCCGGGTGGTATGTCACCTGCGGGACGTCCTTGATAAATGCTCCGTATCCGCGCGATTTTTTATGACTTGCGTTCCCGCTAATCGATGAAATGGATGCTTCTTTTCTGGATATTTCCCTATGAGCTTCTACGAAGAGCAACAAAGATACTATAAAGATAATACAGTTTAGTTTAAACAAATACAGGCATGGATACTACGCAAATAGTAATTGCTTGCTATACAATAGCTGAACACCGTGTTCATTTTGAGCAGCGGGTCTGAACGAAGCCTACGTTAGCGTAGAAATTTCTAAGACGTTAATATGTGGCCGGAGGAAGGCGTGTGGGCCGGATGTTGATGAACGTCCCTGTGGAAAACTTCGAAGTAACACAACAATGAAGGACTCAAATTGCGCGAGTTTTTCTGGTCGGCAGAACATGACGGGGGATGGGGCGCCTGCGCACAGAATAGATATCGCCATCGGGCCTGACCACAGTAACTGAATGTTTGTTTCGCCGCTCGCTATTTCAACGCGGTCCGTTTGCGCTAATAGTTATGGAAGCCGTTTTTGAAACTGGTGATGGCACAGAAACTCGTGAGAAAAACGATAATGTGTCAAGACGAGCAGCCAACAAGGCTAAGTTGGGCAAAAAACCAATACCGCTGACGATCCATTGGAGTGCTTATGACGGACGTGAGAGGACGATCTGATAAACCATTTTTCTTCTGCGGACGTTCAGTCCTTCAGACGGTAGAATATACGTGTGATTCACTTATTTAATGACACGAATGAGGCATACCACACTCTGTCCTGGCCGTTTTTTAAGCAGGAGTTAATCGATTGCACATCGAGCATTGTGTAACGTGTATGTTATTTGCCACCGTAAATGCGCTATACAGCGAAAGACCCTGTGAAGGAGAAAAGATGCCTACCTCGTTAGAATCACGTTATAAAGTTTTTCACGAAGTAAACACCGTTTGAAACCCGTCCTTGTGTTTTGCTTATATTGATAATGTTAATATTTATCGATAGCTTGGCGTAGTTGACGTTTTCGTAGTAGGCCAAAGTAGGGTACGTGTTGAAAACGAAAAATGTACAGCAAGATTTGTCGAAATCTATTTTTGGTTCAAGTAAACTTAAGGCTCTTACACACAATAGAAAATAGTAGCTGAAGGCGAAACTTTCAATGTAAACGAACAACTTTATATAATTCACATGGCGCCCAATGTAAATAGTGGCGAATTGGCTGAAAATTGAAAAGGCCCGCTTCTGCATCTACAATTTCTATTTAGGAAATGTAATAGCGGGCAAACTTAGGATAAGCACCTGGTGGCGTTCGGTGGCGATTATATTTTGCTAGTTATACGATAACGAGGACGTGGTGTCAGCCGCAGCGCGACCCGTATTCTTCGATGGTCACACACACAGCTTCTATGTACTTTTCGTATACTGGGAATTGTCAGTGTTTCCCGCCCCCAATTGATTATTCTATCAATGCAAACGACTCGATTCTCGTAAATACAATTATTAACTCTGTAGTATCCTTAGTTACCAATTGAATACAAAATCCACAACACTACATGAAGTCCTTGACTTCCTATCGTAAAGACAGATATTCCTGTCACATCTAAACTGCCGTTCCCACGTTTTTTCTTTCAAAAAAAAAAAGAAGAAACCATTTGTGCTTACTTAAAAAAAATGTCTTATATTTAGCTTGAAAGATAGTTATTTGCTGTTTTTTACTCTTTGCCATCCATAGCCATAATGCCGTAACAAAAATTCTCTGTCAAACCAAGCATAAAATCAAGAACAGAGTATCTGGGAGGTCACGACGTTAAAACCAAGGAATTAAACTCTCTTGAATAACTGACTGAGTAGATAACTAATAACCACGTTCATACGGAATCTTATTCTAGTTTTTTTTTAATAAGCCTAAATGTTCTTCACTCCTAAGCGACATTATTTTCTGTTTCTAGTCGCTATTGGCGCAGTAATATTGTATTTGTTAGTGTTCTATGTTGATATTTTTCCTGACATTTAGATATAGTTGACATATTTTTTTCATTTGAACTTCAAACTAGTAATACTGCTCTAATGTTCTGTTTTTTCTGTTGACTCTGAGCAGTTCAAAGACAGCGATGGAAATCAGAAGAGATGCGTTGACTGTTTTCTACTGGTGTAGGCGTTGCATTTGGTCGTTCGATTATTTCCAAACAATTCTGAGAAAGCAAAAGGTTATATGCTAAATCCGAGTCTCAGCTCTGACTTGTGACTTGGTCCCTACAGGGCATTTAGTTATATAGAAAAAATCACACATAAACATGAAAAATAACACCGTTCATGTTTGTTCTATCTCTTTCTAACTAGTTACGCGAATGAATTTCTCAATCACAATTCGCTACTGTTCTTGCCCATGCGTTACGTACTCTTAGTTACGATACGTAATGTTATTTTCATCAGCAGGTTGAACTAAATATTGAACGAGTAAACGTCTCTACATCGTCTATCCATATCTCGGCTTTTCTGACCATGAGGTGGAAAGCCTGTTTTGATGACCCAATGGTAACTTGTTCGTCTATTAAAATTCGGGCCACGTGTCGTGGTCTAGGTTCCAAACCCATGTGCTGGGAAACGTTAGTCGTCTAAAGCAGCAATGCGTGAACCAAGTTTCTCGCGTTTCTTCAGACGACTTGGTCATAGTAAGAAACTCAGTATGCCTACATCTGTGTTTGAGCTTATCAGGTCAGAAGTTTGGTAAACGAACACGTTATCCTCTGCGTTATCACAGAAACAGCAATGCGTTAACCGAAGAGGTAGAATCAGACATATACGAATATGTAGTTGGCAGCATCAACTTAATCATAAGCAAGGCACTTTCACCTTGCAAAGTTAATACGACGCTCTACTTTATAAGGTCTTCGATTTTTTTTTATCTATGGCGAAATAGAAGCAACAATATTCAAATTCAAACAAAATATTCCGTATATGTTCATTTTTTCTATTGAAAGTCAAAATTGATCAACTCTCAATTCCGTATAGTGTGTTCATCGGGGGTAAGGTCAATTGAAAGTTTGTTCTCAACTGGCTTTTAAACAAATAGAAACGTTTTCGATTAGAGCTGTCGAACGACATACGAAAGATCCGGAGGGTTGATGAAACGTTGAAAATATATGCCAACTAACTGATATGTTAACCTGGTGAACTGGCAGTTCAAGCTGAAGTACATTTAGGAAGTTAGGAGTACTGGTCACGAAGATTCGATGTTATAATACGAAGGAATCCTCCTAGAATTAATCTGTAGTAATAACACGTTCGGTATAAAACATGCCGTATTAATTTAAGGATACACCACTTCATCATAATGCGACACTTCGCGACACTATGTCTCGCAACGGAGGCCTACTCGTATTTTCTTTTTTTGAAATCTGAGACAATTCACTCGGATATCGTTACTTGGGCTTTTAGCAGTCGAGATGTAGCAAGTTGCGGACCACCACAAAACTCTAGTACACAGATGTAAGTTCCGTCTTGGAACTAAAGTGGCGGAGACACATCGCCGTCTAGTGTTCGGTGGTAGTTGTACTTCTGGAAACACCAGAAGACGTCGATCCGAAGAATCCTACGTCGGAAATTTCGAACTTGGAAAAACTCCAGTGTTCCACAAGACTCTTGAACTTTTGTGGAGGACCAATTGCGAAGCTGAGTAACAAAGAGTTCAGAACTGTGGTGGAATCAGAACCATCTCGAAATGCTCAGAGGTGTTAGCACATAGATTTGCTATGCGTAAAAAAATACTACCCCTGTTGTTCATATTAATCAGATGGATAAGGCAAGGAGAATGGGTAAATTGATGTTGGATTATTTTAGCGAAGATCGAAAATCAGACGTAGGAACGCTTGCCTCTATTTGTTCCCTTCTCTTTAGAGTGGTGACTTATTCCTACACCGAATTCTAAGTTGAGATGATAAAATTGATCCCCTACGATCATTGCTGACGGTCACGTCAGCCAGCGGCGGAACACAAGCTTAAAACGTCTGCAGTTACGAGTTGTTTGGTGATATTAAATCAAGTGCTGTAAATTGAGTCCACTACAGCTTTGAGTCATGGTTCGCCAATTAAAACTGAAGTTGAGGAAGGACGAAATGATGAAGCTCAGAATTAAGTAATCAAGATTAGTAAACAGGGGTAAACGATTTTTATTGTGCAACAACGTTGGATAACTTTCGCACCATAGCTCATTACAGTGGCAAAAACACAGGAGATTCTCTGTGATACAAAATGCTCGCTATCGTTTTTTTTTTCGAAAACCCAAGAAACTAGTAGGAAAGTTGAGAAAAGGAGGAAAGTAGAGTCTCGACACAATGTTGCGAGAATTGCCTGTCGCCCAGAACGTCAACAGCAGCAAGCTATTGTCGAAACTACAGAAAATCACAGATAATAATAATAATAATAATGCACACTTTGGCTGAAAGTAGAACAACAAAACCTCTGAAAAAAATCCGAAAGGTTCGATATGTTACATTTCAAAGTGGACGACCTAATAGAAGTTAGGGTGTTTTCATTTCTATTTGAAGTGGCCTTTTCGGCCATTTTGATAATCCGTGCCT